GGGTAAATGGATAAAAATTGGTATTCCCCTACAATGCGATATTATCCAACCATGGAAAGAAATGAAGTACTGACACATGCTACAACATGAATAAGCCAAGAAAGCATTATTCTGAGTGAGAGAAGGCAATCGTAAGAGACCACATGTGTATGTTCATGTAGAGGCAGAATGGGCTAATCTTATAGTCTATCCTGAATAGAAGTACAGATAGATTAGTGGTATCAGCAGTTGGGGTCTGGGGAAAGGAAGAGTGACTACTAATGAGTTTGAGGTTTCTTTCTGGGGTGATGAATATGTTCTGAAATTAGATGATGGTGAGGATTCCGTAACTGTGAGTATACTAAAATCCACTAAAATGGATAGTTTAAAAGGGCGAATTTTATGGTATGGGAATTATTTCTCAATAAAGCTATTATTTAAAAACATAAAGCTGTTATTAAAAAACAAAATGGCAAAGTAATGACAAATGAAGAAAATTGTAACATTTCACACAGATGATTCATTCATATCTATAACGCTCAAGGAGTTCTTATATAAAAGTTGAAAATAAATAGGTTATTTTAAAAATTGGCAAAAGCTAAGACATGCATTTCATAGGAGAAGCAGCACAAAAGGTCAATAAACATTTTTCTGTTTATGCTCATTTTGGAATTTTGACATTACCACGATCATTAGACCTGTTGCTAGATGTCCCCAGTGTGTTAATAATGAAGTTTATGCTTTACTATGTCATATTCTGAGGAGGATCCTTGAGCTTTATCAGAGCACGAGGGTGTCCAGGGCACAAAAAGAGTGAGGAATCCCGGAACTAAGGGAAGTCAGGATAGTGGGTACTTTTGAGGGAGTGGGTACTTCTTAGGAGAGAATCAAAGGGTTTCCTCACTCTTTATTTTGATCTAAAATAAAGTATGGCATTTCTATACAATGCAATTCTACCTACCCATGAAAATAACTGTGTAGTAAGATATGTACACATATAATACCTTAATAAAAAAATGGAAAAATAAAAAAATTAAAATACAATATAAATTAAAAAAAAATAACCATAGGTGAGGCTGTAAAGCAATGGGAACTCTTGTACAGCAGGAGAGAATGTAAATGGGTGTAAACATTTTGGAGACTATTTGTTCTAAAGCTGAACATAAGCAGATCCCATGACCTACCAATTGCATATGTACAACAGAAATGTATACATATGTTTACCAAAAGACATCTAAAGAATGTTCAGAGCCGCTGTGATAGCCAAGACCTGGAAGCAGCCCCATGTCCACCAACAGTAGGATGGACAAATCAATGGTGAGATACTCATTCAAAGGGATACTACATGGTAACAGGTGTTTACGAACTGTTGCTACATGCTAACACACAAATAAATCCCATTCATATTCTACTGAATGAAAGAATATAGGCATAATAATAAATACTGTGAAATGCAAAGGTGCAAAAATCAGTCAAGCCTCATTAGAAATTAGAAGTCAGGATAGTGGGTACTTTTGAGGGAGTGGGTACTTCTTAGGAGAGGATCAAAGGGTTTTTTGGGATGCTGGTAAATGACCTATTGTTTTATATTGGTACCGAATATAAACGTAGGTTCAATCTAGGAAAACACTTTGAGGTTTAGAGTTATAATTATTTTTTGCATATTTCTGTTTTTGTCTTCTGCTTTAGTCAAAAGTGTACTTAAACTGACATGGTAGAAGAATTTTAACGACATGAAAAGAAATGCATGCTGTTACATTATATTAAAAATACAGGTTGATACAGGTGCAAATTGTGTGAACAGTAAGCTACCATTTTCTTTCCTCCTGGAGGTTCACCATGCATAACATGACGCGTCTTTAGGACGCTATACAAATAAGTGACGGGAGTGAGAGTTCTGGACAGAGGACCTGGAAGAGAGGTTTCTTTTTTAACTTATGCCCTTTTCTACCTTTTGAAGTTTCAACTGTATTTCTATTGCCAATTCAATGCATATATAAATTAATGATAATGCAGGTTACAAACTTCTATGATTTCATCTTTCTGAAAATAAAGATGGCATTATCAATATCAAACTGATCATCGTGTTTACCTCTGGGTAAGGGGGTTAAAATTATTTTTATTTCTTTTTAAATATTTTAAAAACGTGCCTGTATTTTTTGAGTCTTGTAGTGCATTTATTTTGAGAATGAGAAAAAGTCATGAAACCTTTTTTGCAATTCCGTTTTTATCCATGTTATTGAAGTATAATTTGCAAGCAGTGTAGGGTACAGAGTTTTGCAAGGGGACTTACGATACACCCACGTCATCACCGGTGGCAGAAATCAATCGCGATGTAGGAAGCTTCCACCCCCTAAAGTCCCTCCTTGCCCTGTGCAGGCAGCCATCCACTCCAGGGAGGAGTATTGTGTGAGATTCTGTCATGGCAGCTTAGTTTTATCGGCTCTAAAAACTCAGAGAAATGGAGTTACACAGTATGGACTCTTCCGTGCCTGGCTTCTTCCACTCAGCAGAATGCTTTTGAGTTTGGTTTATGTTTTGTGTACATCAGTAATTCATTATCATTGTTCTTAACGAAGAGTAAATACTTGCTGCTTCCCAGTCTGTAGAGTGAGACGCAATCATCTACGTACAGAACAATCCTCCCCAGCCTCTCCCCGTCTGCTGCGGGCTGGGGAGGTCTGACAGCTGCACATCCTGGGAGGAGAGACAACAGCCGCCCCCACCCCGGGCCTGGCCGGCCTCCTCCCCCTCCTGGCGGCAGCGCCGTCTCAGGTGAGAGCCACCCTGCTCGCTGCCATTGTTCTGCCAGTGACAGCCTCCCAGGCAAATGGAAAGCCGTCAACCTGAGGGCTGTCAACCGCAGACGAGAATTCCTTTCTTTGTCAGGCTGGGTGGTCTCCCTGGCTTCGCCATCAGCCTGCACAAAAGGCGATAAGCATCGCGTGCACTTGCAGAACCACACTGCCACCACCCAGCAGCTCCAGCCGCACCTCTTTGTGAGGCCAGGGCTAGGCAAGTGTGGCTTCCCCGGCCGGCGTATAAATCACCGAGTTCCAGCCCAGTGAGGGCATCCGGAGGACGTTTTGTCCACCGACCCCACCACCTGCATGTTTCCTGAAATGTATTCGTCCCCAAACCTTAGTCACCCACAGCTAGACGATCCCTTAGCACCCAGTCCAACCCTCTGGGGCTTCAAAAAGGGTTCAGACACAGGTAGGGACTCGTCCAAGGTCACACAACACAAGGACTAGGCAAGGACAAGAACCCCTGCTGGGAGAGCCTTCTTTGGAATTGTAAGCTGCTTTTGTTAATAAGTGATCCACACACTCTCTGTCCCCTCCCTTAGTAGCACAATGTAAAGCGTGATTTCTAACTTTCCCAATAAAAAAGGAGTGGTGTGTGTGTGTGTGTGTGTGTGTGTGTGTAAAGCTACCTACTGGGTGTATCTCCCTTCCTTGCCTTTGTGGCTAAGCTACCAAGATGATTTCATTTCATTTTATTTTTCATTTATGGAATAGTTTGGTGCCCTCTACTGGTTATCAGTAACAGCAACAACAGCTACCCCTTCTTGGGACTCCAGTGCAAGATATTAAAAATGCATCATTATTTCTAATTTTGAATCCAAAGAACAGGCCAGTAGAGTAGGCAATTTTGTAGAAGAGGAAATTGAGGCTCATAGAGATTCAGTTGTCTGCCCAAAGTTGTAGCCCAGTGGGACTCCAAATTCTTTCCACTTCCCACTTAAAACAACTTATAGATGATAACCTCAAGCCCTAGCCAGTTTGGCTCAGTGGTTAGAGTGTTGGCCTGCAGACTGAAGGATCACAGGTTCAATTCTGGTCAAGGGCATATGCCTGGGTTGTGGGCTGGATCCCCAGTAGGGGATGTGCAGGAGGCAGCCCATCCATGATTCTCTCTCATCATTGATGTTTCTACCTCTCTCTTCCCCTCTGAAATCAATAAAAATATATTTTTTAAAAAGATAACCTCAAAATATGCCATGAAGTAGGCATTAACACTCCTATTTAACACACGGGTAGGCCTGGGCTGGGACATCGGTGACTTGCCCAAGGCCACAGGGCCAGGAAATGCCATTCCTAGTCACTGTGCTGGGCTGCTGCCCAGAAGGAGAGGCACACGCAAGGTCTGCAAGAAGCTTCTTTCTTGACAGCCTTTATCCAGAAGAGGAATTGGGAAGCTGCAGTGCTCCCAGCCAGAGGAACAGTGTTCCCACCTGGGGATTCTCTGGGCCTTTCTCATGTGGTAAGGAGGTTCCAAGAGACTCAGGGATAAAGAAAACACATTTTCTACTCACAGATAACTCGCATCATGATTCACCGAATTCAACAGATGCTGTGCAATTAGTCCCTGGTGTGTGTGTGTGTGTGTGTGTGTGTGTGTGTGTACACACATACACATGCACACACAAATGAGTGAATGAATGATTGCATGAATGAATGAAGGCAGTGGCCCAGAGGCTGTAGTCTAGGGTTAGGACTAATGCAGAGGCTGGGTAGGTTGGAGTGGTCGGGCTGGTGTACTATAAAGTGATCAATTTTGACTTATTGTGAGAAATCTATTCCTAGTAGTGAGAGCAGTCCATAGACAGAGGGATCCTTTTCTGTGGGTGTGAGCTCCAATCCCAAAGACAAGCAAGCAGAGCTAGGAAGAACGCACAACAGAGATGTTGTATAGAGATTTCAATCAAGCGTGCATGTTGTTTTTTAAGTGTCAGTGTTAACATTTAGAAATTGGGAGGTTTTATATAAAAACCCATGTTTCTAGCTTCTCCTCTAACAAAATGGAAGGCTTAGCCTCATTGGACCTGCCTCAGCCTACTCACAGTTGCCTCCTCAGCTCCCTCGTTGCCCCGGCAACAAGGATGACTGGTGACACCATTTCTCATTGCACATATGCTGTATGTTTGTTTGTTTTTATTATAAAAACAAAAATAAAAACATTTTTTTCTTATTACATCTTTGTCAAAAAGGAAAAACAAAAGACCAAGTCATCTGTTGTAAGGAAAATTGATCTGACATATTTATCTGTGGAAGTGAAACTATTTCTGTACATTTAAAAGGCCAGTGCCCAACTAGCTTCACTTGTTTTCATTACAGGCTTGGGCCCCATGACAACTTGAATTTGCTTCCCTGTAGGGTCTTTGGTGCTTTCCTGTCCCAGAAGCGTGGACCTTGGGTCAGACTCTCATCCTGTTGCCACTTCTGTCTTCAGCTCCAGAGACGTGGGGCCACGAGAGAAGGCCGGGAGTATAGACCTGGGTCTGGTGACCTGAAGGGAGGAGACACCCTGCCCAGGGAGACCGCCCTGAATCTCCAGCTCAGTGAGAGCACAAAGGCTGCAGCCCGCCTCTGTGCCCTCTGCCCCGATCCTTTGGAGATTGGCACCTTGGCCATGAACCTTCTGAATTGGCCTTCCTCCCAGCACTTTCTTCCTGTGACAGGGTTCCTAGCCCCTCCCTCCAATCTGACCCCACCATGGCTCAAATTCTCCCAGCGGTGTCCAGAAGTGGGCACAAGCTCCAGATGTGGACTGAACAGCCCAAAAACATTGAGAAGAACACCTCCCTCAGCTCAGACACTGCTTTCATTCTTGAACAGGTCACTTAACATCTCCATGCCTTCGTTGTCTCATCTATAAACTGAGATGAGTGAAAATACCCATTAAGGAGTTATAAAAATGAGATAAATTTAAAATGCTTTTGAAACCACGAGCCCAATGTAAGTGTTTGCTATTGTTATTGTTACTGTTGTTATTGCAGTAAGTAATGGCTAAAGGCTGACAGCAGTGGAACAGGCTGTTCTGAAGTGGAGTACTCTTTCCCACGGCAGGTGTATAAGCAGAACCACGGTGGTGGTAGGGTTCAGCTTTGGACCTTGAATTTTCAGTGCTGGTGAAACATCCAACTAGGCTTAGTCAGTATTGTCATTCTATTTAATTCCACGGACATTCACTGAACAGCTACTCTGTGCCGGACATTGTACTAAGTCCCGGAGATGTGAGATAAATCAGACAGTCCCAGCTCTCAAGCACCTGAGAGTCTAGTAAGGATAGCAGGTGTGGTAAGTGCCACAGCACCAGCACGTATGAGGTTCACAGGCAGCCAGAGGAGGAAGTCAGGGCAGGCTTCTCGGAAGAGGCGGTAAGAAACAAGGTCCCCTGGGCTGTATTCAGGATCTGGGGAATGCAGGGTCTGGAAGAGCCAGGAGTGACAAAGGATTTTGGGTTCCAGCGCTGACAGTCTTTTTTTCCTAGGCCCTGTCCTTAGTTGAATCATTTGGGCCCTCCCACCCCTTATTACTTTTAGAAAGAAAGTCCTTGTGAGTCTTTAAGATGTTTCCTAAATCCCTTTGCACACATGCAGACATTTTATTGATCAAATTTCCAATATGACGTGTGTTTCTCTCCCCCCCTAACACCCCCCCCCCCTCCCTTAATCCCTTTGTCTTTTGGTTCACGGAGATTGAAATCTAAGTTTCTCCAGGAGTGTTTGCCTGGTCCATCACAGCCAAAAGGAACTGCATTTCCTGGATTACTAAATCAATACAGCTTAAGTCAACAGGATCAGACTAACTTCTGTGTTTCTGCATCCTTGTCCCAGACAGCTTCCCCCTCGGCGTGCTCCTTCTCACCAGATGTTCTCCTGTTATGAACTGAAGCCAGCTCTGTTCAAAGTGACCACATTAAGGGGTACAGCCCCAGGGAGTCAGGGTGAAAATGGAAATAAGAAAGAAAGCCACACACACACACGTACTATTTACTAGATAACAAAGACAAATACGCTCACATCCTGTCACCTTGGCATGAATAACCGCAGGAACGCTCTTAGACAGGAGGCCCTGTCAGGAAACACTGCCAAGTCTCTCCTTCCCCTCCCTGGCTTCCATTCTTACCTGCCTGCTGCTCTGCGGGCTTGGGTCAGGGCTTTCCATTCTTTCTGCTCTAGGTAAATCACCCCCTTTTCAGCTAGGATCACAGTTGGTCTGGGAGATGAGAGAGGTACAAAGCAGGAAGAGAGATGTAGTCACAGGTTTTCCCCGAGACTGTAAACGGGGAGAGGCAAGAATATATCCACTGGCCCATTCTCCTGTCTGTTTTCCTTTTGTGCCTTCCTGGTGATGACTCATGTCACTGCGCTCCGGGCAAGCCCTGCGGCCTCGGTCACCCTGGGACATGTACAGATCGGGGCATGCACTCTTTTTTCTTTCTCTAAAGGGGCCTCGTTGTAGCGTGGTTGAAGCGTCAGCGAACCATGCAGACCCAGTTACACGAAACTTTCTAACAAAGGCCAGGAAGCCAAAGGAGAGGGAGTTACCGATGAGAGGAGACCCAACAGGTTGTCAGGAGTTACGAAACACTGGGACTTGTACAGCATCTCAGCTGAGCTTTGTTGGAATGCTTTGTTGGGGAGGAGGCTCTCAAAAGGTTACTTTGGGGAAGAACGGTTACCTTTTCTTTAGAGAAATATTGCGTAGTCCCGGCGACTCTTAGAGCTGCGTAGAGTCTAAAAGGGTCACCTAGGGTTCTGGCTCTCAAATTTGGTGCCCATTAGAAGCATGTCGGGGTGAAGGGGTGAGGGTAGGGAGGGTACTTTACAGAATTCCGATGCCCAGATCCCATCCCTGACCAATGAAATTGGGATCTCTGGGGGGAGGAACTAAACATGCGCTGGCTCAACTTCTCCGATGCTTCCAGTGTGCTGCCAAGTTTGAGAACCTATGAGTGGGACTCTTACTATTCACTGTGGTTAGTGGAGCTACAGTATGCCAGGGAGCTTGTTAGCGATGCACATTCTTAAGGGTCCACCACAGACCTACTGAATCAGACTGCAGTTTAACAAGATCACCAGGTGACTTGTATGTGCTTAAAGTTTAAGAAGCAGTTACTTTTCTTTTCTTTTCTTTTTTTAATATATTTTATTGATTTTGTACAGAGAGGAAGGGAGAGAGATAGAAAGCTAGAAACATCTATGAGAGAGAGTCATCGATCAGCTGCCTCTTGCACACCCCTACTGGGGATATGCCCGCAACCAAGGTACATGCCCTTGACCGGAATCGAACCCGGGTCCCTTCAGTCCCCAAGCCGACACTATATCCATTGAGCCAAACCGGTCTCGGTGCAGTTACTTTTCTTGAAGCACTGGGAAATCTGGTAATACTGGACCCAAAATGTCTTGACAACTACCCATGGAATCTGTGTAGTAGCTGACTCATATTTATTTTATTTTAAAAAATATATATATTATTACTTTTTTACAGAGAGGAAGGGATAAAGAATTAGAAACATCGATGAGAGAGAAACATTGATCAGCTGCCTCCTGCACACCCCCTACTGGGGATGTGCCCACAACCAAGGTGCATACCCTTGATTGGAATCGAACCTGAAACCCTTCAGTTCGCAGGCCAAAACTCTGTCCACCGAGCCATATCAGCTAGGGCACTAGCTGACTCTTTTAAGAGGTGCCCTCACTCTAGTTTGCTCAAGTCCCACACCTGACCAGGTTCATTAACTTCCGCTATCGCCTGGGCCTGTTCACCACTATGTAGTTCCAGAACATTTTCATTACCCCCAAAACAAAAGCCTATATTCATGGGCAGTCATTCCCCAGTCCCCCCTTCCCTCAGCCCCTGGCAATCACTAATTGACTTTCTGTCACTTTGAGTTTTCTTATTCATATATTTCCTATAAAAGGAATGCATAATGTTTTCAAGGGTTATCCATGTTCTAACATGCATTGTACTCTCTTCCTTTTATGGCTGAATAATATTCCTTTGTATGGATATACCACATTTTGCTTATCCATCCACCATTTGATAGATATTAGGATAATTTCATACTTTTGGTTATTGTGAATAGTGCTGCTATGAACATTTATGTCTACGTTTTTGTTTGAACTCTATTGTCAATTCTTTTGGGTTTATACCCAGTTGTGAATTGCTGACTCATATAGTATTTCTATGTTTAACTTTTTTGAAGAATAGCCAAACTGTTTTATAGAGCAGCATTTTATATTCCCACCAACAATGTGTGAGGGTTCCAATTTCTCCACATCTTTGTCAATTTACTATTTTGTTTGTTGTTTTTTCTTAGTTCTAGTCATCTTATTGGGTGCAAAATGGTTTCTCATTGTGCTTTTGATTTACACTTCCCTAATAACTAAGATGAGTATCTTTTTATGTGTTCATCGGTTATTTATATACCAGAGGCCTGGTGCATGAAAATTCATGCCCTGGAGGGGGGAGTCTCTCAGCCCTGCCTGTCCCCCCTCACAGTCTGGGAGCCCTCAGGGGCAGGAGTGACCGGTGATCAGGGAAAGGAGATGCCTCCTTCACACCTCTCCTGCTGCCACTGCTGGCAGTGCAAGCCTCGGCCAGCACTAGTTACCTGAGCTTCAGGTGGCCCTGGGTGGCTGGGCAGCCGCCATCCAAGGCTTGCCTGTGCCTTAGGCCAGCCCTGGACAGGTAGGGGCTGAGGGGACTGGGAGACTCCAGAGGCAGGCACACAGAGAGGACGGGCCCGCCTGCCACCATCTTGTGGCTGTGGGCATTGCCATCTTTGAGAGTGTGGCAGTCAGTTAGCATATTCCCTCCTAATTTCTGTGGGCGCCACCATTTTTTCTATGGCTTGAGGGTCAATTAGCACATTCCCTCTTTATTAGATAGAATCTTCTTTAGAAAAATTTACTTGAGCTTTTTGCTCATTTAAAAACTGGGTTATTTGCCTTTTTGTTAGTGGGTTGAAACAGTTATTTATATAGGGTGTCCCCCAAAATGTATATATACTTTAATAGCTGATAACTTACTTAATTTTGAAAATGAAATGTATGTTAATAAACACTGACTTGATAATCATTCAAACTATTTTTGGGGACACCCTGTATATTCTGAATACTATCTCCTTTTCAGATATATGATTTGAAAATATTTTCTGCCATCCTGTAAGTTTCCTTTTCACTTTCTTGTTGGTGTTCTTTAATACCCATGTTTTCAACTTATCCAGCTTATAGGATTTTTTATTTCCTTGTTTGTGCTTTTGGTGGTACAAATAATTTGAGATTTTATTAAATGGACAAGATAAATAGAGAGAAAGAGGGATCTGAGGATAAAGGCAATAAGAATGGCTTGACATTTCTATCTCCAGTTCAACCATTAGATCTAAACATTTATCTGACATATATATTAGTTTTAACCCACCCGCCATATTCACCAGACCTTACTCCTTCAGATTACCACTTGTTTTGATCGATGGCATATGCATTTTCTGAGCAGCACTTTAAAATGTTATATTATTAGCCGAGACCAGTTTGGCTCAATGGATGGAGCATCGGCCTGGGGACTGAAGGGTCTCGGGTTCGATTCTGGTCAAGGGCATGTACCTTGGTTATGGGCATATCCCCAGTAGGGAGTGTGCAAGAGGCAGCTGATCGATGACTCTCTCTCATAGGTGTTTCTAGCTTTCTATCTCTCTCCCTTCCTCTCTGTAAAAAATCAATAAAATATATTTTAAAAAAATAAAATAAAATGTTATATTATTAACTGGTTAATAACTAATCCACACTATTAGCTGGTTAATAATTAATCCATATTATTAACCAGTTAATAATCTGCATTTTAAACCGGTTAATAGCTAATCTGCAATATTAACTGCTTAATAGTTAATCCACATTATTAACTGGGTAATGATTAATCTGCATTATTACGGTTAATAATGCTGATTTTGTAATAAAAGAAAACACGATAATTTTAAGAAAAACACAAATGTGCTTTATTCAAAGTAATGTCCATTGCTAGCTACACATCTCCCCCATCTTTCAGATAATTTGTGGATACTGTCCCAATATAACTTTTCTTGTTTTCAGGCAAACCATTCAGAGACCCAATTTTCCACTTCTTCCTACGTTTTAAAGGACTGCTCAGAAAGAGCATGTGCCATTGATCGGAACAAGTGGTCATCTGAAGGAGCAAGACAACAAAATAGCATACATATCAAATTGCATATATATCAACATATGTGTAACTCCATCTATTGAAAAAAAAAAAATCCGCATTGTTAACCGGTACACTTAGTATACCAGCTTTGGTACCAGGCGCTGCATTTGCCTGAGATCACACAGCAAGTGAGCATTGGAACGCAGGTGTTCTCATTTCAAACCTAAGTCTCTGTCCAAAGGCAAGTCAGATCACTCACCTCTGTCTGGGTCTCTCGATTGACACTACTATTATTACCAGCTGCTATCATTCTTGGACGCTTACTCTGTGCTAGGCATTGTGTTGAAAGTCTTTACATCTAATCTTCCCAACAACCAGGAAGTGGTTCCATGCTTATCCTAATTTTACTACTGAATTCAGGTTAAATACAATAACTTGTTCAAGCCGAAACCGGTTTGGCTCAGTGGTATAGCGTCGGTCTGCGGACTGAAGGGTCCCAGGTTTGATTCCGGTCAGGGGCATGTACGTTGGTTGCGGGCACATCCCCAGTAGGGGGCGTGCAAGAGGCAGCTGGTCGATGTTTCTCTCTCATCACGTTTCTAGCTCTCTCTCTCTCTCCCTTCCTCTCTGTAAAGAAATCAATAAAATATATTTTAAAAACAAAACAAAACAAAACAAAAACCCCAACCCCCCCCCCCCCCCCCCCAATAACTTGTTCAAGATCTCGTAAGATGGTGTCAGAGCAGGACTTAACCCAGGTCTGACTCCAAAGCCTGTATTCTAAACCACCAACCGAAACTGTCACTTTAAAGGTGACCAAGTCCACAAGAAACGATCTGGGTACCACTTTCCCCCCGGTCCCGCCCAGCGCGCAGACTCCGCCCGCTGCTCCTCCTTCCGCCCTCCCGGCGCGCAGGCGCGCTTCCCCTCCGAAGCTGCTCGGGCGCATGCGCGTGCGCGTGCGCAGAGGCTGGAGACTAGGTTCTCTGAGATTGGAGATGGCGGCGGCCGAGGACGCTTCGCCGCAGCCGGCGACTTCAGAGCAGCCGGCGGAGCTGCCTGCCTCCGTGCGGGCGAGCATCGAGCGGAAGCGGCAGCGGGCGCTAATGCTGCGCCAGGCCCGGCTGGCGGCCCGGCCCTACCCGGCGACGGCGGTTGCGGCTACCGGAGGTTTGGGTCCTGGCGGCGCTGCCCTTTCCCTCCGCTGGGGGTCCGGGGTCCGGGTCCCTTGAGTGGCGACGAGCCGCCTCGCGTCTGCGCGCACCCCCTCCCGCTGTCCTGGGTGCTGGGGGGTCCGCTCAGGGTCTGGTCGAAGCGAGCTGTCCCAGCCCTCAGGACGGTTCCGCGGTAGAACCCGGCTTCCCGACCCGCAGCCCCGGGCCGGCCTCGCTGCTCCCGGGCCGGCCTCGCTGCTCCCGGGCCGCCCGGCAGCGGTCTGGAGAGTGGGAAAGCCGCTGCCCCTTTCTGTTCTCTTCTTGCAGCTTCCAGGTGTGGTCCTTGTATAAAACTTTCAGACCTGCACCATGTCAGCGATCTGCACCTGCTCCCTCATACCTCAAGGGGCGGCTGAGGCACTTTCCGTACCCAGCCAAGGGCGCCAATAGGAGCAGACGGACATCAGCTACCTTCTTTGTGGGGCTAACAGAGTAGCACCTGTTGCGCTTCATATGTTTGAAATGAGCTCATTTGATTCTCAGAGCTAACCGGGCAAAGGATTAGGGGGAACGTTTGGAATCTGTTTTAATGAAGTGGTCATTGAGGACCAGAAAAGGAAAGAGGTTTGTTGGGGTTCATCCCAGCAAGTGCACAGGCTAATCAGCACTGGAACTGACATTGGGATCAGGTCCCCTCCGCCCCTCTAGCTGCCTCTGCTACACTAGGCATCTCTCGTGTTGGGCTTGAAGGTGCTCAGGCAAGTGCTGCTAGTGCCCGGCCTAGGGCCACTCAGTGAGAGGTACCAGGCATTCTGAGGCCAGAAGTTGTTTGTTTAAGAGATTTTAGGAAGGTCCAAAGCAGGTGCCCGGCCCTAGCCGGTTTGGCTCAGTGGATAGGGAGTGGCCTGCGGAATGAAAGGTCCCAGGTTCGATTCTGGCCAGTTGCTATCTGCCACACATATCTCAGCTGCAGGTTTGATCCCCGGCCCTGGGTTGCAAATGGGAGGCAACTAATCGACGTTCCTCTCATCCTGTTTCTCTCTCTATCTCTGTCTCTCCCCCTCCCTTCTACTCTCAAAATCAATGGAAAAATGTCCTTGGGTGGGGATTAACAACAACAAAAAGCATGAGCCAAGGCAGACCTTTCACACGGAAAAGCCACCTTGGGTGGGCTCAGAAGTTGTGTGGACAGGGCCTCAGAGTCACGAGGGCAGGTTAGACAGTATGAGCCAGGCTGATGGAGACTCAGCTATGGCTTGGGCCTGGAGGGTGGGGTTGAGGTCTCAGAAAAGAAACGATGGCTTCTGCTTTTTGTTGTTGTTGTTAATCCTCATGTAAAGATATTTTTCTATTGATTTTTAGGGAAAATGGAAGAGAGAGGGACAGACAGCGAGAAACAATGGGAGATACACATGGATTGATTACCTCCTACGCAGCCCTGACTAGAGCCCGGGCCTAGGCGGAGCCTGCATCCGAGGTACATGCCTTTGACCTGGACCCTTCAGTCCATGGGCCGAAGCTCTGTTCATTGAGCCAAACCCGCTGGGGCGCACTTCTGTCTGGCGGACAGCTGTTCCCCTGGCCCTGACCCTGATGCCAGACAATTCATTTCCTCCTTGTATGTCCCTGGTTCCTTTCAAGTTGCTGCCCTAGCACTGAAGCTCAGGGAGAATGAGTCCGAGTAAGTCTGTGCATGGGCCGTTTGAGAAGAATTGCCTGTGACTCCAGCAACCCTTCATCTTGTTCAGCCACAATCCCTGCTGGTTTTTACAGCCAAACGTTATGGGGACTTCTCTTCCTGGCACTATAACCCTAGGCTTGGGGGCATGGTGTGGGTCTGGGACCTCTCATTCCTAAGGGAGGACTTCCACAATTAAGATAATTTTTATCTGCTACACATGGGTGTGGGACCACCCTTTCTGAGTCTCTGCCCTCCTACCAGTGTCACATGGCTGCTGCTTGATTTCCATTCAGTTAGATTTTAGGCAATTCTGAATGATGGTTTTCCTATAGTTTAGTTGTAATTTTGATGTGTTTGTTGGGAGGATTCATGTACCAAATTTATCTACATCACCATCTTGACCAGAAGTCTCTAGGTGCTATTTATTATTTAGTTTTTAAATCTCACTTGAGGGATATGCCTTTATTGATTTTAATGATAGTGGCGGGGGGAGGGGGAAGAAAAAGAGAGAGGGGAAAAAACAACTTTGATATGAGAGAAACATTGATCTGTTGCCTCCTGTATGCCCCCTTCCTCCCCCCCTCCCCCCCCAAACTGGGGACTGAACCTTTTACCCTGGCATATGCCGAAACTGTGAATCAAATCTGAGACCTTTCAGAGTATGGAAGGATGCTCCAACCAACTTAGCCAGCCCCACTGGCCAGGGCCCTGGCTATTATTTCTAAATTGTAATTGTACATTCCTGTGCATGCTCTACATACACAATTAAATCATCTGTGAGTAAAGACTGTTTTACTTCTTCCTAACCTTTATGCCTGTTTTGTTGTCTTGTCATATTGCACTTGCTGGAACCTTTAATATAATGTTGGATAGAAGTGGTTATAGTGGACATTTCTTTGCTTGTTTGATATATATTAAATTTAAGGAAATTTTCTGTTTATGCAGAAGGGAGCATATGGGCTTACCTAGCTCATTTGTTGACCACTTTTACTTATTTCTCATAGGCATGACCAATATAAAAGCAGCCCCAAAGATAATTGATACACATGGAGGCTTCATTCTGGAAGAGGAAGGAGAAGAACAACATACAGTTGGAAAAGTTGTTCATCAACCAGGTAAAGTGTGTTTTCAGAAAATAGGAATCTAAGTGGGTCATTTAAAAAAATTATATTATTATTGATTTCAGAGAGGAAGGGAGAGAGAGATAGAAACATCAAAGATGAGCCCTAATCCGTTTGGCTTAGTGGATAGAGCATTGGCCTGCAGACTCAAGGGTCCCAGGTTTGATTCCGGTCAAGGGCATGTACCTTGGTTGCAGGCACATCCCCAGTAGGGGGTGTGTAGGAGGCAGCTGATTGATGTTTCTCTTTCATCGATGTTTCTCTCTCTCTCTCTTCTCTCTGTAAAAAAAAAAGAAAAAGAAAAAGAGAAACATCAAAGATGAGAAAGAATTATGATTGGCTGCCTCTTGCAGTGGGGATAGAACCCACAACTTGGACAGGTGCCCTGACTGGGAATCGAACCATGACCTCTTGAATTTCTAAGTAGACATTCAACCACTGAGCCACACCAGCCAGGCTAGCTTGGTAATTTTGAATAATTTGCATAATTCTTTGCAAATTGATGTTAAATAATTATCTTACACATGGATTGGGTTCAAAAATACTTGATGAATTGATAGGGATTTCCCCCCTGATGTTATTTCCTTTTTATTCTATCCTCTTAAAATTTTTTTTTTAAAGTAGATATAAGATTACTTAAAGTTTTATTTTGTCTTCTATGTAAATTTTGTCAGCCATAAAATACATGTCGAGAAGCTAATAAAGTAGAGGAAAATGTATTCCAGTCACAAAAAAAGAAAACTTAAAGAATTGATCTTCTTTTCTTTAGGACCTGTTATGGAATTTGATTATGCAATATGTGAAGAATGTAGTAGAGAATTTATGGATTCTTACCTTATGAGCCACTTTGATTTGCCAACTTGTGATAACTGCAGGTACTTACTTTATTTCAGACAATTTTCTCAATTGCTAAAATTGAATGTTTACATACAGGCATTTGGATTTAATATTTTTTTTAGTAATAATTTTTATTTGGAGAATTTCCTAACATTTCTATGGTTTCCATTTTGTCAAAGAAATAAAGGAAACCTGTGCTTATAAAAATTATATGTCACATAAATTGGAATGCCCTAGGTTCTGCCATAGATTATTTGTTTTTCTTTCTTTCTGATGGTTGGGGGTTTTTATTTTTTATTTTATTTTATTTTAATTTTAAAAATTTAATAAATCTTTATTGCTCAGATTATTATAATTGTTTCTCCTTTTCCCCCCCATAGCTTCCCTCCACCTGGTTCCCACCCCACCCTCTGCCCTTACCTCCTACCACTGTCCTCATCATAGGTGTACGCTTTTTGTCCAGTCTCTTCCTGCAGCCCACACCCCTTTCCTCCCAAGAATTTTCAGTCCACTCCCTTGATATGCCCCTGATTCTATTATATTCACCAGTTTATTCTGTTCATCAGATTTTTAATTCACTTGATTTTTAGGTTCACTTGTTGATATGTTATTTGTTGTTCATAATTTTTATCTTTACCTTTTTCTTCTTCCTCTTCTTAAAGAATTTCTTTCAGCATTTCATATAATACTGGTTTGGTGTTGATGAACTCTTTAGCTTTTTCTTATCTGTGAAGCTCTTTATCTGACCTTCAACTATGAATGATAAATTTGCTGGGTAGAACAATCTTCATTGTTTGTTTTTACTATTCATCACTTTGAATATTTCTTGCCACTCCCTTCTGGCCTGCATAGTTTCTGTTGAGAAATTAGCTGACAATCGTATGGGTGCTCCCTTGTAGGTAACTTACTGTTTTTCTCTTGCTGCTTTCAAGATTCTCTCTTTGTCTTTTGCCCTTGGCATTTTATTTATTTATTTATTTATTTTTTGCCCTTGGCATTTTAATTATGATGTGTCTTGGCGTGATCCTCTTTGGATTCCTTTTGTTTGGGGTTCTGTGCACTTCCTGGACTTGTAAGTATATTTCTTTCATCAGGTGGGGGAAGTTTTCAGTCAATTCTTCAGATAGGTTTTCAGTATCTGCTCTCTCTCTCTTCTTCTGAAACCCCCATAATTCTGATGTTGGTATGCTTGAAGTTGTCCCAGAGGCTTCTTACACTCTCTTCAAAATTTTGGACTCTTTTTTTCTTTTTTCTTTCCCGGTTGAGTGTTTTTTGCTTCTTTGTATTTCAAATCTTTGATTTGATTCTTGCATTCCTTTAGTTGGGTCTCTGTATAATATTTTTTATTTTAGTCAGTGTATGTTTAATTTCTAGTTGGTCCTTTTCATATCCTCGAAGGTCTCACTGAATTTATCAGCCATTTCTAGGAAATTCTTGATAGGCCAGTGGACTGTGACAAAATACCATGGCCTGGGCGAGTCTGTTTTGAAGAAGTGGCGTTAGAAGTAGTTTAAGTTTAAAAAATTTGGCTCTCAAAAGAAACTTCAATCGTTGTATTATTGATATTTGGCTCTGTGGACTAATGAGTTTGCCGACCACTGCCTTAGGAGTTGCTGCCTCGCTCTGATTCATCTCATCACTGCTCACCATCACTCACTCTGAGCTTTCTAGCCACAGGTGGCCCTCTTGCTGTGAGCTCCAGTTGCTGAGCAAATCTTGTCTTGGAGCCTTTGCGTTTGCTCTTCTCTCTGCTAGGAATGTTTTTTCTCTGGTTATTCAGAGTGTTCTGCCTTCTTAAGGGCTCTACTCAAGAGTCCTGTATCAGTGACTTTCTCTGATACCCACTCTATGTGAAAATCCTTTTTCTACCCTCTTATATTTCTTCATAGCACTTTTAACTGTCACTGTGTTTGCTTGTTGATTGTCTTTTCCTTTACTGGGATGTAAACTTTATGAAAACAAGGCTTTGTTTTATTCTTTGCTGTATTCCTCATGCTTCAGACAATACCTGGCATGTAGATAGGGAACAAATGAATGAGAAGAACTATGTAATGGACTGTCTCCATTTTTGCCTTGACTTTGAAAAGCTCAGAGCCAACTGGACACTTAACTGTGTTGGGGCAGGTGGAACTTCCATATTTATTTTCCTTATTGCCTGTCCATCCTGACTTCATGCTTTAATTTATATTTTCTTATTTATTGAGTCTTAGTTCTCATTTATATTTGCTATACTCCAATGAGTTATTTAAAAATCTGTGGAAAAGAGGGACTTTAAGTAGAAAAGGAATTCTTAACATTTTCAATAATATGGATTTGTTGCTAATATAGGGTCTCAGAATATGTAAAGGATAAACCATTTTTTTCTGTTAGAATTTTTGTGCTGCCAATTTGACCATGAGAGCTGCAGGAAAAAGTATTTCATATGTTCCTTTTGGTATGTATATCCTAGGTTGTTGGGCTCTTTGAAAACATAATTTATATTAAATAACTAACATATATAATGGATTTAATTTGTTTTCAGAGATGCTGATGATAAACACAAACTTATAACTAAAACAGAAGCAAAACAAGAATACCTTCTGAAAGACTGTGATTTAGAAAAAAGAGAACCACCTCTTAAATTTATTGTGAAGAAGAATCCTCGTCATTCACAGTGGGGTGATATGAAACTCTACTTAAAATTACAGGTCTCTAATGAGTAATATTCATTTTATTCCTGGGACAGGTTAAGTTTTAACAAGCAACTAGTTCTAATTAGTTTAGTTTTTGCTTTTAGAATTAAAAAGATACTTTGCATTTTGCTTTGCATATGAATCACAGTTACTCAAAATGACAATAGCATGTTTTCTTATTTTGCTTTTTGGTGCAGCACTTTGAAGCAATGTATTATCATTGAGTAATGTTAGGAGTACAGTTGGGAAACTAAAAAAGCTTGGAATGAGAGGCAGACCCTGTATTCCTGCTGCCCTCTGACCCAAAAGTCTTTTTTTTAAAATTCAGGAATTTCACAAATGCCTAAAATCTAACTCTATTTGGGAAATACTCATCTGAAACCCTGTGAGGTGTCCATGTAACTAGTATGTTCCAGAGCAGATTTTCTCAACTCCTTTTGCTGCCATTGTTTCAGGTGTGCCAAGATAGTGAATACTCTTAGTTCCTGGGCTGCGATAGTGCCTAGGCTGGGTGCCTCGGGTCACAAGCAGCCTCTTGTATGTACCCCAGAATGGTACAGTACTGTAGTATTCTTTTTGAGGCATTAATTTAGAGCAATATGAATTAAAATATACTAGAAAATCCTAGTATCTTTAAATAAAATTAAGCCACATGTAAAACCAAACATACATTGAATTTCATTCAATATAAGACAACTATCGATTAGAAAATTTACTATTATTTTATGTACTATCAGAAATTAAAAAGTGCTCATTAAACAATATTTTTATTGATATCAGAGAGAGGAAGGGAGAGGGACAGATAGAAACATCAATGATGAGAGAATCATCATTTGGCTGCCTCCTGCACGGCCCCTACTGGGGATCGAGCTCGCAACCCAAGTACGTGCCCTGACGGAATCGAACCTTGACCTCTTGGTTTATAGGACCAAGCTCAACCACTAAGCCATGCTGGCTGGGCCTGAACCACTTTTGACTCAGAATTGTTCAAGTACTGTTAGCATGTTGGTGATGCAACAATTTTAGAGGGTTAATTGTGAAAAATGTGATGTTTTGGAATGTTTAAAATAAGAGTATATGTTTTATGTTAAGAAATTTGAATTTGGCTACATTGATTGATATTTTGGTCCCCTTAACATATTTTGAGAGAGATAGTGAGCATAATTCTCAGTGTATATATTATTCTAAATATGAATAAATTTTATAAAGAGTAAAGATACATAACCTAAAGTATTAAGAGTAGAATAAAGACTTTTCGGTCCTTTAGCTACCATAGATTTAAAAAAATGCATATTCTGCCGAACTGGTTTGGTTCAATGGATAGAGCATCGGTCTGCTGACTGAAAGGTCCCAGGTTCGATTCCAGTCAAGGGCATGTTCATTGGTTGCGGGCACACCCCCAGTAGGGGGTGTGCAAGAGGCAGCTGGTCGATGTTTCTCTCTCTATCTCTCTCTCTTCTTCTCTGGAAAATCAATAAAAAATATTTTAAAAAAATGCATATTCTAAAGATCAGAGGTTAGTCAAATGATGGAAAAACTATTATTGATTCACGAGAGGAGTGGTAGTGATTGATTTCCTGAGGTGGGAAATTTTTGGAGGTTACCTCCTACTTAGATCTGATGTGACTAATTGATAAGTAAATTTTGGGGGGTGAGCTTATCAAAACTCATTAGAACCCTGATTTATATGTCCTTACGTTGATTCAAGTGAAAAAGCCGAGTGAGTCAGAGAAACAGTTATAGTCTTAGGATAACTTTCCTATTTATAATCAAGATTAGCATACATTTCCTGAGGTTCTCAGAGGTTTAGATAGAGGCATTTATAGAGTTGTTTTTTATCAATATTTAAAATTTCAAATAAATATAAAATTGTACTTGAGTTAGATCATTCTTCGGTGCCTGTGGATTTAATAATTATAACTATAATTTGCAACTCTGAATCACAACTAATTTAAATATGAATTCTGTATTATAGATTGTGAAGAGGGCTCTAGAAGTTTGGGGTAGTCAGGAAGCATTAGAAGAAGCGAAGGAAGTTCGACAGAAAAACCGAGAGAAAATGAAACAGAAGAAGTTTGATAAAAAAGTAAAAGGTAAGTGGGTATATTTATATCCTAAAGGACTATGTTTTTTCCTGTTTAAAGATGTAATGTCACCAATAGATTGGAATACTAATATGTCATATGTACATTGAAGAAAAAAGACTTAAAATAATGCTCTTAGAAGGTGGGTGTGTGGCATTCTTGAGTCCAAGCCTCACAATATTGCAATTCTAAAAAGCATGTAAACCCTCATTTTAATGTGAATCATGTATCCCTGGTCAAAGATTTGGCAACAGTTCAATCTTTATAACTCAAAAAGAGTTATTAAAAGCAAATATATTGATTAACAAGCCTCTTAATTGCTGAAAATGAAAAAATTATGGTTAAGTCCTATCTAATTTGGCAGTTAGAAGGAACCTATCTAATATCAGCTAGTTTAATCCCTTTTATCATATATATAAAAGGCTAATATGCTAAGTGTTCCTCTGCCCGTCTGACCAGTCGCTATGACATGCACTGACCACCAGAGGGCAGATGCTCAATGCAGGAGCTACTGAGCTGCATTAACTTGGCAGCGACAGTTCTCGGCTGATGCACCTCGAACCCAGAGAGGAGGGAGCCTGATTCCTTTGGGGCTGTGCGATTCCACCTTCGGCCGTGGGTAATGTTGCTGGGGCACTGTCAGCCCCAAACCTGTTTACTGCACACTTGATATTTGCCGTCCACCCCTGTGTGATAGCAACTTTGCAGGGTGCTTTCTTGCACTCCGGGACCCCTTAGGGGATGTCAGAGAGCCTGTTTCCGCCCGATTTGTTGATGATAGCCATTCTAACAGGTGAGATGGTACCTCATTTTTGTTTTGATTTGCATCTCTTGGATGATTAGTGACTTAGAACATGTTTTCATATTCCTTCTTGGCCTTTCAAAAGGTGTCTATTTAAGGCCTTTGCCCATATTTTTATTGGATTGTTTATCTTTTTAAGTTGTATGAGTTCCCTATAAATTTGGAGATTAGGCCCTTATTGGATATAATATTGGCAAATATGTTCTTCCATGCAGTGGGCTTTCTTGTTTTGTTAATGGTTTCTTTTGTTGTATAGAAGCTTTTTATTTTGATATAGTCCCATTTGTTTATTTTCTCCTTAGTTTCAATTGCCCTAGGACCGTGGTGGCTCTTTGGCCCCTTGAGTGTGGCTCTTCCACAAAATAACACGGCCTGGGAGAGTCTATTTTGAAGAAGTGGCGTTAGAAGAAGTTTAAGTTTATAAAATTTGGCTCTCAAAAGAAATTTCAATAGTTGTACTGTTGATATTTGGCTCTGTTGACTAATGAGTTTGCCAACCACTGCTCTAGTCCCACCTTGCGAGAGTTTTTATCAAGAAAGGGTGTTGGATTTTGTCAAATGCTTTTTCTATTGTACATCAATTGATATGATTATATGGTTTTTATCCCTTAATTTGTGATGTATTTTGTTTATTGATTTGCAGTTATTGTACCATCCTTGCATCTCGGCCCTGGTGTATAATGCAATGCTGGATTTTATTTGCTAGAATTTTGTTGAGGATTTTGGCATCTATGTTCATGGGGGATATTGGCCTGTAATTCTCTTTCTTTGTAGTGTCCTTATCTGGTTTTGGGATTAGGGTAATGCTGGCTTCATAGAAAGAGGTTGGAAGTGTTCCTTCCTCTTGAATTCTTTGGAATAGCCCGAGGAGGACAGGTTTTCGTTCATTCAAAGAAGAATGGTAAAGTTTAGTAAAACTCATTTAAACAAGGGAAAACTTGTTTTGGTAAAAAGTATAAACAGACCCGAAGGATACCAGTAGCAAGTATTTTAACACCGTAAACCACTCTATGTTTGACTTGTTCCCTCTCATTCCCCCTCCAAGGTTTCCTCAGCTCCCAAGTCTTAACTCTTCCTCCCCTCTTGTCTCAGACCTTTCTGCCTTCTCTTCTCATTCTCAGCAGTAGGTAGTTGATTTCTACTTTCCAAAGTTTTAAGTTGCTTAAATAAAGTAATGTTAAAGCTTCATTAATAAAAACATATTAATCTTTATTTAAACAAGTTTTTATTTCACCATATGTTGTTTGCCATATATGCTTTTTTCTCTCCTTCACATATGTATTTTGCTGAACTATTTAAGAATTACTTGTAGACACTGTAATTTTTATCGAGTATGTCAACATGTTCTCTCCTAAAAACAATGACATTCTCTGCATAACTAAAAACAATCACACCCATAAATTTATCATTAATATAACGCTAGTGTATTTATCCCCCCCCCTCCCCCCCTCGTAGTTCCAATGCCTTTACCAGCTTTTTAGGAGCCATTCAAAGATGATGCATATCTATAGTCTTAGTTTCTCAGCCTTTTTATCTTTCATGATATTGACATTTTTTAAAACTAAGAGTTGACTATTTTATTTTTACATTTCACAATACAAATAACATAAACCGATAGAGGCTCCCTCTCTTAAGAGTCCAGGCCATCTGGTGTGTGGAATGCCCCTCTATTTGGGTTTATTCGCAGTTTGTTTCCTCATAGATTCAGGTGGAGCGGTTTTGGTAGGAACGCTTCCTAGGTGATGTATATCCTGTCAGCACACATACCAGATCTCTGAGAGTGCTCCTCAGTTTGATTGATTGGTTAAGGCAGCGTCAGCCTGATTTCTTCAGCCACCCTTTCTCTACTTTTTGACACTTTGTGAACATCTTGTTCCTTAAATTTCACTCAGTGGTTTTAGTACACGGGAATGATTCTTTCCTGAGTCAGTTATTGTTAGGGTGCATGTACTAGTAAATGGCGATTTTCTATTTGTTATTCTTTCTATAATTGCTATTTGACTTCTTTTGGAAAGAAGCATCTTTAGTACCATTTGAATTCATGGATTCTTATTCTCAAACCAGTGTTATAATCCATATTTCTATCATTTATTTTGATGCTTACTGTCTCAAATTTGGCCAGTGAAAGCTCCTTCAAGCTAGCTGTTGTCTTTTTTTTTTTTTTTTTTAAAGAGCCTTTGAGGGAAGTTTTATATATATATATATATATATATATATATATATATATATATATATACACACACACACACACACACACACACACACACACACACACACATACATACATATATATATTTGTATATATGTATATATTTTATTTATTTTTTACAGAGAGGAAGGGAGAGGGACAGTGGGACAGGGAGTTAGAAACATTGATGAGAGGAACATCGATCAGCTGCCTCCTGCACACCCTCTACTGGGGATGTGCCTGCAACCAAAGTACATGCCCTTGACAGGAATTGAACCTGGGACCCTTGAGTCTGCAGGCTGACGCTCTGTCCACTGAGCCAAACCGGTTTCGGCAAGCTAGCTTCTGTCTTTTTATTTGTAATAATTTCAAACTTACATAAAATTATAAGAATAGTACAAAGGATACCCATATATTCTTTACCCCATTTTACCTAATCTTAACACTTTGCCATTTGTTTCATTATTTACATTCTATACCCGTTCTTTTCTATACCCTTTGGGTAGGTTGTATACATCATCACTCTTTACTCTTAAATTCTATACCGTATTACTTAATAGGAATGTCCTCTTAAAAAATCAAAGTATAATATTGATATTTTAATCTAATCTGCCATCCATATTCTAGTTTTGTTAGCTGACCCAATAATGTCCTGTATGATTTTTTGTTCTAGCATCAGGTATCGGCTTTAGGTACCATGTCTTTCTAAATTTTTTTATTCTACACTATTTCCACAGCCTTTATCCTTTATGACAGTGTCATTTTGAAGTGTTTCATTTGGGACTTTTCTGATTTGCCCTGATGGTTAGATTCTGGTTATACATTTCAGGGATAGCACATAAACGATGTGTCTTTCTCAGGGCATCACGTTTGGAGGCATGGTGGAGGTTTTATTTTTGAGGTGATAAGCATAAACAAAGAAATAAAATGGTAAGATTAGCACATGTCTTAACACTTCCCTCTAGAGTTTAGCAACTATCCATGGATGGTTCTTGCCTGAGCCAGTCTTGAGTATTATGATTACAAAAATTTTCTAACTTTAGCACTCCCTCTGCATTTAACCAGCGTCCTTTCCCCCATTTATTATTGGTAGGGGTTAATTCCTGTTCTTCACAATAGGTTCATTTCTGTCAATTATTTTGGTGCTCAAATTTTAATCCTCACCTGAGGTATGTTTTTATCTGGGGGGGGGGGGGGGAGAAAAACATTGATTAGTTGCCTCCCATATGGGCTCGGACACCAGGGGATTGAACCAGTAACTTAGCCATGTGTCCTGACTGGCAACCTTTTGATATATGGGGTGGCACTACAACTGAGTCACCTGGCCAGGGCAGAAGTACCTTCAGACTAGCTCTGAGTCCTTTTGGCATGTCTTCATCATTTATTGAGGACTCCTTTCTGCTTTCTACACAGAACACATGTATATTTTTTATATTTTTATGTTTGTCCATATACACACACATAAAAATTAAAACCTTGAGTTCACACTGATAAACCCCATTCAATAAAAAAGGTTTAGGGTTCATCCTATTTTCCTGACAGGGAGAACCCCGATTCCCATTACCCTTACTATAGTTAGCTGGTGAATGTCCCTGTAACTGATCTCCCATCACTGCTGCCACCTCCTCTGTAGGGAGATCCTCCTTACCTTTCTTGGGCTGCCCCACCCCACCATAGATGCCTGCGTTACTTGCTCCACTTAATAATGGTTTTAGGACTGGATTGTTCCAGGAAGGAAAAGAAGGGCAAGAAAATGACAAACATCAGTTTTTTAGTATTTCCTTATTTTCCACCATATTTTCCTAGAAATATCTAGTAAATACTAAAGGTATGACCGATCATGCCTACTAAGCTAGATTTTGGTTAAGTATTCTTTTAGTGTTAATACTTCTCTCTCCCTAAATTCACATAATGCTCAAATTTAGGCAGAGGTTAGCTTAGCAGTGATTGGGATGCAGTCAGATTTTGAGGGATTTTCTGTGGGGCCGTGAAGGAAAAGTGGCCAGGATACCTTACATCAGAACAAAGCTGAAAAGCAGGTATTGGTATTCAAACAGGAAACATTTTCCTGTCATGTGAAACCATGAAGCAGCTGTGAAGTTCTGGTTAGTTTATTATTTCAATTTTTTATAAGCTGGCCTAAGAAAAAAATAATAAAAAGCCTAGAGGACATTTCAGATGTCTAGAAAAATTAGGGTTCTTCAAAGTATGATATAACAGTAATCAAGCTTAGATTTTGGATGAACATGAACTATCTTAAGGTGTGCATGCTGAAGCTTAAACATCGTTTCAGATCAAGTGCTTTTCATACAGGAGGTATGAAAAGGCAGCACAGCTGTGGTTAAGAACACGTACCTGAGCTAGATTGTGCCTCTGCCTTCAACTAGCTGTTTGACCTATGACACGCTGTGCCTTAAGTTTTCTCATCTATAAAATTGGGATAATAGTTGTACTTATTTCAAAGGATCGGGAGGATTAAGTGTATTTTATACAGTGCATAGAGCAGTGCCTGATACATAGCTCTATATGTTTGCTTATCCTCACGATATGATAAAGGCTGAAAATACAAAGACTCAGGTAGTATTTTGATTGCTTATTACAGATTTAAAAAGGAGTCAAGAAAATGTGTGATCACTTGGTACATGTTGATCTTTATGGTTGACATAAAAGATAACTACCATACTCTCCCTTAGGTTGTGCTTCTCAGTGCTGGGCTTGATGGATCATTGGTTAGAATAGAAAAAAAGTGAACAATTACTGTTGCTTTTTGTTCATTTAACTAGAAACTGAAGTTATTTGCTTAATTTCAAAGTGGGAAGAGGAAGAGACAGACTCCCCTTTGCTGCTGTAGCATCCTGTCTCCCATAGTCAGTTGCTTGAACAAATCCTCTTCTTTCACTCATTTTAATTTGCTTTTGCTATCCCTCTAACCCACACACTCCATTTCTGAATCTAGTTCATACTACTCCAATGGCATGAATGACTTGACAGGTCAACTTGAAGGTTGTATAATCAATTTTGATTTGTTAAAGTTAAGGCAAACCATACATTCCTACACACCTGATAGATTTCAGCTGAATAGCATTATTGGAAAACTGGCATTTTACCCAGCTGGTGTATGGCTCAGTGGTGGTGTTGACCTGTGAACCAGAAAGTCATAGTTTGATTCCAGGTCAGGGCACATGAGGACTGTGGGCTTGATCCCCAGTGTGGGGCATACAGGAGGTAGCCTCTCAGTGATTCTCTCTTATTGATATTTCTCTCTCCCTCTCTGAAATCAATAAAAATATATTAAACACACACACAACCTGTTTTTCCCCTCTTCTCCCTTTAGAATTACGGCGAGCAGTAAGAAGCAGTGTATGGAAAAAGGAAATGGTTGCTCACCAACATGAGTATGGACAAGAAGAAAACCTAGAAGATGACATGTATCGGAAGATTTGTACTGTATGTGGCCATGAACTGACGTATGAGAAGATGTGATTTTTAGTTAAATGATCTGTTTCAGAGTTTTAGGTTTAGATACAAGAAATTTACATTGATCTTATTCAAAATTCACACAAAAAATACCTTTAGAGGTGAAATAGTTGTGTAAGTAATGCTTCAGTACTAAGTATGTATGTTATCGCTTAAGAGCAAGTGTCAGCTCAGGTCTGCAAGTCTGCTTGTGGGCTAAATACTGGGTCTAATAATTTTTTTCTGGTACAGGGATGGGAGCTTAGTGGTACAGTACGTTTAAAAATGTTAAGTGAGAGCTAAAGTTGAGAAATAAGAAACCAAGGTAAACCTTCGATTGGGGTAGGAGGATGAGTTTTAGTAAAGGCAAAAGCTGGCTGTTGTATTAGATTCTTATTCCAAGAAACAACAGGGATGGTGGTAAACCCTGCCAAGTCAGCGAGAAAGGAGCTGTTACTGGGACAAGTCCTGGTTAATAATAGGAAAAAAGAATGAGCTGTAGGCGCCTGACCATGTATTCTCTATTTGTAGGGTTTACTATAGGCCCTAATAGTCATTAGATAGCTCTGTTCAAACCTGGATTAAAATGGAGAAACAGCAAGGAAGGTAATTACAGTAAGTTTATCATATCTTGCTAACATTTACTGAGCACTTAAGTGCCAGGAAACCATTATGCTAGGTGCCTTATAGATAACCTAATTTTATCCTGGGAGGGAGGGAAGACAGCTTGCTTCTCTGTTTATTTAGCACTTGGAAAGGAAATGATAATAAAAAACCTGACAAAGGCAAAAGTCAAAACAAAACAAGTTAAACCCAAAGAGGGTTGACTGTAATTACTCATTATTCTCTTTATAAGTATTCAATACAGAAATGCTAAATATATATTTTTGTGTTGATTTTTTAAAATATGCTATGCTAAATATTTCAGCTCAATAAAAATTCTGAACGGGCAGAAGACCTTTCTGGGACCAAAAGAAAAAAAACAAACAAAACGCTTCCAGCTTGATGACAACAGAGTAACTAGGAGTTCAGGCTGCTGACAACAGCATTACTGCGTTGGGATAAGGAGCTATTGAGCCACTTGGATTTAGTTCAGATTTCACTTACTAGCTATGGATCTTGGGTAAGTTACTCCAGGGGCTGTTTTTATCTGGGCATAGTAACACATCTCTTCAACTTGTGAGGATTGAATATGGTGAATCTCTAGAACGTGGAACATAACAGCTTCTCGTTAATGAGACATATTGTCATCAAGACCAATAGTTATAAATTTGTCTAGCTGAGATATAGTTCTAGTCACTGTTTGCCTTCATTTTAAGACAATCCTGGTATCCAGATACTAATGATAGCCAGGTCTGCTCTGGTTAGGCTGGCAAGTTCACTACTAAATACTCTTATAGTAAAAGCAAACTTATCTTCATAGGAACTGCTTCCTGAGTAATTCCTGGGAAATTTAGAATCAGGGAAAACCAAAGTATATGTTCACTTTGGCATCTGAGTAGACTATATTGTATAGTTACTAAATGTATGGTAAACCAAAGAGATCATATATTAATGAGAATGCTTAATGCATTGTAAATTTATGATCCTATGTTGCACAAATGCTTAAATACTACCATTTGTGTGTGTGTGTGTGTGTTATAGATTTCAGACAAGAAGGGAGAGGGAGAAACAGAAACATCAATGAAGAGAGGGAATCATTGATCAGCTGCCTCCTGTATGCCCACTACTGGGGATTGAGCCTGCAACCTGGGCATGTGCCCTTGGCTGGAATTGAACCTGGGACCCTTCAGTCTGCGGCCGACGCTCTATCTACTGAGCAAAACCAGCTAGGGCTAGTTGTGGGATTTTATTGGTAAATTTTTTCTAAGGTTTAATGAAAAAGTGTAAAAATGCTAGAAATATGAAATGCTAGATAATACCTTAAACTTATGTTATTTTACAGTGCAGTCTCATTTATTATCCTAGTTATAGGAAACAGGCTCAGACATTAGTATTACTTGGGATTTTGTTTCTGTAAAACCTGGTCCAAGTATAGAGTTTCAGCCAACTTAACTACTTCTGGAGGAAATGACCAGGCCTCTAAGATAATGGCTCCCAAACTTGTCTGCACATTGGAGCCACACAGAAGCCTTAAAAACTATAGATGGTATGTGTTGCGTCCCCCCCCCCCCCCCCCCAATTGTGATTAATTTAAAAAAACACCCTGAAGGTTGCCAGGTGATTTATGTTCAGACAAATTTAGGAACTGCTACTGTGAATAACTAAATACACCTATTTTAAAGGGAAAATTTCAAATGGAGGTAAGTACCCTTTCAGTAAGAAATCACTAATTTTAAAATAGACTGACATGATAAATCATGAAATACCAAAATGTAAAAAACATTTTTAGTTTTATTTTAGCCATGTTAGGTTATCCATAAGCTGTGAAAAGCTATGCTACTTGGTAATAAACCCACTGTTTCTATATACTACTTTGTAAGCTTGACCTCTAGGGTTCACACACCTCAAATCAGTTATCTTTTGTGCCTTAAGGAGAAAAAATGTCAATCAGAAAAGTTGTATCTGTCACATAGATAATAATACATCCTATGGTCACCAATCGTCACATTGTCATTAGGGAATATTTGCTTTTTAGGGGTAATTACAGGTAACCAATGCCATATTCTTCACTGTCTTCCCTCTGTTTCCTTTAGAAAATGAAAGGAGCTACAAGAAAGCAAGCATTCAAACCACCTGAAATAAGACAAATTAGACTTTAAAAAAAATCTTGACATGAAGGGGAAAAGGCCCCTTAGGCCTGTAGGGCACAGAACTGCTGGAACACAGCCAGGATGTGAGGGTCTAGTTCCGCGGTGAAGAGCAGGTTCTCCAGGGTCACCATGTACTGCTGGATTATCTGGTGATGCTGTGGACACAAAAGGGGGTGTAGGTCAGAAAAAGAGCACATAAGCTATTTTGCAGAATATTCCCCTCAGCAGCCCACCCACGTTGTGAAAAAATGGAAATAACGGGCCCCTGAAAAGCCCCAACATTTGTAGAGGGAAACGAGGATGTTCAATAATTTAAAAAGCGCAGTTCTGACCAGCTTCTAGGGCAATGCATTCATGCCTCATGGCAATGCCTGCTGCTATTACCATTAGACTAGGTGAGTGGTTCTTCACCTTCCTACAGCAGCGGTTCTCAACCTGTCATGACCCACAGGTTGAGAACCACTAGCAGCGTTGCCTAAGATAATCGGAAAACACAGATATTTACATTATGATTCACACAGTAGCAAAATTACAGTTATGAAGTAGCAATGAAAATAACTTTATGGTTGGGGGGTCACCACAACATGAGGAACTGTATTAAAGGGTCGAAGCATTAGGAAGGTTGAGAACCATTGGACTAGGTAGGTTAAGCAGTCCTCTAATGAGGACAAAACAAGTATGACTTTAATAAAAGTAGCCCAAACAGAGCTAGATCTACAAAGATTTTTTTAAAAGATGGAAGATGGTATATGTTACAAATAGGAGTAGCACAATTGCTACTGTTTGAAATGTAAAAAGAAAAGTTTTGGAATATTTACTAAAGAAAAAAAAATAGACATTACCCAGTGATCTAATGATCTAATAATCTTTCCTATGTGCACCTATAAGAACTAAGGGTTGTTTTAATTGGCATTAACTAAATCTGGAGAGAATTTTTATTTGGAGGTTTAAAGAACTTTTTTTCCTTTTATGACTTCTAATTCAGTAACTTTTCTAGAATGAGAATTTAGGTTGTTAATTTTGGAAGACACAGAATTAGTTCCTCTCTCCTACCAGGCTTTAAAGTAACCTTGCTTTTCTAAGGGCACTGTTATCAGATTTTAAGGATCTTTGTTAATATAATTACCATTCCTTGAACATTTGTTCTCTGCTTTTTGTATTAAGCTAGGCTAGGTTTTCTAGCAAAGAATGGCAGTTAGGAGTCTGATAAGAACCAATTTAAGCCTCAATATTCTGAGCAATAGGAGGAAATGGACATGAACTAAAGTACTTATGGGTATTATATAACCTGACAAATTTTATGATTTTAATAAATGGAGTATCTTTGCAGCTGAGAATAGTGATGTTTATTATCTAATCAGTTTCCCACAAACCTGTAAGAAGATCTGCTGGAGCCTCTCTATGCAGTTCTTATACCACGGTGTTAATATGCTGGTCCCGTCCGTCTCACATCGTACTAAATGCTCAGTCAAGATCATGATAAAGCGCTGGAAAGGGGGTACAGAGTTAGAGGTGTTAAGAGAGGGAGTGAATGAATTCTTCAGAAACAATCCCACCTTGACCAAGGGACTGTAAAGATGCTATCTGTTCTGCTGTCTTTTTGATATATAACTTTTCATAATTCAACAAATACTGTCTACAAAGACACACCAGTAATAATGTTAGTACATTCTCTTTGGCAATAGGTAAGGACCTTTAATGTCTAGATTACTTAGGACATAATCAGAACTGTTAGAGGAATCTATGTACAAAAATGTTCATCAAGAAGGAAAACAGTCATTAAATGATCAATAATTGGGAATAATGAAAGTATTTAACAAACATTCTTGGTTTTTTAAAGCCTGGAAAAACACTCATACAAGAATGCTGAGTAAACAACACAATTTGGAGAGATACATGGTTAATTCCAAGTACTTAGCTTTTGTACTTTTAACTTTAATAACTACAAAGAACATATTTTAAACTGAAGAAATATATGTCCAAGCCAAAATACCTGAAATATGACAAGGAAGAGGTTCTTTTGTTCACTCTGAGCAGATTCCACTTTTTCCTGCAGTCTTTCTATTTGCTCTTCAAGAGCCCCATCTTTCCTGTCACTGCTTCTGTCGTCATCATCACTTCTCTACAGAATGCAAAGGAACAAAAGGAAAATGCCATTTAGAATGTTACTGTATTAAATCCCATCAAGTAAGGGAAATACTTTATTCTGTCTGGTCAAATAGTATTTGAAGACTTGGTATTCTGCTTTTTAAACTGTTTTTATTGATTTTTTTTTAGAGCCATTAGAAACATCAATGGCTGCCTCCTACATGCCTCCCACTAGGGATTGAGCCCGTAAACTAGCTTTGTGTTCTGATAGAAATCAAACTGATGACTTCTTAATCTATAGGTCGATGCTCAACCACGGAGCTACACTGGCTGGACTGAAGACTTGTATTCTATAGGGAAAGTACCACCCCAACACACACAGACATCTAAAAGTCCTAGGATCAGAAAAATTTAGTGGCACTTGTCTTGAATAATATAGCAGTGGGAGTGCTTGCTATTAAACCGAAGTGAGTTGTGCCTTTTATTAGATAGTCCAATCAGGGAGGAAATGTTTGTCATATATTTTTCCTCCAGTCAAAATGAAAACAACTGTGAGCTCCTGGAAAACATACTTGATTCCTATTATTCATCATAGCTGTGCTTTCTGAAGTAGCTGTGAGTCCAGAATTAGTTACTATACTACTGAACCACTGCTCTTAGGGGAAATAGAAAGCTACATCTAAATCATGTCCTAGCCAGTTTGTGCAATGGTTAGAGCGTCGACTTGTGGACTTGATTCCTGGCCCCAGTTGGGGTATATGTGAGAGGCAACCAATCAATGGGTCTCTCCCCCCCTTCCCCTCTAAAACCAATGGAAAAAAGTATTGGCAGTGAGGATTAACAACAAAAATACATAAATCTTAAAATAATTACATACAATATATTTTATGATTTCAGAGAGGAAGGGAGAGAATCATTGGTCAGCTGCCTGCTACGTGCCCCATACTGCTGGGGATCGAGCCTGCAACCTGGGCATGTGCTGTGACCAGAAATCGAGCCATGCCCTTCTGGTTCATAGGTTGACCTCTGAGCCATGCTGGCCAGACTATAGTATTTCTCTATACTAAAACACTAGCTGAGAAGGACTTAACATTTTCCTGACCCTTAGTAGTAATATGACAATTCCTTTGGCTTTCAACCTCTCAAGAATGCTGTCCATTCCCCCCTCCCCACACACACACATATCTTCACTGTGGCTATTTTTTCCATTGATTTTTATAGAGGAGAGGTTTTAATAAACCAGTCATCTCATAAGTGCATAGATTTAGCTCTTTCTGCATAGCTTTACCACACATTACAGATACTACTTTTTGGTGGGGCATCCTCATGTACAGATTGGTGAATTTCCTCTTCCTTTTTCTGGGTGTATTATTAATTTGTGAACATTGGATTCACAATCAACAGCACTGTAAGTCATGCCTGGACAAAGCTAATCCCCATGAGGCAAATCATGGCCGCCTTGTGCTTAGAACACCGGATAGCCCTTCAGTCTCATGCTGGAGGACCATTTTAAACAGTGAAATAACCAACCGAAACACCACAGAATGAAAACAAAAAGTACAAATAACGTGGCACTAAGTAACACCATCAAAAGGACACTTTTAAATAGGAGCTCTGATACAAGGCAGAATTGCGTTGTTCAATCTCAGCTGGGAACAAGCCCACTGGGCAACTCAAAATGTCCACCGCTCTGCGTATGTCTGCTATGACCAGGAGCACCGTGAGGTTATCAATTACTTTAGTGAGTTGGTAAAAAGAGAAGTTCCAAATAATGAAAGATAATGTGTTCTTAGAACTTGGCTATTTATTCAACAAAGTAGATGACCAATGAAAAAACTGACAGTGCTTTCCAGTCATTAATCTCTACCTGCCCATTTGAGCAATAACAGAGGGTAGCTTGCTAACCTTTCATCCTCTAATGGGACACAGAAAAACTGGGCAAGCCCTTACATAGCTCAAGAGGCTCATCGTTGTAATATCTGATTGATGGGCTCGGTATATCTCTGTTAAGCTTTAACAGTTGCCTTCTAATTCACCCTGAAGAACTTAAGAATATTCACCAAGGTTATTTTTGTTTGTTTTTAAAGGCAGAAGCCATGATTTTACAGATTAAGAGAATGGGCTCAGATGTTATGACTCCCAGTGTCACCGCCAACAAGTGGCAGAGACAGGAACTAACTCCAGGTGTGTTACAGTCCAAGATCCTTTTAGCAAGAAGGCAGGCAGCACCAAATTTGGAAAGCCCATTTCTTTCTAGGTAACACTACTGGTAAGGCCCCATCTATGAGAGCCTCTTCTGTTCCCCAAACACAATGATCAGAACCTCTTCACTCTGCTTTTCTCTCTAACACACCACCTGCTTTGGGGTCTGCCTAGGCACCTGGATACATGTTTGTCTTTTCCTAACACTGCACAAAGGCAAAGTTCTAGAGTACCACTACCCAGTATACCGTTCTGCAATGAGAGAAAAGTTAGATATATCTGTGCTGCTTATCACACTAGACATGTGGCTACTGAGCACTTGAAATATGGTTAGTGTGACTAAGGAACTGATTTTTAAATTGTAGCTGTTATCATATTGGACACCACATTCACAGAGAATGGTGTGGCATGAGGGAAAGTTTCAGGAATTTGACCGACTTGGGTCAGATCCCAGCTGTCACTCATAAGCCATGTAATCTTGATCCACGTATAAAATGGGGATGACACCATTTACCTTACAGTATTTTAGGTCCATGAGATTTTAGGTCCTTATAGTATTTTAGGTTCATGAGTCTGCTATAGGTCTGTAGAGGTCATTAAACTTGCTCTCACCTTCTACTCTAGTAAATGTGTATAGTACACTAGAAAATACAGCCAGCTCACTCCTTCCCTCCGAAGTGGCAAAGTACTCAATTTCTTATTAATGAGAAACATTTTCTAAACGTGGAAATGACTGCCTCACCTCTCACAGTACAGGTGGAGTGGGGAAACATCGATAATTGCCCCCTCCTGTTGCAGCAGAAACGTAGAGAAATACTAGTACAAGTGTTTTCTTTCACTCTCCTCCATCCAGAGATGGTCAACTATGGAACAGTAAGGGTTGTGGCTTCCTAAACAGGCTCACCATGCAGCAGTGAGCAACAACCCCCCACAGGCTGCTGCTTCCTTCACTTCTATAAACAGCTATAGAGAAATTTGGCCTCAGAAAACATAAGTTCCCATTCAAGGTAAACAATTTTGAATATTTTCAGAGTTTCCCAAACAAAATCATTTTGTTTTGGTGTACCCTGACCTTTTATGAGTAGAAACAAGACTTACCCGTTTGTGCTGTCTTGCGAGTTTTTCTTTAGCTTCATCCAGCTCTTTCTGTATCTTCAGAACATGTTTGTTCATCTTACGAATTGTAGAGTGCAGGATTTCCCAAACAAACAATCTTAAAGTAAAATGATATTTGTTACTGTATGCTAACCAATGCTTACAGAAAATAAGACCTCTCAACTTTTATAACCTACTCATTCTTAAGGTCTGGTATATAGCCTTCTACTCTTTAGGCAGAATTAGTCATATTGTCCCCATCAACATTTAAGCATCTATCACTACCCATTAGGCTCAGGTGAGCTTCTTGAAGGCAATACTGGGATCTTGTCATTTTTCTTATTTACATTGCCTCCGAGATACACACATTGAAGAAATGTGTGCATATTCACTGAAATGAAATGGTAAGTCAGAAAAAACATGAACAAAATCACATGTTCTCAAACACTAAATATTGGAATTTTCTTGAAGACCTAATCTGAGGCTCATTTTACATGCTTTTTACTACTTAGCACACACTCGGCCAATTCTCTTGGAACATTTAAGAAACTCATTAGTTGACAATAGTTGTAAACTGCTGGGCTTTTAAGAATAAGATAAATATTTGTATGTTGTCTACCTATCAGCAAATTGCTAAAGTACCAGATTCACCTTGAAGGCATTTTTAAGCAACTTCTTAACTACAATATTATTCTGTCTATAAAGTAGGTCTCCTAACCCCAAGACATAGCATAGAATAGTAGTACTTCCTTGTACAATTTCTGACTTGGATGACAGTTTTAAGTGGAAGATTGTCTTACAATCTGTTTAGAATGTTAGCAGACAGGATAAAGAAGAGTACTTTAACTCTGGAAAGGGTGCGTCAGAGAGAACTTTGCAGAAATAAGCTGAGCTTGGACAGAGCTCTTGAGCAATGTATCCGTTTAAGAATGCATGTGTTTGAATTCCAGCTCTGCACTTAGCTATACAACTTTGGGCAAGCTACATAAGCACTCTAATGCTTCCTACTTTGTAAAATATAGAGGATAATGTAACATGTTCTGCAGTGGTGTTTGTAAATGAGCTGCAAATGTAAATCACTCTGGATAATGGCTAACACATACTTGCGTGATCACTTTTCTGAAAGTTTGGAAGTCTGTTTTTTTTTTAAATATATTTTATTGATTTTGTACAGAGGGAGAGAGATAGAGAGTTAGAAACATCGATGAGAGAGTCATCGATCAGCTGCCTCTTGCACACCCCCTACTGGGGATATGCCCGCAACCAAGGTACATGCCCTTGACTGGAATCGAACCCGGGACCCTTCAGTCCCCAAGCCGACGCTCTATCCATTGAGCCAAACCGGTCTTGGTTGGAAGTCTGTTTTCATTTGTGAATGCCAACTTAGCCAGTATGATAACCTTAGATCACATCCTTTCACCCTAAGGACTCAGTTTATTTCAGACCAGTGTCCTTGCCAATAACAGACACAATGAAAAGGATAAATGCTTAGTGCTTAAAATATTTATGTCTTCGCAAGTAATTTTTCTTTGTTCCCGGTTTTGTGTTAATTCCTGTTGCCTGAGTCCTGATCAGTTATAAAGACTGGGGGCTTAACTTCATGAATAAGAACCAAACTTAATGAAAAGTCTCTTTCCTTTAAGGTAGGGGTGTCGAACTCAATCAGAGAAGGGGCCAAAATCTAAAATCCAGCCTAAATCGCGGGCCGAATGGTTTATTGAACAGTCATAAACTGTCATTGTGATGGAAACGCAGCGGAGTGCAGTGATGACAGCATGGTGCGGGCCACATTGCAAGGCCTGGCGGGACGGATTTGGCCCGCGGGCCTTGTGTTTGACACATGTGCTTAAGGGGAAATGGGTATAGAATGAATCTTCTGGATCCAGGATTTTTATGACTGAAGTGAGACCTCTCTCACTCACAGGCATCTGGGTGTCCACCAGGCTTCCCTCACATCTCTCTCTAAAAATGTGTATTTAATGTGACTATTCTTCCAGCTCCTAGTGTGCATTCTAGGTCCCCAATGGAGCTGGAATTCTTTTCCAAGTTCCATAGTCTAGCTGAGACCCTGACACACAGCCTAATCTTCTCTCCTAATAATCTAAATCCTTTATCAGCATTTCTACTTGACTAGTTGAGACCTTACATGTGTGTCCCTAAGAGACCCTGCAACCTGACTGGCTGTATTTCCACTGACCATTAGTATATATTAATATCAACCTGGTTTGGATAAAAATTTGGAGCTCATGTATAAAAACACACAAAAACCAATTCATAGGGAATAAGAAACGTTGTAAAATAATTCATATTACCTAATAAAGTCACGAGATAGTTCTGAAGAGAAGATCCAATTTGCTACTGCAGCACAGTCAACAATCTGCGTACGAATCATCTTGTCTACTAGTACAGCAATCATCTACAACAAGGGAAGAATTCTTAGGGTAAATCGCACTTATTTGTAGACCATAATAATCTCACTGCTAGAAAAGTAAAATAGAATGGTTGTGAGACTTATTTTGCCTTCTCCTTAGCTCTGTTACTTATTGCAGGAATACTATAACACCAGTAAAAATTGAGAAAAAAAGAAAAAGAAAAACTCTGGTAACACAAACATAAAATTTTTTTTAGATAATACCATTCTCATCCTTCAAAAATATAGGAATGTTTTATCATAAAAATCTTAAATATATTCTGAAACATATTTAAATGCCTCTGTATAACTCATGGCATAAAAACAATATATTAATATTGAAAAATCTGGTGTGTTTTTGCAGAAACTGGATAGACTGCATAACTATTTCCTACCTTATTGGTAGAATCTTTATGCAATAAGATTCATACTATTGAAAATGTGTTGAGCTCTGGCTGGTTTGGCTCAATGGATAGAATGTTGGCCTATGGACTGAAGGTCACAGGCTTGATCCCCAGTGGGGGGCGTGGAGGAGGCAGCTGATCAATGATTCTTACTGATGTTTCTATCTCTCTCTCCCTTGCTCTCTGAAATCAATAAAAAAAAAAAAAAATTTTTTTTAAAATGTGTTATAGTCCCAAATCATAATAATTGCTCTTAAAAAACACACAACCAAGTATCATTAATTCACAGCATTAAAAAAATTACATAGATTTTAAAACTATTCTATAAACAGTCAAATGTCATGTTTACAAACTAAAACAATGGTAATAAATAGCCTTGTTTTTATACCCTATACAATCAGAGCCTCAAGATGTCTAAGTAGTTTTTACCTGTGGATGGTTCCTCCAGACCTCAAACATAACTCTGAGAACATGTAATTTTCCTTCATCACTTTCAGCTAGGGTTTTGAAGACTTCATGAAACCTTTTGATACCGGGAGAAAAAAATACCACATAAAAACTTGTTAAGCATTTTAATGTTTCAAAGCCTTTTCAGTATTAATTTACAGTGCAAAATAACCAAATGTTAACCATTAAGGATATATAGAAAAGGAATGATTAGAAATTCAATTTGTATAATTTGTCACAAAAATCTTAAGAGATTTACAATATACCATCGTTTGCCTAGGACTACAGTTTACTGTGTATCTAAGAATTAGTGGTCTAAGGAATCATCTCCAAACACAGGTGATGCATTCCGTGTGACTCATCTTCTGTGGGAACCCTGCAATTAACATCATTTGGGATGGGGCAAGGAGGTCAGTTTCTGTTTGGCTGGAGGAAGATTTGTAAACCAACCAAATGGCAGAATGACCTGCCTCTATGACGCACACTGACCACCAGGGGGCAGACACTCAATGTAGGAGCTGCCCCCAGGTGGTCAGTGTGCTCCCAGAGGGAGAGCACCGCTCAGCCAGAAACTGGGCTCACGGCTGGCAAGCATAGAGACAGTAGCGGAAGCCTCTCTTACCTCCACAGCAGTGCTAAGGATGTCCGACTGCCAGCTTAGTCCTGCTCCCCTCGGGCCAGCAGCCAGGGGAGACTATAATCCTGAGGGCTCCTCAACTACAAGAGGGTGCAGGCTGAGCTTAGGGACCCCCCCCCTGAGTGCACGAATTTCGTGCACCTAGCCTCTAGTACTAGTATATAGTCAAGAAACTCCCACCCTGTCTAGACATCTTCCTAAGGAACTTAAGCAGAAATGAGAGCCCACTGCATTTTTGGGAGCCACCCAAGATTTGGCTTCTAAAGAAAGCTTTCTGACTCATCAGACAGTCCAAAACCAAGTTTTCCACAGGTTTCTCTAAAGGTCTGTATAAAAAACATTCATAGAAGCCATAGGTCAAGGATTTTAGTTACCACAAACCAAAAACCATTGTATCAAGTTACATTGTAATACTAAGATCTTCATATTTAGCAGTTTTAGGTAAAAATGACTATACTGCTGGTATTCAAGCCAACTTCAAAACCTAAAGAAAGGGGGTGTGTTCTTGTTGCACTTACTTTGCAAGGGCACTGAAGGAGTGGCTGAACGATTTGGCTGCCAAATGTAGCAGAGTCTGCACAAAAACCTCTATTTTCAGTGGGTTAAAGCTGAATCCTTCATCTGAAAAATATTCCATAAGAAGACAGAACAACATAAGTTTAGCAATTCCTTGATCCCTTACCTGGAATGCTAAACAGATGGCATGCTCACATCTAAATACTACGTCAGACATCCATGTAACGTGTGAGTACTAACAGACAATAAAAGACCACCATTGATTTCAAATACTCAAAGATATAAAACTAAGCATAATCCTAATTCTTCATTTTTTGGCTGTTTCCCTAGTTCTTCTATGTGATCCATTTATTTATAAATACCACATAGATTTCCTTGTTCTTATCTCTCTATATGATAGCAAGGTGATTTCTATAATAATAAATGCATATTCTGGACGAAGCCAGGGCTGCGAGAGCCGAGCCCCTGGCACAAATTTTGTACGTTGGGCCTCTAGTATATCAATAAAAAAAAAAAAAAATACAGTAAACTCTAAGCACTTCAGGTCTATGTTCTGACAATGTCTAAATTTAATATCATACTTTTGACTTAGGCTTTCTAATTACATTTTCTCTAAAATCCTAAGTGTCTTAGAAAAATCCCAGTAATAAATGACCCAAAGGCCATTAATGTTTTATTTTGATTAGTAGCCCTTTTTCTATGCACGTCTTATTCATAGATCTAACAAAGAAATTTTTTTCTCCTGAAATGGTTCCCTAATATCTAGACCTCTTATTCTTAGATATAACACATAATACCTGTTTTACTGATTTGTCTGTGTCATTTGTTTGTGTAGTTTTCAAGATATGTTTCACACGTATATAAGGCAAGTCCCTCTCAACACTAGTCTTACCCATTTATTGATTCAAGGAAACTCTTAAGAAATTATTTTGCCAACTTTCCCATTCTTTCCCTCCAAATACCTAGGGTCTTTCACTGGAATTACATGATAAGTTTAATTTGGAGAAAATATCCAACTTTGTAATACACCAAATCTTCCTGAACCTCTCTAAAGTGAAAGCAGGGACTGCCTAAAAATCTTTCAGTGAAAGTAGTATATTGTGCTTTGCATTTATATTATATACATAATCCAAGCAATTTCATAAGGATGTTAGAATCTCTTTATACAAAGGAGAAAATTCCTAGGTACTAGTTACAACTGACGGGCTGAATAGACTTCCAAGGAATACAGTGATTTATGAGCAATTAATGAGATTTAAAAGGAGCTCGTGTTGCCAGAGTTATGTTAATGCTCTAACCTGGCCTATACATAGTTCACTCAAAAAATATTTAATTTCCTTACCGTCATCATCATCTTGGTTCGGATTTGGTACATCTTTCAGAATGCTGAAGATTTCATCACTGGTTGCTTTACTTTTAAAGGCAACAGCTAAACAGAGGGCAACCGAATGTCCAGGAAGAGAATCTAAGCACAGAATTGGGGGGGGGGGGGGGAGGGGGAGAGAAGGGTGTAGATCAGGTTTTAAGACTATTCTTGCAAATAATTAAATTAACTGAGAAACTAAAAATAATACCCCCCCCCCAATAGAATACTCTTTATCCCAAGATCAGTATTTAATCTGTACAAAGATATAACATGTGAAAATTACATTTAATAAGTCAAGGCTTTTTACCTAAAATAAGGCATAATTCTCACTTCAACACTTCCTTAAGAACACTTAGCTAATTGAAATTAACAGTACAAGGGGTGTTGATCTTCAGGGATGAGAATGAAGGGAACTGTGAATACAGTTAAATAGTCCTTTGATATCCTCAAGTCCCTAAGCTTCTGTAAGCTGAAAATCTGAGAATCAATGTATTCCTCTTTCATTTTTGTCACTTCGCCTTTCCTGAGATAGAGCAAACTGAGTTTGGGTTTCAACAAGGTGAAAGCCAACTTCAAGTTTTTTCTTTTTTTTCCTTTTTCTGAGTCCATACACAAGCTAGATGTTCATGTGCTGTGTTTACTACTGGTTAATGTATACCAAGTCCTTATTGTATGAAATTTGTGCTAGTGTAAGCTGTAAGACATCACCAGAGCAATACACTTTTAATGTAAGGTAGATAAAGTTAACAATTAAAAAGGAAGTTCTGACATAGAATAGGAATTAGAGGCACTTGGAATGAATAAAGTAAATTACAATAGGTCACATATACTTGGTGCTTTTCCTTGAAACTGGGAGAGAAAATAAATGACAGAAAAAAGAATTCCTGGAACCGAGGTGCCTGTATTTTAGCTGGGGAATCAAGGTATTCACAAAGGAAGCAGCCACAAAGCAACACAAAACTGGCTTGCTAAAGGTTAAAAATATTTAGTCATGAAGGTTGGTCTAGAAGAGTGGTCAGCAAACTGCGGCTCGCGAGCCATATGCGGCTCTTTGGCCCCTTGAGTTTTTAGCAAAGTCCAGCTTAGGAGTACCCTAATTAAGTTAATAACAATGTACCTACCTATGTAGTTTAAGAAATTTGGCTCTCAAAAGAAATTTCAATCGTTGTACTGTTAACATTTGGCTCTGTTGACTAATGAGTTTGCCAATCACTGGTCTAATCAACTGAGCCACACCAGCCAGGGCTGTGTAATTTTTTAAGGGAACGAAGATGTTCACAATGTATCAGTAAATGAAAACAGATTACAAAACAGTATGTATACTAGACACTAGACACTAGGAAGGGAACAGGGCCCAAAGATAGCATGGCTGCTCAGTCAGTAAACCTGGGCTTGGATCTGAGCTCTATCACTTAGAAGCAATCTCACTCTGGCTTTGCCTCTCTGAAGCATTTTCCTCATTGTAAAATTGATATAATAAACATACCTATTTCTCAGTTGTTTTAAGGATTAGGAAATATATTTAGCCACGGGGGTTTATTTCAAGGATAACAGGCATAGTCTGAGGTGTAGGTGGAGAATTAGGAGTGCAGTATGAGGGCAAGAGAGAGGAGCAAGTTTTAAAATACGAAGAATCTATGCAACATGATATGGAAGACTCATGGAGGAGCTGTGTTTAGTGCCAAGTGAAAAGACTAACTTGGAAAAACCCCACACCTAACCCTCTACCAGTGATGACTATTGGACACCTTACCTTCATTAAGTGTGAAACACAAAATGGCATATCAAATTATAGTCTCTCTGTCTTATAATGCAATCTCACTGGACAAAATATAGTGTATGTATATATACTGTGCTCCCAAACCCGAATTGGTATCAGATGATCAAGTTATCTCCATCACTATGACAAATATACATCTCCATTTTAATAAATTTTGGCTATAAATTCACCTTGCTCTGCTTAGCAATATTTAACATATGTCATGACTATAACATAATAGCCAGTGTTAAAAGAAAAAAGTTACAAGCCAGTAATAATTAAGTATATCACAATGAATCTTCAGAATGACAACAGAGCAGCTCCACCCGGTTTTGCTCCCCTCCGCTCCTCTCTCCTCTCTCTAGAAATCAATGGGAAGAATATCCTTGGATGAAGATTCCAAAAAAAAAAGGGCAAATAAAACAATAGTGGCTAGTAGCAGATCACCTTTCAAATAGAGAAAATATAAACCCAAGAAAGAGTTGACTTTTTCCTCAAATAACTGATGTCAGCAAATACTTGCGTTGTTACTTCTTAAAGACAGGAATTTATTACTTACTGCTACTTTCATCTCCATATTTGTAAATGCAGGTTGGGTTTGCAGGACATAGAGTTGAGAAGGTGGGAGGAACAATATCCAATATACGCTGATGGTAAGATAACCTAAAATACAAATAAGAGCTTCAGAAATATCATTCATCAGTCCCATTCATCAGTTCAATTCCTCATTAACATCCAACTTATTTGGAAAGTCACAATCTCCAGCACCCTCCAAGTACAATGCCAACTAATAAAAGAAGGAACAATGGAAAAAGAGAAACATCACTTAGCGATCATCATAAAGGGGGCAGGTAAAGAGTTGCCAGTAGAGGTTTGGTGAATAGGGTGATGTGGAGGTTTGATGAATAGGATAAGTATAACCTCAGAATATTTACTACAAAAAAATCAATTACAAAGGGAAAAATGGTGAATTTAGGTGGAAAAGCCCGGCAGATAGACATATCTCCAATGGTGGGATGCACTGTGAAGAGCAACAACAATGCAAGACTTGATTCTGGTCATGAGGACACAGCAGGGCGACCAAGAAAGTGAGGCCTAGATTCTTTAAAACTGATAAGGACATGAAAAATAGAATAATAATAACTGTTCACGATTGAGAAATGTGAAGATAATGACAGCAAATACTACATGTGTTCCTGGATAGGATTCTGAACCAGAAAGGAAAAAGGGAATTGTTAGGATAGCTGGTAAAATTTAAGCATTCGTGGACTGTATGGTAGTATCTGTACCAGAGCTGATTTCCCGATTTGAAAGGTGGTATGGTGATTGTCTTTGTTTTGGGGAAATATACAATAGATTGTTAAAGGTGATGAGATGTTATCTGTAGCTTGTTTCCAAAGGGTTCAGAAAAAGACCAATGTAATAGTGTACACAGAGAGGAGAAAAAGGAGAACTAGAAAAAATGTGGTAAGATGTTAATGAGGAAATCTGGATGAATAGGATAGAGTTCTTTGTATATTTTTCCCAAATAACAAAACAACTTTTTGGCTTAATTCACACAAAAACCAAATGTTATAGTTGCCTAATTTTTTCAGCTTACATCTTGATTAAAAACTAGCAAGGAAGAGATGTAGGTAGTTGAGTTTTAAAAATTACATTCTGGACATATATCACAAATGCAGAAGAGAGAAAAATCCTACCTCAAAAATTAGGAGACTTAAGGAGAAAACACAAAGAACTTACCTCATACATTTTTCTAGAACTTCTTTTACAAACTTTGGTTTGGGACTATCAGGATCTTGAGTAAGACAATCTGACCTAATGAGTAAACATAGTTTTAGAAGTTCTTACATAGAATCTGTACTTATTCCTAACTTGTACTTAGCTAAAAATAGATTCCTTCTACCTAAATTATTTCATTTATGTATTTAAATATAAAAAAATTAAATATTTTAGACCATGAAGACTGTTTTTATGTTATAGTTTTAAATATTAACAGTATCGCCGAAACCGGTTTGGCTAAGTGGATAGAGCATCGGCCTGCGGACTGAAAGGTCCCAGGTTCGATTCTGGTCAAGGGCATGTATCTGGGTTGCGGACACATCCCCAGTAGGGGGTGTGCAAGAGGCAGCTGATCGATGACTCTCATCGATGTTTCTAACTATCTCTCTCCCTTCCTCTCTGTGAAAAATCAATAAAATATATTAAAAAATATTAACAGTATCTTTAAAATTAAGGTAGATTGTAGAGAAAGGAAAAGCTAAAATATAATACCACTTACCAATCTTCCCAACTCCAACGAAACTGGAAGTTACTTAGATGATGGGAAAACCAATTAATAAACCTATACAGAGAAGAGGAAGGAACACAAAAAGATGAATGGTTACAATTTATACCAGAAACTTATGAAATCCTTCAGACAAATAAAACCCTATGTTATAGAGTTAAGTTACAAGCATATACCCTTACCTATAGCTGTATCTTCTGCTACTTATCCTTTTCTCTGCAAATCCTGTACCTCATCTTCTTAAAAATATAACAATTTCCTAACTCACTCCTTTTTTAGGTGAATAATAGATATGACTTAAGTGCCTATTTTGTGGCAGGCACCTTATATGTTTTATTATTTAATAATAATTTCTGAGGAGTATATTATTTTTCTCATTACTTAAAAGTGGCAAAAAAAAGATTAAATGGCAGATAAAACATTTTATAAATGGTAGAGCCAAAGCAGTTTTTTACCATCACGACCATAACTTCACCACAAACAACAAAATATACCTCTGAAGCTCCCTTGTCTCTAAAAATATATCTACTCTAGATAGGGATCATCCTAGCAAACTGTATAATGCTGTGATGATTTTAAGAGCCCAATAAATATTTGCTGAATGAATAGCATAAATGGGATGCCAAATACAACTGGTAGTTTTACTAATTAAACTGGGGGAGAAAAATCAGAAGACACTTTCTTAAAGTACATCTCTCATGTAGCTATTAACTTCAATCACTGAAATTAATCAAGATAATAGGCCAAGGACACAGAATAGCCCTTACTGATAATTTTCAGATATGGAATTTGAATAATGGACATAAAAGATCATGAAAATTGGAGAAATATTCAAAACCTGTCCTGATCTGATTTGAGAAGCTGACAAAGGTAAGAAAGATGGTACATAGACCTCATTCAAAAGATGACGGGGCATGCAATGGCCACAGCCATAAAAATCCAACATAGTCATTTGTATAAACAGTCTTGAAGCTGGAGTTACTGTATGTTGAAGCTAATTATTTTAGAAACAGATACTATATCTAAATAAAAATATATGTGCTTATATATAATATATAGTATTGGACTCTACTACTACGTAGAGGTTAGTATAAAGTCTATTATAAAAGCTTACATACCCAATAGCAGTGGGAAAAGTGTAACTGTACCAAAGCACCCAAATAAACAATGAATGAAATTAAAGAAACCTTAGCATGAGCATCATTTCCTACTGAAGATTAGAACAAAAAGTCTAATGTGATAATTACAAGTATGAGGCGTGGTGTTTTTTTTTAAATTTAAACATTTTTTTAAAAATGTACAAACAAAGGATTATTTTGGGGAGGCAAGAAAAAATCAACTTGGAAATTCTTAAAAAGGCAAATCAAATTCTTTTATAAAGCACAAGGAGAACTGGTTAACAACCAGTATAGAAATTAGACAATTACTGTACCTGTCTACACATGTAGTATTCATCGTGTCCAAACGCATATATAACATTTCAGTTGCTTGCGCAAGCTATAAATTTGAGGATAAGGAAAACTATTCTCCACCCTCCTTTAAAATAAGTTGTGATAGAAAAAATAAATAGCATTTCCGACAAGTCTGTATAATGACTGCTAAGGTTGAAACATTTTTTTCATGTAACTGATCTTTATAAAAATAGCTTTGAGGTATCAATGTACAATAAATTTGACCTGTATACAACTATACAAGTCAAGATAATGAACACTTACATCACTTCCAAAACTTCTCCATGTTCCTTTGTAATCCATTCTCCCTTCTTCCCACCCCTACCCATGCTCCCAAGCAAATATTGGGATTATCACTAAATCACTTTGCATTTTCTAGAATTTTGTGTAAATAGAATCACTTAGTATGAATTATTTGGATTTAAAAAAAAAATCCTTAACCAAGGACATGTTCCTATTGATTTTAGGAAGAAAAGGGGGAAAGGAGGAAGGAAAAGTTAGAAGGGGAGGGAGAAGGGGGAGAGAGAGAGACAGAGACAGAGATATAGAGATAGAGAAAGTAACATTATTATTTCTCTATCTCCTGAATTTGCCCTGACCTGAGACCTAACCTGAAACTTAGGTATGTGCCCCCACAGCGAATCAAATCCACAACCCTCTGGTGCATGGCACAAAGGTCCAATCAACCGAGTCACCCACTTAGAGCTGTTTGGTGTTTTTTACTCAGCATAATTATTTCATAATTGATTCATGTTATTGCAGGCATCAAAAACTTATATTTTATGATGGAGTAGTATTCCATTGTAAAGGCATAACAAAATTTGTTAATTTTCTCATATATTGATGAGTATTTGGACTTTCAGTTTAAGGTTATTACCAATAAAGTATCTATGAACATTAATGCCTACAGTCTTTGTGTAGACTTGTGCTTCCATTTCTCTTGGATAAATAACTGAGTGGAATGGCTAAACTGCATAGTACACATATGTTTAACTTAAAAAAAAATCAAACTGTTTTCATGAAGTGATTTAAACCTACTAGCAGAACTATTTGGTAATCTTTTAAAGCTAGGCCAACAAGAATAAGTTTAAAAACAAAGGAAAGGATACAACTTGGGGTAGAGAGCCAGGCTGAAGTTTGCACAGTTCAATGAGAAGTGTTGTGTACATCACATCAATGTGAGGGGGTGCTGGAAGTTGAAACAGCTCTGCAAAGATCACCTACAAAAGAATCGGGAGTCAGAACTCAATTCAACAGCTAACTATGCACGTTTATTAGAAATACCTCACTATTCCAAACATAAACTCTAACTCCATGACATTTATAATGAAAGAATCACTTTTTTGTTTTGGTTAATCCTCATCTGAGGATATTTTTTCCATTGATTTTTAGAGGCGGAGAGGGAGGAAGAGAGAGAAACGTTCAATTGAAAGAGACACATTGGTTGGCTGCCACCCACATGCATCTGGGGCTGGAAACCAAACCTGCAACCCAGGTGCTCGGCTGGCCCTCTAACCCTTGAGCACAATGGCCAGGACAAGAATTACTTTCATCTTTAATGAAAATTTCTTCTCTGTATAACTCATTCAGATAAGAATATGCAAATACAGTATACCCTCAATTTTGTGGATCTTGATTTAACAGACTTCAAATTTCATGGACAATTTTTGGTCTCTATGTCATATGTGAAAATTAACACCCTATTAATTTTAAAAAGCTTTTAACCAAGCATTATATTATTAATGAACAGGGTTTTTTCTGTTATTAGTTCATAGTTATTATTTTTAAAAATATTTTCATTGATTTCAGAAAGAAGGAGAGGAAGGGAGAGATAGAAACATCAAACATGAGAGAGAATCATCAATTGGGTCTCCTGCACACCTCCCTACTGGATTGAGCCCCAAACCCAGGAATGTGCCCTGACAGGGAATCAAATCAGGGTCCTTCTGGTTCTGAGCCACATCAGCTGGGCTAATTTATGGTTATTTATAACAAATTTTAGCAAATAGGCCTTATGTTGGAAAAACACTATAGTAATTTTACTGACATAAATATTATCTCTCTACAACTATAATCTACATATTTAAATCCAAGAATCACCGCTCTAAACAATGTTCTGCAAATGTATGTGATCACACCAGTGCTCAAGGCAACTGGTTCTGTTGTCCTGGGGCGTGACTTTCTGCAGCAGTTTTAACTTGTGTCAGCCCATGTTTAGTAGTGCCCCAGCCATGTGCACGCATGCATTTACTAAACCTATTCGGTATAAATTAAAAATTACAGTAACATACAGAAAACTTTTCTGTGAAATAAAAATTTTCATACATACTTAATTTTAATTACACAAACATGTCTGTAGAAGTAAAAAGAGGTAAACTAATTGTCAATTTTTAAGATATATATATATATGTTTTTAAATATATATATATATATTTTAGAGAGGAAGGGAGAGGGAGAAATAGAAACATCAATGATTAGAGAGGATAATTGACTAACTGCCTCCTGCACGCCCACACTAGGGATTGCGTCCATAACCCAGGCATCTGCCCTGACTGGGAACAGAACCGTGACCTCCTGGTTCATGTGTCAACACTCTTCCACTGAGCTACACCGGCCAAGCTAATTTGTCAAAAATTTTTTTTAAAATATATTTTTATTGATTTCAGAGAAGAAGAGAGAGGGAGAAAGAAATAGAAATATCAATGATGAAAGAGAATCATTGATCAGCTGCCTCCTGCAAGCCCCCTACTGGGGATCATGACCACAACCTGGGCATGTGCCCTTGACTGGAACCCAACCCAGGTCCTTCAATCTGTTGGTTGACACTCTATCCACTGAGCCAAACCAAATTTTTTTTTGAAATTTTTAACGTACACATTTTGAAAACCTATATAACAGACTTTCAGCTTTAACTGACACCTCCCTCACCCAAATTAATCCATTTTATTGAGTTTTTACTATTATTAGGGCTTATTTGATAATCCCAGAGAACCATGTAATTAAATGCCAACTCCAAGTATAGGAGGCACATAACTATCAATTTTATTCTAATAAATTAAGTAGTAAAAACTCTTATGAGACTGAGGATGCAAATGGACAATAGTCATGTCATTCCACTCTGCTACTAGAAACTGGTGACCACAAACCTTTCTGATAATCCAGGCATTGGCCATGCCACTTGTTCAGAAACTTGTTTCCACCTCCCTTGTGTGGACCACCTACCAAGAATTCTAAAGCCTGATCTGCATTCCTTCCTCTGCCTCTTCTCTCCACACTTCCGTATGGCTATTGGTTTCAACCTCCTCTTCTCTGTATATAAACAGCAATTTCCTCGCTCCGTTAACTTTTAAAAAATATATATTTTATTGATTTTTTACAGAGAGGAAAAGAGAGGGATAGAGAGTTAGAAACATCGATGAGAGAGAATCATCGATTGGCTGCCTCTTGCACACCCCCTACTGGGGATGTGCCCACAACCAAGGTACATGCCCTTGACTGGAATTGAACCTGGGACCTTTCAGTCCACAGGCCAACACTCTATCCACTGAGCCAAACCAGTTTTCGCATCTGTTAACTTTAAATATCTGACAAGTAGCAAGAAAAGAAACAATAAGCCAAGAGTAGATTAATACTTTTAAGTCAACAGAAAGATTCTGAGACTCACAAACAAGCTCCACGTGGAATGCATACCTCAACTATATGGTAGTTCAAGGGGATCTTGTTCTTCCCAGGATAGCTCACCAGCTGAGCGGCGCTGTAAGAGGAATAACTTAAGTTCAGTAAGTATACAAAGATACATGAACCATCAAATAGTTTCAAAGCAGTTGCTTAGATATAAGGGAAGGAAGTCTTTTCTGGAACTTTCTAGATTTCAATTACTTCACTATAGCACAGATTATTTTGTTTATCACAAGAAAAAATTTTTAATGCATCCAAAACTCCTTGAAAGGTTAGGACCTTAGGTAATAATACTAAGGAAGTATATTCAATAAACTAACTGAAAAAGTTTTAATACGGCAGGCCACTCCCAAAAGACTATGCTCCTTTCCACCTTAAAATCTAAAATAAACTTTCCAAAGTCTAAGGAAATATTAAAAGTAAACTTTTCCTAAGCTAAATGTCTAAATGCTAGAAAACACAGCAAAACCATTAGTATTAATTTATTTCCCTAATATTCACACCAAATATATTGTCATTCAAATTTGTCCATAGCATATTACAAATGTCCACACAAAAAGCCGACATCATATGCATTATTATAAAGCACTCAGAAAAGTACTATTTTGAGAAAGCAGATTGGTCTTAGCAAGACAGAATGTCAGAAGATTTTTTCTTATACTCATAACATACATTTTTGCTCTTATCAACTTATCTACATTGCTACATTTTCTACACTCTAAAAGTAACATGAAAGGAACCTTACCAAGTATTTCTTTCCTTCCAGTGGGACTTAATGATGCAGTGAAGATTTTCTTCTATTACAAATCTTTCCACGGAATGACTCCCTGGCATTACAGGACCCTGGAAAGAAAACCAAATGTATATATTACAGACCTAAAAAAATATATTTTCTTTCATTTATTCAACAAATATTTGAGACATTATGTTTGATACTATATTGGGTGCTGGGAATAAAAGTGTGAAAAATTTATATTTTCAGCAAATACAGTCATATTCACTTACAACAGAATGAGTGTCAGCTGCAGTATTTCTTCTATACCTCTGACACCACACTCTCCTAGCCCACCTCAATTCTTATGTGAAACAAAATAATTGTTGTACATCATTAGCTCTATATTGTTTATGATTTTAAACTATAATGGTGGACTACGTCCATAATAAACATGGAGGGAACATTTTTGTTTCAAATACCATATAGACATAACTATGGCTTGGATACTGAACCAATGGCTGCCTAGGAGGCAGAGCTTTTGATGCTGACTGGTATAGAAACCAATCCATCAGAACCAAATCTGGGTGACCTATGAGGAGCCAATGGCTGCCTAGGAGGCAGAAATTTTGATGCTTACTGGCATAGAAACCAACCAATCAGAACCAAATTGGCCTGCAGGGAAGAGCAGTTAGGGGTGATCACAGGCAGACAGGTGAGCGGTTAGGAGCCAAGGGCCCCAGATTGTGAGAGGGATGTCTGATTGTAGAGGATACATACTGGGTTCTCGAACTTAGTCTCTCTTTTTTTTTTAATCCTCACCCAAGGACATGTTTTTATTGATTTTGAGAGAGGAAGGGAGAGAAACATTTATATAAGAGAAAAACATTGACTGGTTGCCACCGTAATGCCCTGACCAGGGATTGAACTAGAAATCTTGGCATGTATCCTGATCAGAATCAAACCTGTAGCCTTTTTGGGTACAGGGACAACGCCCCAACCAACTGAGCCACCTGGCCAGGGCTCAAACTTACTCTCTTTAATTTCACCCTGTGCTTTCTCTAAATCTATATAGACATGCTAAATATAATTTCTTGCATAATGAAGTGATAACATTCACTGAATTAAACTGTTAACTTCATTGCTACAAACCCTCTTAGGTAATAAACTCAAAATTTAAATGTGTCACAGGCACAATTCAAATACAATTAAACCATAAATACAATGCAGCACATTGTATTTGACAGGAATTTTTAATTGGTCACCTACCTCAGGATCATCCGTGTAGTCAAACATTCTGAAGATGACCCTTGGCATTGGGTACACTGAATCCTCAGTGTGAGGAGGTGGTGTAAAAGGAGGCAGATTGTGCTGCAAGGCTTCACACAGGATGCTGTCAAAGGCAAGATAAGGTCTTAGGATGTGCCGCTCCTGCCAGCGATCCTTTTTCAATTTCTGAATCTGGGCCCACAGGCAATCTAAATACTAAAGACATTAATTTTTAATAATTAATATATATTTGGAGGCTAGAAGAAATAACATGTTCAGTAGACAAAACCAAAAATCACTATTTCTAAAATACAGGATACAGAAAAGCAAGCTAACTTTCAATTAAATATAGTACAAATGAATAAAGGAATAGTGTTTTGTTTTAATGATTTTATAAAGTCAGTATCTGTCTGAAGCTGTTCTTTAAATTTGGCATTTAAGTAAAAAAAAAAAAAAAAAAAAAAAAAGTCAACTTTATGATAGCTGGAATTCTCCAGAACAGGCAATGTTTCAATTACATTCGAACATTTATTAAATATCCACTGTATGCCCAGGGCTATGAGGAAGTGGGTCCATGATAGGAAATGTGGAAACCTAGCTAAGGTTTATAAATGGAATGTCCTGAATAATAACAGAGATAAGAATCTACTCAAGAGCTGAATGTCCCTATATCACAGGAGACTGAAATTAATTTACCTCTTCTTGTGGATGTGGCTTCTCAGCAGTCCACACTTGTAACATGGGCACATGAGTCTTTTGGCGTCTTCTAAAGACAAAATGAAAATATACTTTTTAGGTTTTTAAAAACATGAAAAGATGTTCAGTTGCAATGCCATTTCTAAGAATTCATGTCTCCCACAAATATATTTGCACATGTATACAAGACATCTGTACAAGGATATTCACTGAAACATTTGTTTATAATGCAAGAGACTGGAAATAACCTAAATATCTCCCACTTGGAACTAAAGAAATTATGGCACATTAAAAGAGTGAAATATTGTACAACTATTAAGAAGAATGAGGTAGAGCTATATGTGTTTATGCAAAAAAATCCCAAGTTATATTAAGGGATAGGGAAGCAAGAAAAGAAGAGTGTGCATATTGGACTACCATATGAATAAAAAAGGGGGAAGGACATATACCAGCACTTAAATGCTAGAATATTCATACATTTTAATTTTTATTCTTTGGTAAGCATCTACATTTTTTAAGAAAACCAGTCAAATTTTTCAAAAATATAAAAACATTTTCAAAATCTAACATTAAAAGGTAGCTTAACATGATAAAAAAGTAGATTTCTATCCTTAGACTTCTTTTAGCTTTATTTGTAACTGACTAAGTAGATATTAACAATATCCAACGAAATATCTATGAATAGACAGAAAATGAAACTTGTAACAAAGGTGTTTTGAAAAATGTAAGAGGCACAAAATAAGAACCTACCTACCAAGTAATTAAGCCTAAGTTTACTAATAACTCCTATTTTTAGTATTAAAGGATAAGGACCACTGTTATAAGGACTTGGTTTAGGATTTACCAACCTGAAATACACTGTATGTTCCCCACTGTGAAATAAATTAATAGTAAAGATGTCCAAACCTCTAAAATATTGTGAGTCGGTAGGCCTGGGGGCTGGGTTTAGATCATTCTTAAGTACCACAGTAAATCTTAGACACATTAGTATCTAGAACCACTGTGTTAAGATGTTTTATGCCTTTGCAATATGTACAAGAGTAGCTTAAAAGCAGCTACGTTACCAACTGCTTCGTTTTGCTTGAACGAAGTAGGGATATGAGATTACCTAGAGAAAGCATTAGGAAACTCCACAGCTTATTTTTGAGAAATGCAATTCACATGGTATTACTAAAATAGATAACACATAAAACATTTATGATATCGGGAAGGTATTCTTTACTTAAACAAAGAGAACTATGAATTGTGCCCTTACTTAAGATAGCTTTCAGTGTTGGCAAAGATGCGGTCCATCTCTGCATCTTTCTTCTCATATAATTCTTTTCCAACCCAGGGCAGAGATGACAGAAATGCATACACATACCAATCCCGTCGCACCTAAAGAATTTTTTAAAAGGTAAGTTTAAAACATGTCCTAGTTAATTATCATTCATATTGTATTCTTGAATGAAATCCTGTGAAAGCTATTTAACAGGACTTAAGACATTTGTTTCAGAGCATTTCTAGATATTTTAGTTTTACTAGACAGAATCATTTAACATAGAGGTCATAAGAACCTATCTGAATATAGTTGACTTAACTTGTATATATTAAGAATTTATAGCATAATTTACTATTATCTTTTCAAGTAAATTATTTTTACTTTATGAAAGGTTAAAATGAAAACCACTGACAGCTTCAATTTGTATGTATGTTTTTTAAACTTAAAAAAAAAAAAAAAAAAAGCATTAAAAACATTATTTTAAAAGAGTTACCAGTCAAAAATTCCTGGTACTATATGGATAAGACTCAGCATAAGGAGGTTTCTTACCTGAGGTACATCCTCTTCCTGAGTTACACTTACAAAATTTTCGAACATAGCAACCATTGATGGGGCTGCAATGACGTGACAATTCACAAGATCAGATAAAAAACGAACCTGTTGGAGAAAACAATTTCTACTAAATTGAAATGTCCCTTATAATAACTACAAAACAAACTTGGAAGGTGCAAGCCACAGGTCTAAAAAATGAGCCCAAGGGCCTAATCTAGTCTGTTTTTATTTATGTTTTTTTGTTTCTTTCATAGCCTATGGACTAAGGATAATTTTCACATATCTAAATTCTTGAAAAAGATCCAAAAGAATACTTTGACTTACATAAATTATATAAAATTAAATTTCAGTGTCCACAAGTAAATGTTTACTGGAACACAATCATACTCATGTGTTTACATATTGTCTATGGTTGCTTCTGTGCTACAATAGGAGAGCTGAGTAATTGTGTCTGAGATCTTATGAAGGACAGGAATCTATAGGTTTCCATTCTATAGGTTTCCATTTATAGGTTTCCATTCTATACTATACGAAAAGCCTAGACTGTGATATTCTAGCTTCTTCAGTGTATAATCTTTTTTAATGGCTGTGATGCTGCAAAAACCAACAGATGTAAAGAATCACATATTACAGAGAGAAGAACTAGGATTAAGAAACTATTGAATTTGGTAATGAACTATGTGGTACCTTTAAAGAAAACAGTTTCAAAAGAGCAAGTTATTGTGATGAGTATGGAACTGTATTTCAAGAGAAATGACAAATTATTTTATGATAATTCAACTCCATCCCTGTCGTTTCTTTTTAAAAAAAATATATTTTTATTGATTTCAGGGAGGAAGGGAGAGGTAGAGAAAGAAACATCAATGATGAGAGAGAATAATTGATCGGCTGCCTCCTGCATGCTACAACCCCCAACCTGAACATGACCAGAATCGAACCTGGAACCCTCCATTCTGCAGGTCGACGCTCTCTCCACTGAACCAAACCAGTTAGGGCAATCCCTATCTTAATGTACCAAAACCAACCAAACAAAAAACATACCCCCCCCCTCCCTTTAAAAACCTCATAAAACTTACCAAATACACAGCTTCGTTATAACTGTTTGCTTTCAAAGATTCTTTAAGTTGACGAATCATGGCTTCTACAAATTCTCCACCAAAGTTGTAATTCCTGGCATTCAGCAATCCAACTAATGTTGTATAAATTGTCAACTTCTCAGGTAACAGACGTGCACTGATTTGAAAACCCAGTACAAGAAGAAAACCCCAAGACAAGCATTGTGTTAAGTTGCTGAATTTTGTATTACATAAACCTTTTATCATTTTATGAATTTGGGAACAAGATTACTTTGGCTGTTTTCAAAACTACTTCAGAAAAGGCATACATTTTGAAAAGAGTTGCCAACATGGCCCCCACAATTTTTCATTTTAATTCTAATTAGTTAATCCAAGAGTTAAAAAAATAATGCACTATAATTATGAAGTTGCCATATAGAAAAAATATATAACCAGTTTTTATTCCAACATTTTTAGTGCAATTGAATAGCAATTCCATACAAAGGTTTCATGGTAAAATATCTGGGAAATACAAGGTCAAAAAATTTCTTTAATGCAGAATCATTAAGGGGGAGATTCAGCATTTCTAAATTTAGCTAACCAAATGTCGTAACATCAGAATGCCATTTTGAGAAACACTACTCAGAACTAAAACTAATTTCAAACAAGCTTCTACAGTTAAATTATTGAATTTTTAAATTTTAAAATGGTACTCTGATATAGTAAATTTCTTTATCCCAGTTTGCTTACTCCAAGTGTGTTAATTTTCATTAAAGTTATTTGAAAAGAAGAAAAAGAGGATTACAGTAATAAACATTTGGAAAAAGCAAATGTTACTTCCTAATTTAGACAACCTTTAGAAATTAGCTAAAAAAGAAAAGCAACTAGGAACTCATGATCATTCAGATTCTCATCTATTTTTTCCCGTTTTTCTAAGGTACCTAATCTTTCCATTGATAGTAATCCTTGCACTCCTAAAAAAGTCATGACTCATCTGAGTCTAAGCATAAATCTACTCCATTCTAATGAATGCTTGCAAAATAGAAGACATCTTATGGGTAACTATAGCAAACTGATTTTTCTTAGTTTCTTAGTCTAAAAACATACCTTCTTGAATACTAACTGGATTCCTTTGAAAAATTATAAGTGAAATTTTTACTTTATGAGAGGTTAAATGAAAACCATTGACAGCTTTAATTTGTATATACTTCTTTTTTTAAAAAGCTATAAGCATGAAAAACATTTTAAAATAACTGAAATGACAACTTATAAGTCACCTTCATAATTCAATAATACCTACATAATTTATAATATATAATAATAAATGCATACTCTGCTAATTAGACCAGACATCCTTTTGGAGGTCCTTCCTGACCAAGCCATGGTGGGCAGGGGCAGAGGCAGAGGCAGAGGCAGAGTTCGTGCACCGGGCCTCTAGTTTCACATAAAGTACAAAGATCCCTTAATCCAAAAGTCATAGCTACTTCTTTCAAGGCATATGATCCAGTCTGTTTGAGAGATGAAAAAGTCTAGATTGCTAATTCCACCACTAGGAGAGACTGTTTCATGATTCCACACTAGACTTTTCTCACTTCAATTTCCTCACAGATTAAATGCTGATACTCATTCTAGCTAATCTAACTCAGAAAGACTATGCCTAATAATACTTCAAAAGCTTCTCAGCCTTCCAAGAATTACTTTGATTAATTCTCAAATTTGGTAAAATACAAGTTAAATTCTATTATATATACTTAAATGTACATGCTTAAAAGAAAATCTCTGAATGTGAAAGTATCTACTTCCTCACTTAAAAACAGTTAACTCAAGTGATTCTCAGGTTGCAAGAAACAAAACATAAGGAAAATGCTCAATTTTAGTTCTATCTATCTCTGAGAAAAAGAGTTAACCAAAGGCCACAGGCCACTTCATTTGTACAAATTCCCCAATAGGAGGAAAGCTGATCACATATAGAACATACACATTTTTTAACATTTCCCAAAGCATTTAAGAGTAGATAATACATTATCACCTGGATTCATAAATCTTTTGCATACATACACTGTACAAAGAAGCCTTAAGATCTTGCTCTTGTAGTTAGGAATATCAGCTTCCAAAACACCAGCCAAGCCTTCCAGGTTGCTCTCCAAAGAGCAGGCACTCTGTGGAGAACAGCATATTACATGTCTGTCAAGTACTTAACAAGTAGTAAGTTAAAATTTTCTAGGTGATCGTAAAAAAAAAAAAAAAAAAAAAAATTAAAGTGTTACACATACAAGGCACTAAGACCAGTTTAATATAAATCAATTCAGGTAGTTACTGTTTTTTAGAAATTCATGAGAAGTGAATGAGTGAAAATTTAAAAGTAAGCAGTCCAAAACAGAGTAATTATTAGAAATTAGGACATCACGGGTCTATTCTATTTCTCTAATTCACTTCCTATATGACACTAGGCAAATTACCTTAAGTACCCAGGATTTATTTGGCTCATTTATATACTGAGAGACTATTCCCTAAAACGTCTTAAGACTCATATTTGATGAAAAGTGCTAAAAACATTTATTCTCAATTATTTGCATCTCAATGTTTTAAATGTGCATACTCTGAGATATAGAGGTGTGGCAATACATACAAACTTTCCCTAAAACAGACCAAAGTACTGTCAATTACAACCCTAAGTCCATCACAGTTTGTACCTATTTTGGTGCATACCTTTTCTCCTACTTTGCATATTAAAGATTCCAAATGATCTTCAGTTTCATTTGCATCAGAGGTCTTTCTCCTTTTGTGAGGTTGTCCCCCTGTTTCAACAACATAAAAAATTAACATTATGTGATAAATTCGCTGTCACAAATTTCACTTAACTTTTTAAATGCTATACTATAGTCCTTTTTCTACCAGAAGCCCTACTTTTTACATATAGTAAAAACTCTTAACTGGTCCTCCACTTCTCAAATTAGGCTGGATTAACTAACAGTTTCCATACCCAGGGCTACTATAATACTAGGAGGCATCGTTTATGTTAAATTTTGTGTAAAAGGTGCCCCACAAGCGATGTGATGAATGCAGCAGCCCTCTGCATTTTTGCGCATGGACAGGAATGGTGCTATCCACTGGCAGACAGAGCACTGTCTAACATCATGTATTGTTACTTCCCTTCTTTACATTTGAGTTGTTTATTGTTCCTCAATTGCCTATTCTTAAAACTTGTTAGTGCTAGCAATATTCATTGTAATAATAAAATTATTATGTAAGCTGATAAAATATGGTGCAAAACCAAACTGAAGCTTTGAAAAGACTCGATTAGAAAATAAAGCTTTTATATTAGGAATGAAGAGGAAAACGTCAATAGATGAGAAAAGGAGAATAAAACATTAGAATTCCTCACAAGCTTTACAAAAATCTGAACTCTTAATTCTTCAATTAATAGTTTTGCTTCTGTATACCACACAGCACTAAGGTACAGTTTACTCCAAGCAATGGGAATTATACAATTAGACATATATACTCAAAGAAAGTCCTCAGCACTCTACCAAGTAATTGGTGGGGGAAAAGTATGTGTTTTATAATTCCATGATTTAATTTTTGATCCTATCCCCCCTTCATTTCTCTCTAAAAATCAGGATTAAAATAAAACCATAATATACTGATCTCATGTTCTTTTGTGGAATAACATACCATACACTTAAAAATTTAAAACGAATATTGCTAAGTATGGTACATAAATGCTGATGCTACACATAATGCTGGCTAGTCTCCCAATTAAAAACATTTTTTAAATGTTTCTGATTTTTAGTGAGAGAAAGGAAGAAGGTTAGAGAGATAGAAATATCATCAACCTGTTGCCTCCAGCACACCCCCCATCTGGGATCAAGCCCACAATCACGGCATATGCCCTGACCAGAATCAAACCAGTAACCTCTTGGTTCCCGGGTCAATGCTCAACCACTGAGCCACACCAGCTTGGTTATAATTTAATTTTGAACTTCCAACAATTAGATTATTAGATAGCATATAGACAGAGAGCAGTAGTCTGTAACTGTGTTAGGGATCTGTATTAGTAATGAAAATCTGCAGTTGGATATATGATTACCCAGAAGCAAGTTATAACATAACTTCAATCTTCTCCAAACTTGTATGGCCTAAAGAACTAAGCCATTTTTACAAAGTTCATAATCACTTGCCATGGGACCATCTGGCTTGAAATATATGGTGATTATCATAAAACACAGCATTTGGCTATTTGAAGCTTGGGGTGTTAAAGTTGCTCAGTGACTGAAATGATCATAGTTTTGTATCCTCTTAAATGTTATACTGAATAAAACCAATTTATTACTACCCAGGTAGGATCAAATGTAAAGACTCCTCCACCCTTTAGTCATCGTTATGATCTGGCTTAAATAACCACTGAATATAATTTTGAAGAGATAATGCCATAAAAAAAATACAATATGCATGCAGTATGACAGCTGAGATATATTCTTGGGAGACATCTTCCTGTGTAAAGTTGTGGACATGTGTGGCATTCTGAGATCAGCGACCTTGATTCTTTTGGTTAATCCTCACCCAAGGATATTTTTTCCATTGATTTTTTAGAGAGAATGGAAGGAGGGGGAGACACACAGAGAGAGAAACATCGATATGAGATACGTACATCAACTGGTTGCCTCCCATGGATTGAGCCTGCAACTTGAGGTATGTGCCCTTGACCGGAATCAAACACACAACCCTTCAGTCCACAGGCTGACACTCTAACCACTGAACCAAACCGGCGAGAGTATGACCTTGAATTTTAAGTATACATCATACCTAAGTCATAAGATCTATAAAGGTTCCACTATCTGGAGAGCCAACTTTCATTCAAAGGTCTTCTATTTCTAGGATTCATTCATTGAATAAAAGTTGCCTATTTAATGCAATGTTTATGTAAATTATTAGGCAGGACATTAAAAATAGCATTCTCCTAGAGCAGTGGTTCTCAACTGGGTGAAATTTTGCTCCTCAAGGGTCATTTGACAATTGCTGGAGACGATTTTGGTCATCACAATTTGGGGAGTGTTTCTAGTATCAAGTGGGCAGCCAGTGATTCTGCTAAATATTGTATATTACACTGCACTGGGCAACTCCCAACCACAAATAACCCAGCCTGATGTTGAAAAATTCTGTTCTAGGAGCAGAATGCTAATAGTGTTCCTTGGAACCAGATTCCAATAAGGTTGGGAGTATGTACAGGCTGAAAAATTAGCTGAATGAGAGCAGTTTGTTGTTGTTTTAAACTTTAACCACTGCTGTCTTCTTTCTGCCCCATCTACTTTGCCAATCCTTTATTCCAAAACTTCCTTAAATTACCTATCCAGCTGGCTTATTCCCATACCAGTTTGAAATCATACCCTGGTTTTTAAAGCAACCCTCCTCACCCTTTTGGATGTTTGAAAAGGAGGAAATGATGCTGTAGGGAGAGAAAGCAGGATTTACAAAGAAAAGCAAGATAATGCAAATACACATCCTATATCTTATATCTGAACTACATCTCTTTATTTCTCTTCTTCCCATTTTGACTATATCAAAAAACTAATTTATTGTGGAGAATGAAAAGAGGATATATTGAGACATTATCACCTGCTATTGAAGAGAATATGAAGGGAGGGGATAAATTACAGACAAAATTTGAACTCATAGACAATAACAGGATATTGAAATGTAGAAGAGAACATGGATGACAAGCATGGGGAAGTAAAATAAAACACCTTAATTAAGAATAAAATTTGGGGAATTAGCTGAATGTCTTCACATACCCTCAAGAAAACATATTTATGCCTGCCTAGTGTTTCTCAGTGGTTGAGCGCCAATCTATGAACCAGGAGGTTCACTTTCGATTCCCGGTCAGGACACATACATGACCAGGTTGTGGGCTCGATCCTCAGTGGGTGGCATGCAGGAAGCAGCTGATCAATAATTCTCTTAATTGACATTTCTATCTCTCCCTCTCCCTTCCTCACTGAAATCAATAAAAATATAGTTGAAAACAAACATTTATGGTAGCTCCCAAAGCAAGAATGGATTTTATATTAAAATGTAACTATGTAGCAGTTTTGCAATGTAAAGTTACATATTGCCACTTCACTCAGACACCCGTGGCTAGTGTAGAAGGGATGCAGCAATTTTCTATTAAACCCATCTAAAAGGATCTTGGTAAACCAAATAATTTCCCCCCCTGTAAGGTGATTCTAATTTTATATGAATAGGTTGTCCTATACATTATGTCTTTATTTAGAATTTTAGAATTAGATACACTATAAGAAGTTTTAGACCAACAAGGTCAGAGAGAAAGTAATGTAACAAAAACCTACAAGGTGAAAGGGAAAAATAAAGTACCTTGATCTTGCAGCTTTAAAGCAGAGGTAACCATCACTTCTGAAACAAGCTATACTTCTCCTGAAAGTAACAAATCCCTTCACTTCTATTCATTTTATTTTTCTACTAGTGTCCTAGTGCACAAATTCATGCACATTGAAAGGAAATTAATTAAGAGAAATATTTTAATATTGCTATTCGCATCTTGCTAATGAAAATTAAGTAGGATTTTACCGAGTCTCTGATCTACCTACTCTAGGACTTCGGTGAGGATCAAATGAGATGAGGCACATGAAATCGCTTCACAGACATTTGGTTACAGTGTGAAATGTATCCAACTGGCTATAAAGCAAGTAGTGTTCCTGAGCTGAAGAAACTGTAAGGAGGCTAGTAGCTAGGGAGAAGAAGCCAGGCATTGCTATGTGATATCATTACCCGGATGGTTGGACACTTAGTATATTAGCCTTTTATATAGATAGGTAAGTAAAAAACAAGTTAGCCTAAAGGATAAGGATCTAATTCTAAGTAATTAAATGGGGCTAATGTGGGTTTTTGGCTAAGATTATGGACAACTTAAATACTTTCTTAAAAGAACAAAATAATGTATCCTATGCATATCTTATAATAACTGAAAAGTTTCAGAAATACTCTTAAAGAGATAATAAGAATAAGTCAGAATTAGCACTGGACCAGTATCCATACACATTTTCACTTGGACTTCTCTTTCTTTGTCTATGAAATGACCTATAAGTGAACTTCATTGGTATAGTTTCCTGCTTCACTGGATCCTGGATACTTTAGTCTCAACACAGAGATACAATTTTTTTTAAAAAATAAATATATTTTTTATTGGTTTCAGAGAGGAAGGAAGAGGGAGAGAGAGACAGAAACATCAATGATGAGAGAGAATCATTGATCGGCTGCCTCCTGCACGCCCCCTATTGGAGATCAAGCCTGAACCCCAGGCACGGATCCTTGACCAGAATCGAACCAAGGACTCTCCAGTCCACAGGCTGACACTCTATCCACTGAGCCAAACCAACCAGGGCCAGAGATACTATTTTAAAATCAACTTCTATGAGCTGATCCTCTGCTACTTCTCTGATCTTACCCCCTATAACTCCCTCACTCCACAGAGTAACGCTGGTTTTCTTGTAGTTTTGTGAATAAGACAGGAATGTTCTAGCCTTAAGGCCTTTGCGTTTGTTGTTCCCTACCACTGCTTTCTCCCATAGAGCAATCTAGTTTGCTCCCTTACCTTCTAAAGATGCTATTCTAAAGTTTTTTTTAATAATATATTTTTATTGATTTCAGAGAGGAAGGAAGAGGGAGAGAGAGAGAGAAACATCAATGATGAGAGAATCATTGATCGGCTGTCTCCTGCATGCCCTCAATTGGGGAACAAGCCAGCAACTTGGGCATGTGCCCTTGACTAGAATCAAACCTGGGATTCTTTAGTCCACAGGCTGCTCTATTCACTGAGCCAAACCAGCTAGAGCAGTGGTCAGCAAACTGCGGCTTGCAAGCCACATGCAGCTCTTTGGCCCCTTGAGTGTGGTTTTTCCACAAAATACCACGGCCTGGGGGAGTCTATTTTGAAGAAGTGGCGTTAGAAGAAATTTAAGTTTAAAAAATTTGGCTCTCAAAAGAAATTTCAATCATTGTACTGTTGATAGTTGGCTCTGTTGACTAATGAGTTTGCCGATCACTGAGCTAGGGCAACATGACGTTCTTAAAGAGGCTTTCACTGAGCGACCTATATAGAAAACACAGCATTTTACAACAAAAAGTAGATAAACAATCCAATCAAAAAATGGGCAAAGGATCTAAATAGACAATTTTCAAAAGAGGACATTCAGAAAGTCAAGAGACATATGAAAACATGCACAAAGTCACTAATCATCTGAGAGATGCAAATCAAAACAACAATGAGGTACCACCTCACACCTGTCAGAAGGGCTATCATTAACAAATCAACAAAGTGCTGGAGAGGATTTGGAGAAAAAGGAATCCTCGTGCACTGTTTTTGGTAATGCAGACTGGTGCACCAGTTTTGGAAAACAGTATAGCGTTTCCTCAAAAATTTAAAAATGGAACTGCTATTTGATCCAGTAATACCACTTCTAGGAATATATGCTAAGAAAACAGAAACATCAATCAGAAAGGATATATGCATCCCTATGTTCATAGCAGCACAATTTACAATAGCTAAGATTTGGAAATGGCTTAAATGCCCATCAGCAGATGAGTGGATTAGAAAACTATGGTACATCTACACAATGGAATACTATGTTCCTACAAAAAAGAAGGAATTCTTGCCATTTGCAGCAGCATGGATGGAACTGGAGAGTATTACGCTAAGTGAAATAAACCAGTCAGTGAAAGAAAAATACCACATGATTTTACTCATTTATGGAAAATAAAGAACATTATAAACTGATGAACAAAAAGGTAGATACAGAGAAGCATTGAACAGACTGTCAAATTACAGTGGGAAGGACTTGTATGCAAGTATATAAGCATAACCAATGGACGCGATGAAAGACGGTGTGTGTGTGTGTGTATGTGTGTGTGTTTGTGTGTGGAAGCTAATGGGGGGGAGGGAAGGAGGAGACATATGTACTACTATTTGTAATACTTTAAACAAACAAATTTAAAAGAAAAAAACAAAACACAGCAACTCCTTCCCCACAGCAGTCTCTGCCCTCTTTAACTTAGTTTTATTTACCCCCGTATGACTTATTGTCATGATACACTATACTTTACTTGATTGTTTTCTTTCTTTATATTGTTCACTGCTGTATTGCCAGTAGTTAGGACAATGCTTGGCACTGTTGAATATTTGTAGAATAAATGATTATACCTCATCAAATATATGGAAAGTCATGGCAATCAATGCCTAATTAAGAGCTGACAATAATCCAGAAATGCTCTGATGTATCTTCTATTAAGCTATAATATAATAACTCAGCTTATGCCGAAACCGGTTTGGCTCAGTGGTAGAGCGTTGGTCTGTGGACTGAAGGGTCCCAGGTTCGATTTCGGTCAAGGGCATATACCTTGGTTGAGGGCACATCCCCGATGCGGGGTGTGCAAGAGGCAGCTGGTCGATGTTTCTTTCTCATCGACGTTTCTAGCTCTCTATCCCTCTCCCTTCCTTTCTGTAAAAAATCAATAATAAAAAAAAACAACTCAGCTTATAAGAACATAGCCTATAATATTTAAGCTTCTAATATTTTTAATTAAAAAAATTAATAGATGCTCAACTAAAACAAAAGTATATAAAACACTTGATTCTGATCACTGGTTAGGGTAAGCCCTAGCTAATCATTACACAAATTGTGGCAATTTACAAAAGTTCCAGATTTGATGTAGTAACCAAGTCTATAAACTGCCCCTCCATTACTAAATTATCTGCCATAGTAAACTTTGATTAAGTAACTCCTTATTTTACTTCCGAGGTTCCTGCAACAAGACCCTAATGGACAATGACTTAGCTGGTATTAAAAGAACTAACAAGAAAATTATGCCAGCATCCCAATAACCAAAGCAAAAGTTGCATTTTTACATATTCAAATCCAATTCTCCAAGTTGCCTCCTGGAAACATTTTCTCCCCCAATAGGTTTACTCTGGAAGGGAGAAGAAGGAATGGAGAAAAGGAAGTATAAGAAAAGCAAAGAAAATGAAATAATTTTAAAGGCTCAAGTTCTCTAAACCCCAAGCATATTAGTTTTTAGATTAATCAAATTCAAAGCATAAGAAAACTATATTTTCTGTGCCCTGAGAGCCCATGTAAAAAAAAAAAAAGTATGAGCATACTGTGCAGTGAAGAGCACCCTGGACCTGCGCTCAGTATCTAAGCACTGCCAGCTGTGGCTCCATGTTAATTACAGGAAAACTCTAGATCCTAAGGTGTCAGGGGAGGACTGCTTAGCCGTGCCCAAACCGCTTAAGGGTCTAGCTGAAATCTGTAGTTTCGTTGATTTAGTTAACCGCACCAACATTCAAGGGGAGAAATATGTTAGTGTAAAAAATTAATTCAATTAATTTTTAAATTATTTTTTCTTACATCATTGACATCTGCCAATGTTTACCACTTCTTAAGCATTAAAAAGTGATAAAATAGACATTATCATATGCCATTCGTCACATGTATTATTTCATTTAACCATTACAAACCAGTCAGCGGTATGTATCATCTTCTATTGTATATTATAGACTAAGGTTAAAAAAAAGGTGATATAACCTAGGCAAGATCACAAAATAAATGGTAGAGTCTAGCTTTAATCTTAAACCCTCGATTCCAAAGTCTGCCCACTTAACCACTACGCTACATTCTTTTCAAAGAATATATTAAAAATATTAATAGAATCAGGTTTTCTGGATGTGTGGTCTTGACTGATTATGTAATGTGAGCATCTTCTTTTTCTGTTTTTAACGAACACAATTATTCTTGGCTTTTATGATGCACCATGATCTCCATGAGCACAACCCTCCAAATGGAGACGACAGCCCCCGATCCAAATCTCTCAGAGCCCTCCAGGTAGTTTGTTTCCCGGCAGCCTCTCACACCAGGGAAACACAATGACAGCCAGTTCAAAATCTAACTTAACTGCACGCATCTGCTAATTAGCGACCCCTTGGGTGTGGATAAGGGATCTCTTTCCCCGCAGCTGAAAAGAAGGCAAATCCAGAGTGACCGGTAAGGGAGGGAGAAAGCATAGACGCAACAGACCTTTCGGTCCCTGCTTTGTTCCTTCCCCTTAGGAATCTCCCAGTTTGAGGGTCAAAAAAACGAGAGCCTGGGCCTCGAGGGTGGCCGTCACTGTCCCTAAGAGGCGGCCGCACAGACACAGGTGTGCTCCCCTCCCCGTTCCGTGGGGCTGAGGACCACATCCAGAAAAGTCGTTAGAGACGTGGGGGCCCCCAAGGCCTCCCATCAGTCAACGACTAGAGGCGGGGAGGGAGCAAGAGCTTTTCACGAGTCGCCAGGCCACGCTCCCGCGGTGCCACCCGCCCCCTCTCCGCGGGAAGGCTTCCCTCGAGACCCAGACACCAAGGAAGCCAAGCCTCGGCCCCCCACCTGGGCGCGGCCTCGGCGGCCGGGCCCACGGCACTCACCGTCGTTCTCGTCTCGGTGCCGCCGCCGCGACATGCCGCACGTCTCCGCGCCGCCGAGCCTGGCGGACGGGCGGGAAGCAGCGAGGGAACCGTCGGAACGCCGGCCGGCGCGAGGGCAGCGGGAGGCGCGCGGGGAGGCCGGCGCGCAGGCGCACTCGCGCGCTCGGGCTCCCGGAAGCGCGAGGAGGGGTCGCCGGGCGGACGCGGCGGGCCGGTCTAGGAGCTCCCCAGGCCGCGGGCTTCAGGTCCGCACGCAGCCGGCCCCTCGTGCTTCCTCCAGCGGCTCCCCTCCCCCGCCACTCGCTCCAAGTCCTTCCGGGGCCACGTAGATAGCGGCACCGCTTCAGCCCAGCCACGGGCCCGGGACGGCGAGCTAAGCTGGGAGGCGGGCGGTGCGGGAAGGACGCTGCAGCCCCCGCCTCAATTTCAGACCCTCTCCCGGCGCGGGGGCGGGCCCTCCGGCTTTCCCAGCGTCCCTTCCGCTCAGAGACTTCCGGTGCGGCGGACGTCTCCAGCGCTCCTTCCTACGTCAACTCCAGGCGGGGCCTGCGGGACCCGGGGTGGTGAGCGGCGTTAATTTTTAGGCGGAGACTGTTCAGTGAAGAAAGATCTAAGAAAGGATCTGGACAGGCAGGTACGTGCTCACCGAACTGCCACTTCCGAGCCTTTGCCTCCCCGGGAAAGCCGGGCGGAGAGATCGGGCCTTGCCCACAGCGCCATGTTGGTAAATGGCACCATTCATCCGATTGCTTAATCCAAAAATGCTGGTAGGAGTCGTTCTTGGGTCCTTTTTCTTCTCTTCCTACATAACAGTGAATCTGGAGACCCTGTCGGCTCTACTTTCAAAACAAGTCTAGAACCAGGCTGCTGCACTCCCTTAAAGCTCTCCTTTGACTTGTCACTGCAAACTCCGTATCATTACTTCCTCTCTCTGTACTCCAACCACTCTTTCTTCCTGAACCTCCAGTAAGTCAAGCTTGTTCCCACTTTAGGAAAGGATTCTCACTATTAACTTTGCCTGCAGATCTCTGCTGCTAACGTCATTATAGGTTTCAGCTCAAACAGCAGGTCCTTAAGTGGAGCCTTCTCTGGCTGCCCAATCACTTTTACTTCACACACTGTATTTGCTAACGTTCAGCACCTCCTGTGTGTCAGGCAGTGCTCTAGAGTAGGGTTGTCGAACTCAATCAGAGAAGGGGCCAAAATCTAAAATCCAGCCTAAATCGTGGGCCGAATGGTTTACTGAACAGTCATAAACTGTCATTGTGATGGAAACGCAGCAGAGTGCAGTGATGACAGCGAGGTGCGGGCCACATTGCAAGGCCTGGCGGGACGGATTTGGCCCGCGGGCCTTGTGTTTGACACATGTGCTCTAGAGGCTGAGGATGCAGAGGTGAACAAAGGAAAACCCCTGCTTTCTTGGTGTTGGTGACCGATCAGGAATGGACAAATAGTGCAATCAGAGGCTGTGAGCCAACGGAATGTAGTAAAAAAAGATTAGAGACGTGGTGGGAAGGGCTTTGTAAGGACGTTGGAGTTTGAGTAAGTTGAGAAACCTTTGGAGACTGGTCTAATTTTTTAATAGTTACCTTCCTGGCTCTTACATGAGGAGGCCAGTTAGTTTCCTTCAATAATTCACTCAAGAAATAATGGTGGCTTGAGTGGGGTTGGTAGTGAAAATGATATAAAGTGATGTGATCCGATTGTATTTCAAAAACAAAGTTGGTAGGTTTTTCTGGGGGACTACGAGGTAGTGTGAAAATATAAGGAGTCAAGAAGAAGCCCAAATATTTTTTCTGAGTAACAGAACGAATAGAAATGTCATTTTATGCAAGTAAAGAAGACTGGGGAAAAACAGTTGGTTTTGAACAGTTGCATTTGAACAACTGTCCAGTAGACAGTTGAATATGTGAATTTGGAGATATAAATTGGAGTCAGTTAGTATATAGTATTCTCAACATCAATTTCCCTTTATTTATATAGATTGCTTACCTTTTTCAAATATTTAGAAAAGTTGAGAAAATTATGAACTCCCATGAATTTTAGCAATCAGCTTAAGCAATTCCAACTAGTAACCAATCTAGTTTCACATGTATTATCACAGTTATTCTCAGGAAATTTAGTTTTTAAATTCTTGGGACTAGATGAGGTCACCTAAAGGGTGAGTGTAGATAAAACCATTCAACAATTAAAGTTTGGGATGGAAGGTAAGGAGAATCCCCAGCAAAGGAAATTGAGAAGTTTCATGTTTCACTGACAGTTTCATGTTTTTAAATGTGTTTACTTATTTAGTGTCTCTCTTCTCTTACTTGAATATAAGCTTCAAAAATGAGCAGGGAGAGTAACTGTTTTCATTAAAACCGGCATCTGCAACACTATTCTATGTTCTGGGCATAGAACAGTTAATGTCTAAAGGCAAAACTGAAAAGGATTTAGAGTGAGGGAAGGCCATTTTGGGGTGGTGGGGAAGGTATGAGTGGAGACTGTAAGGCAGGGAAGAGCATGAGTCATATGTGGAACTAGGCAAAGCCCGTTGTAGCCAGAGCAGGTTATATGAGGGAGAGTGTTGTCTGCGATGAGCCTAGATTGATAGAAGAATTAAGGATTACAGATTCCTTTCCAGTCCTCTCTACATCCCTGCAAGATAGGTGCTGTCATCACATTTTAGAAATTAGGGAATTAGAACTCAGAAGTTTAATATCTTGCCCAGGTTCACTTACTTGCACTCAGCCACACCGTGATCCAAAGGCAATGTCTTTCCCAGCGTTTCATGTTGCCTCTTTGTTACCTGTAACATTTGCTTTATACAATAGAAGAAACAATGTGGTGTGTTGGTTGTAGTGTGTCCATTTTGAGAAGATTTGGCCACAGTAGCAATTTGTATATTTATTCTGGCTCACTGGTTTCTCTTGGTAGTTATTTCTTCTAAGAAAGGGAATTTGCATAGCTCAACCATTTAGGGGACAAGAAAAGAACGAAGAGTTTATAACTGAAGTTATTAGCACACAGCTTGGTTGTACGGTGATTTTTTGGTATCAACTTACCGTAAGTTCGCAGGCATTTGCCCTTTTTGTCAAATGCTACTGCCTCAGACTTTACCTACGCTCTGTGTTTTAAAGATCCCCTCCATCACCCTGGCTCCTTACTGTTTATTTGTTTTCATAGTCTCTTACCATCTGACTTTTAAAAAAATAAAATTATTTGCTTACTTTCTGTCTCTCCCCATTGGAATGCAAACTCTAAAATATATTGCATTCACTGCTATATCCCCAGTATCTAGAACAATGCCTGCTAAATATTGTAAATACTATTTATTGAATGAATGAGTGAATGAATGGATAGCTTGGGCTACTGGGCCGATGCTCATTTGCATGATTGATTAACTTCAAGTTTACTTCAAGTAGGAATCAAAGACTTGGACAATGTTGTTTCTCCCTTGCTCACTTCCTAGGAAATAGTTAACTGAAAGGAATCTGCTGCTACAACCAAACCAGATGCCTTCTTCAACTTCACCAGACGAAGGAAATGACCTGGAGGCCTGTCTTTTAAGATTTTCAGACTTGGATTTGAAAGACACAAGTATTATCAATCCCAGTAGCAGTCTTAAAGCAGAGCTAGATGTCAATACAAAGAAGAAATATTCATTTGCGAAGAAAAAGGTAAAATTGCTATTGATGTTTCAGGATCATTTGTGTGTAGTTAATGCCAGTAGATCAAGGCTGTCCTCCAGGGAGAGGAGGGATAGTGAGACAGTAGGCTGTTGTCATACTCGAAGTAAGGTCTCCTCAGCACCATTACCAGTGATCTTAATTCTATGCCAGGCAAAGGAGACTCGTAGGCAGGGTGTGGCTTTGAAACACGTGTGGTGAGATACAGATCCTAGACAGATGGGCTGGATTCCTTTCGCCACCCTGGGTTATGGGAAGAAACCCAGGAGACCAAGTCACAGGGAGAACAGACAGGCAGTAGGGCAGCTGCTATCTGAGACTCTTGTGATCTGATCCAGCTGATATAAAGCTTACTAATAAAACTGTTACTCTTCACGTTCTTCTACCGAATAGTAGAAACTAGAAACCGCTGTGAAAAGATAATAGAAGAAATTTCACTGAGGCTTCCTTAGCCTCAAACCTAAGGTTATTTCACAGTGACAATTTGAAATGTAATTGCAGGCATTTGCCCTTTTTGTCAAAACCAAAGAAGTTCCAGCACCGTCTTATAAATGCAAAGAAAAATGGTGGAAATGCTGTCAGCAACTCTTCACGGGCCCCACTAGCATCCATAGACACGTGGCAACACAGCACCCTAATGAGATTTGGCACCAGACTGCTTCTGTTCTAAAGCAGCTCGCTGTGGCATCGAGCACCTCAGAGAGCCTTAAGTCTGCCGACAAAGGGGACCCCCCGAAAGAGTGCCTTACTCGAAACCGTGAAGTGTCTGCTTGGCTCCCTGACATTAGTTGCTTTAGCCCTGATGAGCTGATAAGGTAAAAATTTAATTCTGTACTTTTGCTTTAATTTAAAAAATGTTTTTTCAGCCACAGTGAGATATCACTAAAATGGCAAAATCTTAAAGGCACAGAATTTCTCTACAGGCCTAAGCAAGGGTGATAAACATGTATTGTGTGCAATAGGTTTTAGTCTATGCAGTAGCAGGTACCTACGCAGCTGGTAATGTTGCCAGGTTTCTTGAAAGCCATTCTGCATCTTATCTTTAGGGAAAGGTAAAGAACAGAAAATTATATTTTCTAAGAAAATAGGAAGGCCCAGGTACATTAATGATTCCTCTACCCTGAATAATATCAGAGATTAAAAGGTTTTTTTGTTACCAAATGTGGCTTTCTGAGTTGAATATGCTTTAGAAAGGATGTTAATTTTTAGAACTGAGGCATAGGATTAAGAGGTTTAGATTCTGCTAACTCTAGAGAACGGATTTCTGGTTTGAATTTGGTGAATAGAAAATGTCCAAGTCTGATATAATTTTATCACTAGTATTTAGTGCCAAATTCACTTTATCAGAAAGAAAAGAAGAAAGGAAGAGAATTGAACTTGGAGTCAGACTTGAGTGAGTTGCTAAAATTTGTTGTGCCTTCATTTCTTCCCTTTTAAAATTGGAATAATAATGTCTGCCCTGCCTATCATACAGTATTGCTGTATGAGTTCTATAAAATGATGATGGTACAAGCACTTATGAACTAAAAAGTGCTTTATAAATGTGGCCTCATTTAGCTATGGTCCTGCATTTCAAGGAATTTGCTTTCTAGTTAGAAAAACAAAGAAAAGGGCATGAAACAATTAGCAGATGATATGAGACTGATATTGAAAGAGGGAAAAACTGCCTGTAGGATTTCTCAAAGGTGATTTCAAAGAACAGCTTCAGAGCACACTTTTAGGAAATGCAGCTTATTTTATTTCTCCAATTTTACAGATGAGGAAATCAAGGCTCAAAAATGATAAGTGACCTGCCCGAATCCCACAAGTTAGTGTAAGACAGCACAATGCAATAGAAAGGATATGGGTTCTAGTGTCAGAAATTTGGTGTTTTGAGTCCTGATTGTCACTTGTAGTTGTCTCACCTGTAAGGAATTGACTTCAGTTTACTTAGCTATAAAGTACAGATATGTTCTTCTTTAGAGCAAATACAGACAGATAGGAGTTGCTTCTCATTTTAGGAGAACAATAGTAGGAGCAAAGGCAGGCATGAATTGCTCCATTTAGGCCTTCCCTGCCATGCGGCCTGGTTATACTTGATGAACTTGGGCCAGTGATTCAGATGCCCTTTCTCTGTGGTTTTCTTTTTACAGTGGTGAGGGCAGTGATGAAGGAGAGGTGCTACTTTATTACTGCTATCGTGACCTGGAGGATCCCCACTGGATCTGTGCCTGGCAGACAGCTCTGTGTCAGCACCTGCACCTCACAGGCAAGGTAACATGTTCTTCCACACCCCACCCTTCACTAGGCTGCTCTGGCCTCCAACTTGGATTGCAGAGGCTGTGCTCTTTATTTATTTATTATTATTTTTTATTGATTTCAGAGAGGAAGAGAGAGAGAGAGATAGAAATATCAATTATGAGAGACAATCACTGATTGGCTACCTACTACACATCTCCTACTGGGGATCGAACCTGCAACCCAGGCACGTGCCCTTGACCAAAACTGAACCCGGGACCTTTTAGTCTGCATGCCAATGCTCTATCTACTGAGCCAGACGGGCTAGGATAAGGCTGTGCTCTTTACAAAGAGATTTGCTGTTGAGTTTTTAGAAATTAGCAAACTCCTGTGAAGCATATAAATAGAATACTAAGTAGCTATTAACATGGTGTTTTATAAGAATATATAATGGCATAGACCAGGAGTCAGCTAATTTTTTCTTAAAGAGCCAAATAGTAAATATTTTAGGATTTGCACAGAAAAACGACTCAACCCTGCCATTGGTAACATGAAAACAACTCTAGATAAATAGGTAAATGGATGGATATGCCTGTGTTCCAACAAAACTACATGCAAAAGCAGGCATAATTTCCCTTGGCATAGGGAAATGTTCTCGCTTTGGCACCTAGAAAAACATGTTATAGAACTGTGCATAGAGGTGTGATTCCAAGTTTCTTCTTAATTTTCCTAGAACATGCCAGGGCCTTTACCATTTCCTGGTACTGACATTTGCAATTTTCTTTCCCTCTAGAATGCTTTTCCCTTAGATCTTCACATGGCTCATTCCTCACTTCAGATCTCTGCTCAGATGTTATCTCCTCAGAACTCTAATCTGAAGAGGTCCTTCTGTAAGCCTCATCACTTTCTATCCCTTCTAGTAAAAAAATTTACTATCTGAAAGTATAGTCTTTAATTTGTTAGATTTGTCCCATATAGAATGTAAACTTCATCTTCATCTTCAAGAACTTGGTCTTAATTGATGTATTGTCAGCGCACAGGGTTTAGCACATAGCAGACAGTGTATGTTCAGAGAATGTTGAATAAAGGAATGAATGTGTGTTTGTAACAAAAGCACAAGTGTGTGTGTGTATAAAGATGGAGAGTAGTAGACATCAAAATGTTAATTATGACTCTACCAGAGGATTATGAGTGGTTTTTCTTTTAAAAAAATATCCTTAATGATTACATATCTGTACATGTATATGTATATTATATATTTTTAAAAATTTAAAAAGTGAGTTAGGTTTCCTCTGGGATATCCTCTAGTTATGATGCTGTACTGTCTATGGGTAATATTTCCTACTCATGTTCCAGGTTTTCATTTGCTTTGGCAATCATTTGATCAGTCAGCAACATTTCCCACATCCATGTTTGCTAACAGATAGTGGGCTGAAAGCTTCATTCATTTCATCACCCAGTCCTGCCATTTCTACCTCTAAAATGTCCCTTGACTCCATTCACTCTGTCCTCCATTTCCACCACTTTAGACCAAGCCTCACCCTCTTACCTGGCCCATTTCAATAGTTGGCAAACTATTCTCCATTCTATCCCTGCCTGCCATTTAATCTAGCCTGTACAAGCATCCAGAATGATCTTCAAAGGTAGATAAAATCATATTAGCCCTCCTCAAGATTTTTCAAAGGCTATCCAGTGCATTTAATGTAAAACCCACATTGTTAACATGCCCTTAGGTTCCTGCATAATTTGGACCCTTCTTACCTTCTTTCCGCTTATCTGATACCATTCTTCTTTCAGTTTCTTGGAGCCTACAAAGTCATTTTGTGTTTTTGGGCCTTTTTATAAGAAAAGTCTTTAAGGAACTCTCCCATACTAGTACTCGGTTTCTCCTGTGTGATTTTCCCTCAATCTTCACTTCTCAAAGAGATCTTTCTTGACCTTTAATCAATTTCATTTTTCCAAATATACTCTTATAGCATCTTAGTTATTTTTTATAGCGCTTGTCAGTTTGTAACTTTTATCTTAATATCTGTGACTATCCCTTAGTCTATAAGCTCCAAGAGCACAAATACTGTATTTTTTCCCAATCCTTAGTTCTTAGTACAGTTCCTTGTGCATAGTAAAAAATTTAGTAAACATTTTTGGAATGGATACATTTGTCACAATGTCTATTTAGAGAGCATCTTAAAAGGTGGGCATTCTCAAAGTAAAACTGAATGTACAAAATAAGAAATCAATCTCTTTCCTTGGTTTAGGGGCAGATTTTTATTCTTGGACAGCCTGCGGTGAACTAACAGTGAGGGCCCCTAACCACAAGGTGGCAGCACCTGTCCAGACTATAGGTCTAAATTCTAAGGTTTCCATGATACATGAAGAGTTTACTGAGAGAGTTTTCTGCTGGTAGATTTGTCAGGATGTTGGCATTTAGGTAAAAAAGAGGAGAACTTGAAAATTCTGGAATTATGGAAGGAAGCTTCTTGTCCCTATTGCTATATATTCATTCCTGGAAGATACATAGGGAATGCATTGGAGACTTTGGAAAGGAAACATTACAAGATTGATAGCCAATAAGATCTGATTTTTGAATCCCAGATCTACACCTACCAACCTGTGCTCTTGGACAAATTACTTGATTTCTCTGAGTTTCTGTTTCCTTTTCTGTTGGGGATTATGACATCTACCTTTCAGGAATATATTATAAAGCTCCTGTATCATAGTAGGTGCTCAGTAAATGCTAACTGTTGTTCTTCATCTCTGAAGTTTAAGGCCTTTCTCACCAAGGAGCTACTTTGAAGATTTCTGTTAAAGAATCCTAGTGATTGAAAGTCTGTCGGATGAGTTTAGAGAGTGTTCTGCCCCAACTGTATAGGGAATGGATGAGCTTGTTTTTATTTGGGTTTTGAGATTTAAAATAATAGGAAAGAATATACTAACCTACCCAAAAGACAGTTACGTACAAGTATGTGCCTCTTCATCATATCTGTCACAGTAATGACAGCTTCAGGGTACAATTCCTGACTCATACTGGTTTAGCTCTTTTTCTGTGTAATCCCTTAAAAATATACAAGTTGAATCATCTAATCAAAAAATTCTCTCCAAATATGGTTTAGAGGGAAGTTTCAGGTTTAGTGTGAGAGTAGATAGTTAATATTACTTATAATAAAAATAAATAATGTTTACACTTTAAACATTGATCTGTCAACACTGTTAGACATACACAGCAATGGACATAACCTTTTCATAAGTTCATTAAAACAACAAGTAGTAAAAATGTATTATTGTATTACTATTAATTGCAATAGTAATAGTTATCTGTTTTAAAATAAAGCCTACTAAATAGTTTTGTTAAATTGGAAAAATGTGTATATATAAGCTGGTACTAGGTATAGTAATCTCTGCAGATGGTGTGTACTTTGACTTTCTTCTCCCAGCCAAGATCAGGCTCACTAGGCTCCAGTACTCTCTCAAGAACTGGATGTGACCCAGAATGCTCATCATGGAACTCTGCACAGCCACTACTAGTGAGCTGGCGTAAATGAATCCCATTTATATCCATGCTCTAAAAGAATTGAATCAAGTGTCTCAGCCAATGAAGTATCATCTCTGGGCCCTCAAAATGGGGAGCCTTTAAAAATTTTAAAATTCTAATGCATTGGGAGGTATCACTGTTATACAGGAAGTAGTAATACTATCGGGCCTTAAATTACCTTTCCAGAGAATACCATGATATAAGTGTTGCACTTTTCTCTAGGACCCTCTAAAGATGACACATCTTTAAACTCATCCAAGGATTTTGTAGCACCAAAACAGCTAATTTTGCAGGGTCCTCAGAGCATTGCTTCTTAAGGCAGGGGCCTTAGTCCAAACTCTAATGTCTCCTAACCAGTGAAGTATTTTAAAAAGAATACAGATTTGAGAAGCCAGAAAACCTCAGATGTGGATACACATTCATTTGTTCAATAGATACATATTGAATGCCTACTATGAGGCAGGTGTTTTAGGCACTGGTTATGCAACAGTGAACAAAACAAACGCTCCTCCTGCAACTTTGTAATCCAGTGGGTGGGTTTGCAGTGGTGGCTTTCCCCCAAAACCACACAGAGACGCATTCACCCCATTCCCAGTCCTCAAGTGTGCTCTGTGCTTTAGAACTTGGGGAGTCTCTCCCCAGCAGTGGTTTTCATTGTTCTCTTTTTCCTTTTTATCAAGGTGAAGAAATCGAGGTTCAAAGAAGTAAAACAATTTCCTCAGGGCACTTTGCAAGTAAGGGGCAAAACTGAATCTTGATTCTAGATCTGCTGACCTGGATTAAACTCAAAATGTGGTTCTCTGACCATTGGACAACGGAGTCCATAGCAAATGGGGCTTTCCAGTAGTTACATTAGTTTCATGCTCTTACTCAGCACACATTGACCAGGTACCCCATCTGAGCTGAGGGAGTGCCGTTTTAGAAAACACAGGTACCTTTGTGGTAACACTTTGGTGTCCACAGCAGTGTCTTTGTTTCCTGTTCAACTCACTGATACACTTGAGCCTGTTCTGCCCTGGGAAGATTTTAACTGCATTCCCTTTCTCTCGCCATCTTGTGTCTCAGGTGCGAATTGCTACAGAAGGAATCAACGGGACAGTTGGTGGAAGCAAATTGGCCACCAGACTCTATGTGGAAGTCATGCTTTCCTGTCCATTGTTTAAGGATTATCTGTGTGAGGAGGATTTTAAGGTAAGAGAAATTGAAAAGGAAATGGCTCTAGAGCCATGCCTCGATGCCTCTTCCTGTTGTAGGTTATGAAGAGAGCGCAGTATAGAGAAATAAGCAGTGCCAGGAAACTACCCTTCCTCGTTACCAGGTGACAAGGTAGTGTGTTAGAAGGACGTGCTGGTTCCAGTTCTTCCACTGAATCGCCATATGGTCTTGGACAAGTTAGTGTCCTCTCTGGCCCTCAGTGTCCCTTCTTAAAGAATAAGGTCGATACAATCTAAATTCTGAAACTTAGATGCATTTGCTTATTTGGGAGTCTGCCTGGCTATCTCGGTAAACCTGGAATTATCAGGTCAGTACTTCACACAGGGAACAAGGTTGCTCTTACAGCTCAGGTGCTTTATCACAATAGGTGGTAAAGGTGGTGGGAAATACCTTGGTAGTGTTAGTGCTGGTGGTGATAGATAAAGAGAGGTCATTGCTCCAGGACAGAAGCTGGGATGTGATCTTACATGTTGAAATTGCTCAGCCGTGTTTCAATTTTAAATGCTATTGCTATAGAAACACCTTTCAGTGTAACATTTCTGAACATGGTAGATATGCAGTAAATAAGACCAAATATGAGAATTATTTTATAATACCATAGCTGTAGTATTAAGAAGTCTCAAATTAGAAAAACCTGTTTTAATGGGAAAAGGGAATTATGGCCTAGACTGTTCCAGAAAACTCAACATTATCTGCTTTGTTTCTCATTGGCTAGACCAGCAAAGGAGGAGCTTGCTGTTTTCCAGAGTTGCGTGTTGGTGTATTTGAAGAAATTGTGCCTATGGGGATCAGTCCCAATAAGATCTCCTATAAGAAGCCCGGTATGCTTGCTTTTAGAAGGACAAAACAATAGAGAGACAAATGTGAAGGATAGACACATCAATCAGCTAGAGCCATGAATCCTTCCATTAAAATAGCTGTGGGGTGGCTAACATTTGGGTCATTTGATGCTTAAATTGGTCTTCTCTTTGGAGATTCCCCCTCAGAATGACTTATTCTTGGTGACGGTTTGGCAAGAAGTTGTTTCCTCTTTAAAGATAGCAGTGTAGGAAGAGTGCAGTTCTTACTTGTGAATAGTTTATCAACTAATTGTTTGGTTTGATTTTAGGAATCCATTTATCCCCAGGTGAATTTCACAAAGAAGTAGAAAAGTTTTTGTCTCAGGCAAATCAAGAACAAAGTGATACTATCCTCCTGGACTGCAGAAACTTCTATGAAAGCAAAATAGTAAGAACCAGAATTGAGTCCCCACAATATGGCATGTTCCCCAGGGGGATGTGTGTGCCCATCAAGTCACATGGATCTCTTCCCACTGCTAGCAGCTTCAGAGAAAAACCCAAGTCTTTCAACTCAGGATCTGATGAGAAAGCCTAAGAAAATATGAATTACAGACATATTGGCAAATAACGTGCGTTCTGGCTCCCATGTGCCTACCCTTGACACATGTCAAGGATCTTGTAAACTTTGCTTTGGGCAGCCTCTCCAGTTCCCCTGAAGACTGGGAAGGTGACTCACAGCTCGCCAGCCATGTCTGTTAAGTTCCAATCTTAAATTTGAAAGGTTTAGTGTGTGGGATGAGAACAGCAACTAGTTGGTGGTTCCTTGCCAAGGAAGGTGGTGGGGGAGGGGAGGGAGTGTGTGAAAGCATACCAGGTATACTTTTTCTTTTTTTTTTTTTAACCATTTTCTTTCTATCCCACATTGTAGGGACGCTTCCAGGGCTGCTTAGCTCCAGACATCAGGAAATTCAGTTACTTCCCTAGCTACGTTGACAAAAACCTAGAACTTTTCAGAGAGAAGAGGGTACTGATGTATTGCACTGGGGGCATCCGTTGTGAGCGGGGTTCTGCTTACCTTAAAGCCAAGGTGAGTCGCCCTCCTTGGGCACCACCGGCCTGGCCGTGAGGAAGGCATCGTCCACAGCATGTGTGGACTCCCTCCCCCATCCTGGCAGCCAAGTGTTCCTTTTCCCCTGGTATGGTTTCAGCTTCGAGTTTTAAGTACAAAACACGAAGTTCTTAAATCTTAAGATGTGAAAAAAGCTCAGCAGTTTTAGAAACTCATCAGGTACAAACGGGAAAGATTAGTTAACGTTTCCCTTTGCCTAATACTTTTGCTTGATCCTGAGAAGAGCAAATTCAGTAACATTACATGTCCCAACAGGTGTCCGTCTATATTTAGGGGGTGACAAAAATAGTTGAGCTCCAGGATCTGGAGAGTGAAGGCCCTGACTGCTGTCATCACCCATCGCCCCCTCCCTGCAAGCAAGATCTGGCCAGTTGCTTCCGTGCACCCTTGGTCAGCAGTTTCTCAGTGGCCTGCAGGGGAGCCAGGAGCTACCCTTGGGCATCCTCACCACGTGCCACTCCTCTAGAGCTTCTTCCTGACCTTTGCTTGTCTCCTGAATCTCCTGCTGTTTCTCCACACATAGGGCGTGTGCAAGGAAGTGTTCCAGCTCAAGGGTGGCATCCACAAGTACCTGGAAGAGTTCCCTGACGGTTTTTACAAAGGGAAATTGTTTGTTTTCGATGACCGTTATGCCTTGTCCTACAACAGTGACATAGTGTCAGGTAGGTCAGCACAAGCCTAGAACCTAAACTCACGATCAGGCACTCTCTGTATGAACCAGGCTGGAAGACAGGGAAGAATAAAACTGGGAGATGGAGTGCGTGGCACCACCACTGCCCACCAGAGCTGGAGATGTAGCGGCACAGCAGAGCCAGGAGGCCTGTGCTGGGATCCTGGCTTCACCATTTACCCGTTAGACAAGTCCTAAAAGTGGAGATAATGTCCCTTGCTCTCTGCCTGCTCAGCAGTGAACTAATAGGCTAAATCAGAGTTCTTCACCCGGGGTCAATATGTGTGAATTTGGATAGCAATTTATTTTCATAACCTCTCACTAAATGTAACACTACCATCAATTATGAATATAAGCAACAAATCAGTAGTATTAGATGTGCCTGTGACTTTGTCAGTAGAAATCAGTATTTTCATAGATTACAGTTGCTACCTATATCTTAAAATAGTATTTATGTTCATCATTGCTTCAAAATGGAAAGAGCTATTAGGCCTACTACTAATTCTTATTATTGAATATGCTAATATCTTACTATAGTCCAGATTTTTAAAAATATTTTAATGTTTTATATTTCTATATAATTGCATTCTTTTGTCATCCTATGTAGATTACTTTATGCATTTAAAAATATATATTTCTAAGAGTTCATACTCTTCACTAGACTGCCAAGTAAATCCGTGGCACAGAGGAAAAGACTCCCCTAGTTTAGATGGTCTGTGGACACATGTGGTCTTGCGCTTTTGCTTGGTGGGTGGGAGCTGGACGTAGGGCCAAGGCCACAGGCAGGGGTGGCCACAGGAAGCGGTGGCCACAGGAAGCGGTGGCCACAGGAACTGTGTGGTTTGACTAGTTTTGAGTCCACACTAAAATGTGGTATCAAACGAAGGCAGTCTGTGGAGAATGGAAATAGTCCTTTAGCAGAAGGGCTCTTGATGCCACAGTCTTGAGCAGGAAAGGTCACAGGCAGACATCCCTAGTGGCTATTGTAGTTTCTAGAATCGGGATCAGAGACAGATTGCATGACTATTCAGATAATAAGATAGGAGTTGGATTATTCTCTTTCCTTCTTTACTTTAATTAGTTTGGATAGTCTTGTGTTTGTGTCTGTTATTGAAAACATCTGATTTGGAGCTAGGTGGAGTGTAAACAGAAGAGAGAAGGACTATAGGTACCTTAGATAAGCTAGGTAAAGAGACTTTGAAGAAGGATGTTACCAGTGGTAATAGGAGTCAGTAAGAAAAAACTCGCTGAGAAAGTAGATGAGTTTTAGGAATCCAGTGGCAAGTGTCTGTTAGCAACAAATAGCAGGAGAACCTCAGGCCTGGGGAAGAGGAATGCAGAGTTGAGTCTAGATGTGGGAACATCTAGGTATGTTGTCTTCCCGTGAAAAAGGGATTGATCTAAAGCACATATGTCAAACACAAGGCCCGCGGGCCAAATCCGTCCCGCCAGGCCTTGCAATGTGGCCCGCACCTCGCTGTCATCACTGCACTCCGCTGCGTTTCCATCACAATGACAGTTTATGACTGTTCAGTAAACCATTCGGCCCGGGATTTAGGCTGGATTTTAGATTTTGGCCCCTTCTCTGATTGAGTTCGACACCCCTAATCTAAAGGAAAAAGACTGCTGACCAAGAGGGTGGTTGGCTCGCCTTGAAATAGTTAATGAAAGAGAGAAGCATTACTATCTGTTTCTAAATGGGAAAAGGGAAAGTGGATTGGTGAATGCTGGAATCAGGAAGACAGTTTCTGGAAGCAACCTCCCCCCCCAAAGAGTAGGGATGAGGCGTGTTTCTTGTTAGAAGATAGGAGACTTACTATTTAGAAAACTTCCCCAGATGCAACAGGATATATTCGATTCTAATGAGCTAAGAGTTATATTTAGGAACTGGAGAAGGGCGTGTGTTTATAACAAAGATTGTTCTTCCGTCCCCAGAATGTGCATACTGTGGAGCCCCATGGGACCAGTATAAACTCTGCTCCACTTCCCAGTGCCGCCAGCTCGTCTTGACCTGCCCCGCCTGTCAAGGACAAGGACTCACAGCCTGTTGTGTCACATGTCAGGACAAAGGGAGCAGGCCAGCTCCAAGCCCTACCCAGAACAGCTTTAAAGAGGAGTGTGACTGTACAGCCCGACGGCCACGCATACCCAGTGAACTTCCACAGCAGGCGCTCCCCCCCGAGCCCAGAGCCGAGACCTGATGCTGCTGAGGACGCACCCTGCTTGTGTGAGCGGCACCAGCAGCATTTCCCCGAGGCTTCACAAAGCTAGGTTCGAGGCAGCCATGTATTTGGGAATATCCAGGCCGCTGCAACAGAGAAATGGGGAACTTGGGTGCTGGCCAATGACCCTGTGGCAAACTGGTCACCTATTGGCCACTTATACTTCCTGAGAGGAGAGAAGAGGGAGTTGGTGCTGACCACTTACCTGAGACATTCTGACTCAGAAGGTGCTAGAGCACAGGAAAAGGTGAGCTGTGTGGAGCCTGGCAACCAGGTCATGCCTTTTCTGTGCAAGGTGTCAGGGCTGGTAGCAGTCATTTTTCTTGTCATCATACCTGTCTGTCCTGATGGCAAAAGTGTGAAAGCTGTGTCCCTGGAAGTAGACTCCTTGGAACAAGTCCCATTGGTCCCTTACCACTCACCCAACCCTCACCTCAGCTCTGTTAGCCTGTGTGCACAGACCGGGATCTGTAAACTACGGCATTTGGCCCATCTGCTTTTGTAAACAAAGCTTCATTGGAGGAGCCAAACCCATTTTTTATTATAACATGTGATTTAAGACAGACTTAAGTATTTACAACAGAAAAGTTATGGCCTGAAAAACCTGTATTTATTATCTGGTTCTTTACGGAAAAATTGCCACCTTCTGGTCCAAATCAACAGCTCGACTGATGGAATAGATGGTCATAAAGATGTGGCTCACCTTCATTTTTTTATTGATTTGGTTTTTAACAGAGATCTTCCCCTAGTAGTCTCTGCTTTCCCTAGCAGCCACCACACTTTGCTTTTAAGTATTTTCTTTGAGGGATTCAGATTAGCTTGATGACACGTGTGGGCAGCTTTTACACAAGTGCCTTCGGATACAAGACATTCTGAGTGAGGTCCTTCAGCACTGCTGTGGTTTCCCGGCCTTGTCTGGTATGTGTCCCTGTCATACGGGTCCCCAGAAACACATACGCAGCCATTCATAGACCAACAGGTTTAATGTTAAATTGCAGTTTCCAGTGATGCAGAATACAGCTCCACTTGTTTCAAGGAGAAGCCGGTGGTGCCACTTCTGGGCCCATCTGCAGCCTCGTAGACACTCTTCCACCTCTGGTTTCCCTGCACTGTCACGGCATCACAGTTCATGTGTAAGACTTTTCCTTTCTCATCAAAAGCCTCTGCTCAGTGCTCTGCAGCAGTCTGTCAGCTCTTTGGCCTGGCCTCTACCAGGAGATTTGTCCTATCACTCATGAATGTAACTTCCCAAGCAACAGAAATACTAGCTCGCCTGGCACTGTGGTATGTTAAAAGGCACAAGGGCACTGTGGCTTCACTTTTTTGCTGGATCCCAAGAGGTGCACATGATGTTAAAGGAATGTGGCAGAGATACCAAAATTACGTTTTCAGAATCGTCACCTTGGGATAGTTTGGCCAGGGTTTCCTATCGTTACTATCTGGTCTTCCCCATTGGCTTTCAGAGGCTTAACTTTTTAATTAAGATTAGCAGTGACATGTCTAGTAAGTGCTGCCACAGGTAGTTGTAAGTCTGTCAGCATAGACTGGGAATTTACCCCTCTAACGTTTGACTTCAAGTAAGCCATTAGCCCACTGTGCAGTACAGGAAGGTGTTTTCAAGTATTTGGCCACAGGGTTTCATATCCATCATAAGGTTAGCATTCAATAAAGGAAAAAATTCTGACTTTGGTGTTAAGTTACAAATAAACCCCAGATGCCATAACACTCAAGAAGCTGTTTGTTGCCTGGGATTAGTAGACAGGATCGTTTTTGAAACTTGGAATTTCCTCATATCCAGCAAAAGGAAGCTCATGTTCTTTGACTCCTGGCAGAGCACAGTGGCTTCAGTCTTTCTGTCTTTTTTTTTCTTTTTTTTCCCTTTAATATATTTTATTGATTTTTTACAGAGAGGAAGAGAGAGGGACAGAGAGCTAGAAACATTGATGAGAGAGAAACATCGACCAGCTGCCTCCTGCACACCCCCTACTGGGGATACACCCGCAACTACGGTATAGCCCTTGACCTGAACCGAACCGGGACCTTTCAGTCCACAGCCTGACGCGCTATCCATGGAGCCAAACCGGTTTCCGCCTTTCTGCCTTTCTTGAGGGGAAAAATTGTGTTCTTGATCCAGTAATCAATTTGGCAACTTTAATCTTGAGGTTCTTTGATTTAAAGGAGGGTTAATAAAAAAAACAAAACAAAAGAAACCTACCCTGTTCTGCTGGCTAAATAGCTGAGATCAAATTTGTAATAAAGTATTGTATAATGCTTCTATACCGTGCGGAAGAGTGTGCTGTTGGTTCGTGCGTTACGCATAGTCAGTACCCCTGAAACACCACATAGCAAGGCCACCAAAACCAGGCGCTTGGGATAAGTCACTGCTGCTGCAACGTCATCTTCAGGAAGATCTGCTGGTCCAGGGGCTTCTTAGTTTTTAAACAATAACCAGATGGAACTTCTGTGACTAAAGAAAAACTTCACATTAACCATAGTTTATAAAATTTCAACTGTAACCACTAGTTATCCTAAAACCTTTGTGCATAAAGAACTGAACCACCAAAGGGTTTGTGCTGGCATTCTGCCTTCTGGCTTCCACTGCAGAGCACAGAGAATCAGTAGGACGTGTCCAGTTCAAAGGCGTGGTCATCACCGCCACGCGCTAGACTCCACTCCGGCACTTGGGAATGATGGGCCCAGTCAAGTCTGCGAGCCTCCTCTTCCTCACTGGAAAGGAATGGAGATGAGATGTAAGCCAGTTGTCCCTGTGCGCCAGGAACCACCTCCGGGGCTCAGAGCACTGTGAGCTTCTCACTAACTCTTTGGTTAGCAGAGTCTGAAGCCAGTTTTTAAACGATAGTTATGAGTAGGTTGTATAATGGCCCTCCAAATTGTCAGCGTTCACTGATGAGGGTCTGTGGTAACAGAGTCATTCATAAATTACTTCTATACCGCTGACCTAAGATCTAAAACGCCTTTCTCCAGCTCCACTATTTTAACTTTACGTACAGAGGCCCTACAGCTGAAGATCCCTAGTCCATGTCAGATAAGGGTTAAGTCCGTCTTCTTAAGGAGACTAGGGTCTTCACTGCTGGGTGCATTTCCCTTGGCTTTCTTGGAGCTCCTGGCCTCCCTCCTCACTATATAAGCAACAGTGTCTACCCTAAGATGCACCTGCATTATCTGTCCCCTCAGGAACCCTGACATTTTCTGAGATGGTTTTAGGGGAAGACGATTTGGGGTGTGCGTGCCAGTGGTGCTTGTTAGAAAGGTCTTTTATTGAGAACACAATAAAAGCAACGTTTCCTGGAAGGGATGTTTTCTGGTTTTAAACATGTTACACCCTCCCCCGACTCCAGCCTTCCCTCCCCACCTCCACCCCCGGACTCCCTCTGTCCTCGTCCCACACACAAAACTGTCTTAACTTGGAGGCTGCAATTCAGATTTAATTAAGTTTAGAGAACTTCAGCAGCAGATTTACAGGACCTGACAGCCAGGCTTAGCCTAGGTCTGAGCTATAAATAGCATGGCGATAGGACTCATCTGAGATCACCACGGGAAAATGTAGCCAGGGACCCACGGCTCCTCCCAGATACCACTGTGCCCAGGTCCCTGCTCTCTCCCAGGAGCACAGGTGGGAGGGGTCACAGACACACCAGGCAGGAGGGGCCAGGCGAGCTGCCTGTCTGCAGGGGCTCTGGCTGACCCATGGCCTTGGGGGCCGACATGCCCCCAGGAGGGGCCTGCCTGCCCAAGCCACAGGCCAGGAGCCAGCACAGATGCAGGCCACAGCGAGAGGAGACTGGAGAGGCTCACAACCACGGTGGCTGGGTGGGGCACACAGGAATATTTTATGATGAAAATATTCAGCTGGAAAACACAGAAGCCTGTCTGATTCTTTGAGGCATCAAGAGTGAGAGGAAGGGACTGTGTTGGAAAGAAAGGGTTTCTCTTTCACAGAATTCTTTTTTAAAGGAGGATTTCCCTTTTTTCTGATGCACTGTCAGAATCAGAAGCATTTCTTATCTACCACAATTAGCAGATGGCCGCAAATTTTCTTGTAAAGCTAGAAATCCTACGTCACCAAACTAGCGCTCTGCCTGTTGTGTGTGTAATCACCGACCCCAATTCTGCTCCGATTCCTCCTGTGGGGAACCCCAAGGGTAAAGCTGCACCGTCTCCGGGGTAATCCAGAGGCCCATGTTGATCACCCCTCACTCCTGTCCAGGAAAATGCCACAGTCCGGCTTCCCACCTGCTTCCCTCACCAAACTCTTCAGGTTGGCACTGAAGAAGCCTTTTGGCTCACAGCCTCCCCTCCTTTACTGAGTCCCATTCCTTGTGAACACCTCCCATACCTGCCAGTCATCCTGCCTTTGCCTATGCTGTTCCCTCTGCTTGAAATGCCCTTCCTCCCTTCTCAGTGAGTTCCCGTTTTCTGTTCTAGGCCAAACTCCCCGTAACAGTTCCTCAGTCCTCTTGGGTCCTTCGTCTCTCCTGCCCTGCACACTGGTTCTGCACACTGGTTCGACCTCCTCGCCTTTGCCCGTGCTAGTACCCCCATCAGGAACGCCTCCTGACCTCCCCCGGAATCTCTCTTCCTTTCCAGGCTGGCTGAAGGCCCACCCCAACCAGGATGCTTTATCTAGCCTTTGTCCTCACAAATCATTTCCTCATTTTATTTGGATACAGTGTGCAGGCATACTTGAATTTTCAGGCCCATCTTTGAATCATTTCTCCCCTAAAAGGTATAAAGGTTCTTGAGTCGGAGAACTAGTGTTTCTGTTACCCCTTACGTCACCGAGCACACGCTCACTAACCACTGGTGTGACTTGACTGAGCCGCTGCCTACAAGGGCAGCCTGACCCAGGCTTCACTTTCTCCACAGGGAAACGGAGGGATGGGCCTGAAGTCCTTCCAGCTCAGGCACAACCAGGAGGTCCCTGGTGCTAGGAGTTGGCCCTGGATTTTGGAATCACAGCCTCTCAGGACTGGGAGTGTCCTCCAGAGCATTGCATTAAACCTGATTTTGGTGTCTCACTTACACCGCCCCCCCCCCCTTCCCTGCAGCAACCCTGATCTCTAGTCATCTGGTACCTTCCTTCCTCAGAGGAAAAAAAAAAAAAAAGACCCCCCAGACCATCTTACTACTGGAAGACGCGAGCTGCTTTAGCCCTGAGATAGGCAGAGGGGCACCCCCGAAGCTCAACCTAGGCTGGGCGGGAACCTGGGAGGCTACTGATAGCACAACGGAACTGAAGGCTGTCAGTGCTCCCTCTGAAGCCAGCTCCCAGCTGGGCCAACAGAGTTGAAATGGATGGCCTCCCTCAACAGTCAACTCTGTGGCACCATAATCATCGCAGTTCTTAGTTCTTGTTGCTAGTTCTTATTTTATTTCAAGTCGGGGCACTTCAGATAAACTAGGACACTGGTGCATTTTTATTTTGTTTGTTTTATGCGCTTTCCTGGACCTGCAGCTCTAGGAAAAAGTGGTAAGTGGTGCGAGTAATGACTGACCAGCCTCTGGGCTCTGACGGCTTGAAGAGCAAGAACCTGCGTCTTCAACACCAGGGGCCGATGGGGCTTTGACCAGTGTTTGCTGAAGGAACGAACTCCATCCGCAGTGTGTGTGGCTCAGAGGTGATCTAGGCAGACGTTCTGCAAGCGCCTGCCTTGTGCACACTCATCTCCAGGCATTCACCTCGCCTGAGGTCCATCACCCGGCGCTTCCGAGTGAGGCTCTTTGTGTTTTACTGAGTGTTACAAACAACAGCTGCCTGGAAAGCAGGTCTGAATTTGATGAAAAACTCACTGGATCCATTGCTCTTTAGAAAACATATTTCAAAATTCAACCTCAGAGAGCAACTTTTTTTTTTTTAACTCATCACGCTGCCATCTCATCTGTAATAAGAATGACATAATTTGGTTTTTCTTCTTCCTGCCTTGTGTCTAGCAAATGCATGACTAAATATAATTATGTTTACGTATTAGGCCTACTCCTTTTCTTGGTTGTTTTTTCTTCCAATTTTCCTATAGCCTTTTCAGACACTCTCTTTTTGGGAGACTCTATCAAGTTCCTTTAACAGCCAGCAGGAACACCCATGAATGACTACACACAGAGCTGGGGAACAACTGGCATCTGGAAAAGTCAGGGATGGACCTCACTTTTCACTCAACTGACTAATTGGGTGTTTGCTCACAAGAAAGATTGTGACATTTTCTTTTAAGAAAAGAAACTATACCTTTAACTGAGATTCAACTACTGTCACCTGTTTACTATGACGTCAACATTTTCAACTTTTATTTTAAAAACAAGGAGACGTCTCCTAGGCTTGGGGCTTTGGTCATAGTGCTGGTTGGGGGCTGTAGGACCTACCTGGGGCTAGAGCCAGACCGTGACAGGACAGAATTCTTGAGATCAGGGGGGGGTGGGGGTGGGGAGAGGGCCCAGCCTCGGATCCCTGAGACAGGCTGCTCACAGCCCAGCGAGGAGACAAGGCACAAACACTCAAAACGAATGCCACCAACGTGAGAGTCGGAGTCAGGCTCACCACGAGGACCCCCTGGAGAAGTTATCCATGGAAATTCCCCCAGGACAGGCGGGAGGGAGCACATTTCCACTCACCAAGGTCGTTGTTGCTCATCATGGCGTTGGAGGCCCGCAGCCGGGGCCCCTGCTGGGTGAAGTGGTAGCCGAATTTCAGAAGCGTCGTGTTTTTTTCCAGCATGCTCACGATCTCCATTTCTACTTTGTTGCCCAGGGGCTGGCTCTTTGGTCAAGAAAGAACGATATTCACTGCTCATCCCATTTGCCAGGTACCTCTCCCTTCTCTACCCACCAGCAACCCTGAGTGGTGGGCAGGGATTTTATCCCCACCCCCCAGAGCAGGAAATGGAAGTCTGGAGCAGGTGAAAGGTCACCGCCGGGAGGAAATGAGCTGGGATTCGAACCCAGGCCACTGGACGCCTACGATAGTCTTTCCTCTGGCCCACGGCAGCATCCTAGAAGGACTGAGCAGAAAGATCTTCACATTATCTAGTCCCAAAGAAATTAAAAAAATCCTGCTGCCTGGGCTGTTCCCCATATTAATTAATCCAGGATCCCTGGGAGTGAGGCTCAGGTGTGCGTGGCTTTTCAAACTTCTCAGGTGACTCCACTGTACAGCCAGGTTTGCTAATCAGTCATTTAGACTCATCTGCAATTTACAAACGAAGAATCTGAGGCTGAGAGAGGGAAAAAGATTTGTCCAAAGTCACCCGGGGGGTGGGAATGCCAGAGCCAGCTTCCTTCAGCCTGTTATGTCCCTTAACCCCAGAGCTATGTGATCATCTGACAAAGATGAAAGAAAGGAAAAACCCTTTAAGATTTACTCTTGGAAACTTTTGAATATGCAAGGTAGTATTATTAACTCTAATAATCTTAGTCATGCTGTACATTACACCTCTATGACTTATTTTATAGCTAGAAGTTTTCACTTTAAAAAAAATATTTTTATTGATTTCAGAGAGGAAGGGAGAGAGTGAAACATCAACGATGAGAGCAAATCATTCACCGGCTGCCTCTCCCTACTGGGGACAGAGCCCGAAACCTGGGCACGTGCCCTGACCGGGAATCGGACCATGACCTCCCGGTTCGTTCGTCGATGCTCAACCACTGAGCCATGCCTGCAGGGTGAAGCTTTCACTTTTTGACCCCCTTCGCCCATTTCTCCCCCTGGACCCCCGTCCCTGGCAACTACCAATCTTTTCTCTGTATCTGCCCTGTTTCCCCGAAAATAAGACAGTGTCTTATATTAATTTTTTCTCCCAAAGTTGCGCTAGGTCTTATTTTCAGAAGATGCCTTATCTTTCCATGTGCTAGGTCTTATTTTTGGAGGATGTCTTATTTTCGGGGAAACACGGTATGAGCTTGGTTGTGTTTGTTAAGATTCCACATATAAGTGAGCTCATACGGTATTTGTCTTCGACTTATTTCACTTAGCATAAGGTCCTCAAGGTCCATCTATGTTGTTGCAAATGGCAAGACTTCATTCTCTTTTTTTTGATTGAATAATATTCCAGTGTGTTCTCTCTCTCTCTCCCTCTCTCTCTCTCTCTCTCTCTCTCTCTCTCTCTCTCTCTCACACACACACACACACACACACACACACACACACCTTTTTATCCATCCATCCATCGATGGGTACTTAGGTTGCTTCCATGTGTTGGTATTGTCAATTGCAGTGAACCTAAGGGTACACACTACATCTTTTCGAATTAGTGTTTGTATTTTCTGAGAAGTGGGATTGCTGGATCATAGGGTAGTTCTATATTTTTTTCAGGAATCTCCATACTGGTTTCCATAGAGGCTGCATCAATTTACATTCCTACCAACAGTACACAAGGATTCCTTTTTCTCCATGTCCTTGCCAGCCTATGTTATTTCTTGTCATTTTGATGATGGCCATTCTACCACGTGTGCAGCAATATCATCATTATCATGATGTTTAATGATTTTTAGCATCTTTTCATGTACCCATTAGCCATCTGTGTGTCTTTTTGGAAAAACGTCTATTCCGATATCCTGCCCATTTTAAAACTGGACTGTTTATTAAACTTTACATTTAAATAATTAAAATTAAATAAAATTTAATATTCAGTTCCTCCGTCGCACTGGCCACAGGTCAAGTGTGCAATAGCCACTGGCTGCCATGTTGGTGCCGCAGATACGGGGCATTTCCATCATCACAGGAAGTTCTTGTGGAGGCGCTGTCCTAGCTTGTGAGCCCTCAGATGGCACAGAGGACCCAGGATCTCTAGGTCAAGGTCACGGAATTGAATAGAATGGAGGAAACAGGAATAGGCTCAATGCCTAGGAGGGCTGAGATGATACATCGGCCCAGTATCCAAAGAGACAAGCGTGGAACTGTGGTTGGAATCTTGACAGAGAACTCTCCCAGGTTATTCTGGGTTCACCAGAGCTCGTCTGGGTTCAGATGGGGCTGAGCTGCTGACCGGGGCAAGCAGAGGGCCACTGGTGGAATTCCACCAGACTGTCTGGCAGGGCTCCTGAAAGGGCTGGGATGAGCCCTGGCCTGTCCTCAGAGGACTCGGACCAGCCCTGCGCTCTGGCTGGCTCGGCCTGGCAGCCCATCCCCCGCCTCATCCCCTTTTTGTAGCTGGAAGCTTGGCCTCCCCTTGCGGGCACTTGCTGGGAGAGCACTGAGCAAACTCACAAACTCAAAAACTCATGATGGCCTAGTCCAGTGGTTGGCAAACTCATTCGTCAACAGGGCCAAATATCAACAGTACAATGATTAAAATTTCTTTTGAGAGCCTTTTTTTTTTTTTTTTTTTTAAACTTAAACGTCCTCTAGTGCCACTTCTTCAAAATAGACTCTCCCAGGTCGTGGTATTTTGTGGAAGAGCCACACTCAAGGGGCCAAAGAGCTGCATGTGGCTCACGAGCCGCAGTTTGCTGACCACTGGGCTAGTCCGAGAGAGCACAGAAGCGCAGGTCCTCCCTGACTGGAGGGGTTGCCAGGGCTGCTTCTGCAAAGCTGGCACTTGAGGTCACTCAGTCCAGAGTACAGAGCACCCCAATGCAGACTGCGGAGGTGGCCGGGCAGGCAGGAACGAGCACCCCGTCTTAGAGATGAGTCAACGGAGCCCACGTACAGATGGAAGCTGGACTGTGCTCCCTCTGCTTACTGACAGAGCCAAGGCTTGACCTGGGCCTGGGGCCTGAAGGACTTCAGAGGACCCTGTAGGCCCACATTCTCAAACTCGCATCCGCTATCCCCGAGACACACGCAGATGTCCGTGTGAGTGTGTGTGTGTGTGTGTGTGTGTGTGTGTGTGTGAGAGAGAGAGAGAGAGAGAGAGAGAGAGAGAGAGAGAGAGAGAGAGAGAGAGAGAGGAGGTACAGGATTATTTTAGATAATTGTGGCCAATCTTTCTCGCATGTTAATCTTGGACCCAAACCACTATTTTTACATTAAGGAGTGAAATAGAAAATATGCCTGAATCTTAACAAGCTTTGTACTTGCTTCATTCTCAGGCCCTCCCCTTTTCTCCAGGGACCCTGAGACCAGAAGATCTCGATCGTCGCAGAGATGAGAGAAGAGGCCATGCGGGTGAGGTTAGAACGGAAACTCTGGTGCTTACTTAGTTTTCAAATACTTGTTAGTTAGTGATCACTGTATGTCATAAGCACCTTACATACGCTAACCAGGAACCTATGGAACATGTACTATTGTTGTACCTTTCATCTTACAGGTGAGGGATCTGAAGAACAGAGGGATTAAGAAATTCCAGCTGAGTACAGAGCTAGGCAGGTGCAGACCAGGATTTGAATATGGGTGGCTTGCTCCTGAGTTGATCATTGCTAAATTCTGGGGAGTAATTTGTTACACAGCTATAGATAATTGCTGCACACACGTAATATTGAGGTGTGGGGGGAAACAGACGTAAAGGAGTACATGCATGTGAACCCATTGATCTGACGCTTGAGAACAGGCAAAACGTATCTCTGGTGACAGAAAGCAGGATGTGATTGCATCAGGAGGGAATTGATTGGGAAGGGGTGTGAGGGAGACTGTTGGGCTGCTGGAGGCATTCTGTCTTGATCGTGGTGGGGATTACACAGGTGTATACATCTCTGAGTCCACTGAGCTGTCCTTTACTATATACTTCGCTAAAAAAATAAAGTGAAGTAAGAAAGGGAGGGAATAAGGGGAGAAAGAAAGGAGGTAAAAAGTTGTTCCTTGCATGAGCTAGAATCTCTCCCAGAAGTCGGTTCTCTCCACCTGACCAACTAAGTGTCACAAACAACAAAAATACCAGCTCCCTTTGATTGAGAGAATACTACATGGTTAAAGAATCAACTCATTAAATCCTCTCACTACACTAGTAGGTTGAGTATCAGTGTTAGTCCCATTTTATAGAAACTGAGCCATGGACACATTAAGTGACTTTCCCGAGTTAACACAGCAAGAACAGAAGGGGGGCTTGATCCTTTGTTTGGCTTTAAGTGTCAGGGATCCGCAGACAGGCCATCCTTGGGTCAGGCTGGCTCTTGTCTGGGAAGCTCCTGTTTCTTCAGTGGCAACCTGACATGGAGCGAGGCGGTTGTTGTCACAAATCTGTAGTCTAATTCACTCTGACCGGGGTAGGAAAAGGGTTTTCTCTTCACCATATATCTTCTCTCTCACTTCCACTAATTTTATCTCATTTTTCCCTGAGAAGAGAGGTCAGGAAAGGAACACACTTGGCATGTGGGTGAAGGAACAGAGACACAGCCTGTCCTCTCGCTGAGGATGAATTACTGAGTTAAATGACTCCAGGCTAAATGACTTCAAATCCCAGTGAAAACACAGACGTGGAAAGGATGCACAGACCCAGAGCTGCTGCTTCGCAGGTAAGTGGGTAAGGAACAACACAGAGAACACAATTAGTCGGAAAGTCTCGCTCTTTTGGTTTTCAAGTGTTCTTCTTGCGCCTCGCAAAGCCAGAAGCATCTCCAGCCTCACTTAGCACAGCCAACCAGCTGACATAGTGTGTCATCTAAAAGTAAGGGGTGTTGCCATGTGTGAAAGTAGCTTTTGTTTTCTTTCTAAACTTATTTTCTTTAGGAAAATAATCCAACCTGGAAAAACAAGAAAACGCAATCCACTTTCTTTCCCCACCAATTATTAAGCACATCCTCACTGTCAAACATTGGAATGAAACGTGATAAATCCAGCCAATACCCCCGACCTTGCACATGTGTTCATTTGGGGAGGGGGTGGTGTGTCAGGTGTTGTCTGCTCAGAGGGGCAGGGAGAGCGCCCTGGGCCCTCAGGGGCCTGGGAAGGGCCGCTGGAGGGAGCCGGGTCAGGAGTGAGGAGGGTGAGGTGAGAGGCCCAGAGAACCCCCACTTGGGTATGACCTGCTGGGAGTGGGCGGGGCCTGCAGACACCCCAGCTGTAGGGTCTCCCCTGTCCATCCAGACAAGCAGCCTGTCTGACAGGCAGGACCTCTCAGCTCCAGCCCCGCTCTGACTCTTACTTGACCTATGACTTCGGGCAGGTCTCACCCCTTCTCTGATCCTCAGTTTCCCCGCCTGTCAAAGGAAGGCGGGACTGCCGTTTTCTCGGTGTCCTCAGCCCCGGTCAGCGCCCCTCTGCCCCCTCCGGCCCTCACTGCTGGCTCTGGGCAGCCTCAGGCAGCGGCAGAGCAGAGTCTGGAGATAAAGGAAGACTGGCCGCGTAAACAAAGAGCCTCAGAGTCCCGGTTCCAGAATCTGTGTCCCGAGCCAGCCGGGGAGGCTCCTGTCACCGGGTGGAAGGCCCCAAGTCCCTTTCCTTGGCCATATAAGGAGAGAGGAGAGCAGCGACGCACGGACACAGGTTGCAGGCACAAGGGCTGGGGGAGAGGGCTGCCGCCTCTGGGGGCCGCGGGGACTAAACAAGAACGAGGAATGAATCACACGCCACTCATCACCTCCTTTCGGTCGCGCTCCCCAGAAGCCCAGGGGCCGGGGCACCTGAGGAGAGGCGGCCGCCAGGCCCAGACCGCCTCACGCACGGAGAGAGGCAGGGGCGGCCTTCCCTAGAGGCTGGGCGGCAGAGCCCCCTCCCCACAACAGGCCTCCTGCCCATCCTCCTCCTCCCCTGCAAACCCCACTCAGCCTCCAGACCCCAGCAGAGGGGAGCACTTCCCCCAGGCCCCCTCTCCCAGGAGGTCATCCCACCCTCTCTGGCCTGCCAGGCCCCGAGGCCCTCTTTCTGCTCCCGTCCAGCAGGGGACCACGTTCCCGAGCACGGCTTTGGTGCACAGGGCGGTCTACCACCCACCTTCCCTCCACATCCATTCAGAGCCCCTCGGACCCCCACCGCCCCTTCTGTCCTTCCTCCCAGGGTACCATCCATCATGTTTGGACGGGCTCCTTCCTGTTCCCTCTCCTGTGTTTGTGTGATTCCTGCACCTGAGAGGCCGAGGCCTCACTTCGCATGCTGAGACACTGTCCACCCTAAGGTTTATCTCAGACTTCCCCTCCTCCACGAAGCCCTCCCTGGTGCCGGCTCCAGGCTGAGACTGCCCCCCCCGGGGGCCCGCGCGGCCCGCTGTCTGCGGCCAGCTGGAGCGCCTCACCCAATGGTCACTTCTGCTCTCTGCTTCCCGGGCAGCACAGAAGCCCTGGAGGGCAGCGCGAGAGCCTCATCCACACAGTGCCCAGCATGCTCTGGGGGGCAGCCAGCACTCACCAAGTGCTCACAGAAACCAAAAAAAGATGCTCCCAGCTGGACCCGGTTTGGCTCAGTGGGAACTGAAAGGTCCCAGGTTCGATTCCGGTCAAGGGCATGTACCTTGGTGGTGGGCACATCCCCAGTAGAGGGTGTGCAGGAGGCAGCTAGTCGATGATTCTTTCTCATTGGTGTTTCTGACTCTCTGTCTCTCTCTCTCTTCCTCTCTGTAAAAAATCAATAAAATACATTTAAAATATATTTTTTAAAAAAGAGGCCCCCAGGCTGTGGGCCTCACACCAAAGGAATGGGCATTGAGAAGAGCCAAACGAGGGCCATGTGAAAGTACAGTAGCGTTCAAGAGGCCGGACAGGCACAGCTCATACACTTGGGAGTCGCCCAGGCCTGGTTTCTAATCTTGCTTCTGCCACTCACTTACTGTGTGACTGTGGGCAGGCCACCGAGCCTGCCCGGGCCTCAGTTTCCTCGTCTACAGCACCCCCTCACAGTCTGTGTGAGCACCAAGTGATGTAATGGATTCAAGGCACCTGCTCAGGAAGTCAACTCTGAATGGTGTGTGAACTCCCCAGATCGCCTCTGGAGTAATTGCAGAAGTTATGGACCACCACTACTGGCCCGGTGCATGAACTTTGCACACATTAAAAGGGAATTAATTAGAGGAAATATTTTAATATTGCTATTTGCCCTTTCTCTATAATAGAAGTGTCAGAGATGAAAGTAAGTTAGTGAAGTGTATTTGAAAATCTCCCTCCTGTCAGAGTCTGGGGCACACCTGGGACCCAGAGTCAAGTCTCCGCCCACCCACACATACCTCAAAATTGCGTGAGACCTAGATCCAGCCGGCCCCACCCCATCAAGCCCCGCTGGGTGGGGGGCACAGCCTCAGGTCCCCTAGCCTGGCCCGGTGCCCCACAGCCTCAGTCCCTGCTGATCGTTCGTTCATTACGGAAACCCCACCTCTGCTGTGGGAGCAGCGTTATGGCGTGAGGGATAATTTTAATATTACCTCTTTATTGCATAGGATAGTTTAATGTGTCATCTCCTCAGAAGTGGAGATTTTATTGCCCCATTGACAAGGGAGGCAGTGAGGCTCGGGGAAGTGAACCAGGTGAGGGAGATGCTCCATCTCTGGGCTCTGGGGGAACAGCAGTGAGAAGGGAGGTGGGCAGCTCGCTCCCTGGCAGCTGCCATCACAGTGACCTGAGGCCAGTGGCCTGGGCCCTCTTTGGCCAGCACTCTGCCCCAGGCGTCAGTTTCCAGCTGACGCTGGGTAGACCCTGACTCCCTGCACAGCTAGGCTTGAAGTCACATGACCAGCTGGTCCCAGGCCTGGCCCAGAGCTGCTGCCAAGCCGGCTGCATGCCTCCGTTCCATTGCTGTACCCCTCCTGCCTCCAATAAGCAGGGTCAGCAATGGCCCAAGGAGGGACGCGATCGGTGGGATGGGCAGGGGCTGGGAGTGGGCGATGCGGCCGCCAGGCCCAGCACGTGAGAGAGGCAATGAGTCCAAGGCAGCAGATTCACATGCGGCGGCCGCAGCGGCTCACGCGGCCTTCCCAGCGGAAGGAAAGAGGACCCTCTCTGCGCGACAAAGCCCCACCCCGAGTCCCGGAGAGTGGAATGCGGGTCAGACTCCGACCCCGGCCTGCTCCTGGTGCGGGGGACACGCACGGCCACGGGGCAGCCCGCTCACCCAGCACCGCTGTGGCCACGTCTGGGCTCGGCCCTGAGGCGGCGATGACGCAGACACAGCGCCAGCCTCTGGGAATCTCACAGGGAAGCCAGGGTCCTAGCCCAGTGGTCCGCAAACTCATTCGTCAACAGGGCCAGATATCAACAAGGACCACGACTGAAATTTCTTTTGAGAGCCACATGTTTTAAACTTAGACTTCTAATAATGCCACTTCTTCCAAATAGACTCGCCCAGGCCACGGTATTTTGTGGAAGGGCCACACTCAAGGGGCCGAAAGAGCCGCACGTGGCTCGCGAGCCGCGGTTTGCCGACCACGGTCCTAGGAGAACACAGGGAGGGAGCACCCGCCTCGCTCTGGGGGGCCAACCTCCAATGTAAATATTCCCGCTTGGAGGGCAGGTGGGGGGAGAAGGTTCAAGGTTCCAGGGTGCTATCGCTGAAGGGGGTTTGGGGAGAGATGTGCAGTCAGCCCGGGCACGCTGGGTCCAGCTGGCTCCAGACCCCAGGGGGAGAGGAAGAGGCTGCGGCTGAACCCAGAGGGAGAGGCCTCTCCAGGCAGAGACGTGGGGTGAGGGGTTGGAGAGCAGGGAGGACACTCCAGTGGGGAGAAAAGCAAGAGCGAAGATGAGGAGGCTGGGCAGGAAGCAGGGAGCACACTGTGGTGAACTCTGACGGGGTTCTGATGGACAAGGGCCCAGGGAACTCTCTGGAACCTGGTGGAACTCCAGTTCTAGGCCTGGGCGGGGGTCACAAGCGCGGTGTGACTCGTTCAACTGCGCGTTTACGTTTCACGCACTTTTCTGTTTGTTTGAGCTAGTTTACAGCAGAGATAAATGTCTCCTTCAGGGATGACCACTACTTACAACTATTGTATTTCCTTCCCGTCTTTCTCCTAGGCACACATTTATGTGGCCAGAAAGCAAACATTTTCACGTGGAAAACACAAGCTCCCTATCCACACACCACAAAGAAGACAGCGTGAGAGTGTTTTAACACATAACAGATGGAGTGTGGGGTTCGGAGTCACCGAGTCCTGGATTCAAATCCTTTGGCTCCTGAAACCAAGCACGCGGTGGCCCTGAGAACGTTGCTTGCCTGAGCCTCGCTGACCTGCTTTCTCTTCTGCAGAGTGGGAGGGAGAATGCCCACCTCCTCCAGGGAGGCTGGGAAAACCAGAGATGCTGTGTGTCAGGTGCATGGCACAGCCTAACTTATAATATATCCAACCTGTAAGCTCTGGCTATTAGTTCTGTTTTAAAAGTCAGAACTGAAAGAGTTGCCCTGAAAATAAATGATGGAATCCCAGAAGTTATAGAGAAACGATAACCCCATAAAGATAAAAATAAACCAGAGTTTACCCAAAGAATAACTTCAATGGTAAGGAAACTCAAAAACCCACTGATGGTGGAAGGAAATGGGGCATTTAGCCTGGAGAGGAAGACTCCAATGGCGTATAAGATCTGTGCAACACCTGTGACCTGTGTGCAGCACAGAATAGAATTAGGCCCAACCAACAGGTCTTACTAGTAGAGGGAGCCAATTGCTACGGGAGGTAAGAAAGGGTAGACGGCTAAGGAGTGAGCTCCCCATCGCTAGGACACAAGCGAAAGCTGCCAGAGCCCTCGGTGGGAATGGAGAAGGGAGGCCAGCGTGGCGGAGGCCCCCTGAAGCTGGGCTCTGTGGCTTTTACAATCGCAGCTTCCGCTCCCTCCAGCAGCAGGCGGGAGAGCGCAGGCGGCCAGCGTCCTGAGGCGAAGGACTCAGGAGACCCGCTCGGCTTACCTGGTTGTCGATTTTCAGCTCCACCAGGGAGGTGTTGTCTGGGAGCGCTTCCACCAGGCGCAGGATCCCGGCTCCGGAAATGAAGTTGGATTCCACGTTCAGGGTCTTCAGCGCCTTGTTCTCCTTGAGCATCTCAGCGAGGGCCTGAACAGAAGCCAGGGGACCTGTGAGACCCCTTGAGCCCCTCCTGGGTAAAACCTAAAGCATCGAGGGAAACTTGCTGGGAGCAAGAGTCCCTGGCACACTTCTGCTGTTCCAGCTAGGCACCAGGCTCACCACACTCCCTTCACCAAGCGCAGCTCCGCGTCTCTCCTCCCCTCCACCTCATCAGGACCCACTGAGGAAGACAATGATTTTAAAGATGGAGAAACTGAGGCGCAGCGTGAGGCAGGCCCTCGTCCACACCGTGCCGAATGCAGAGATCCAGCGGTCGGAGCTGCATTTAAATCTCAGCTCCCCCTTTCACTTGCTCTGCAACTTTGGGCAAAGCAAGTCTCCTGACCTCCCTGCACCCCAGGCTCTTCACCTGCACGTCCGGGACCAGGGGAGCCGGGGGAGATGAACGAGGGTAACGTACGGGTGGTGCCTGGGTGCCCGCCATTCTGCCCACGTCCTCTCCTGGCTCTCGCCCATGCCCCTCACCACGCCACCCGAGGCCCTGCCTCCGTGGGAGACGGCCAGGCCCGAGGCCACAGCACCCGCCCTCCTGGTTCGGTGCCGCCCGCCCTCAGGCCGCGGGGGGAGGTACCTACATAGGCCACGGGGTCGTTGCTCCGCGTGCCCACGATGCTGAACTTCTTCACGTAGGAGTTGCCTTTCAGGGCTTCCGCGTACGCCTTGAGGGTGGGGATGGGGATATTCTGCGGAGAGAAAGGCAGCGGTGACCGGCGGCCCTGCCAGCGGTGGGCCGGGCACACCGACTGTGTACCTACACGCAGCCTGGTTTATAGCAAATCTCTGACCGAAAAGCTAACTGAGCAAAGGATTCCGGTTTAGCTCCACGTAGCTGGGATCTGGGGAGAACCTTCTGGGGAACAGAGGGACAGAAACCCTTCCTGGGAGTTCAGACAGGACCCGCCCCTTCCTCTGTGGGCAGAGACCAGAGGAGGAGGAGAAGGAGGCAGTGGGTGCGGAGGAGTGCTGGGCCGAGAACTCGGGCCTGGGCTGCGGGGTGGGCAGGAGCCTGGCCTCGGCCCCAGCAAGTGGCGATGTTTCCGGTTTGCTCCGTGACTCTGGGAGGGGCTCTTCCCTTCTCTGGGCCTGATTCTGGAAAACAGAGGTGTGTGTGTGTGTGTGTGTGTGTGAGGGATGGGGATGCCCTAGATCCCATGTGTCAAACACAAGGCCCGCGGGCCAAATCCGTCCCGCCAGGCCTTGCAATGTGGCCCGCACCGCGCTGTCATCACTGCACTCCGCTGCGTTTCCATCACAATGACAGTTTATGACTGTTCAGTAAGCCATTTGGCCCGAGATTTAGGCTGGATTTTAGATTTTGGCCCCTTCTCTGATTGAGTTCGACACCCCTACTAGATAATCTTTAAGAGACATCTGTCCCAGGTGCACACCAGAGGTTCCTGGGAACTTTTACAAAATGCTGAAGCTCGGGCCTGCTCCAGACCAATAACATTAGAAACTTGGGAGGGGAGTGGGTCTGGCATATACTTAAAAAAAAAATTAAAAAAAAAAATATATATACAATATATATATATATATAATGATTGATTTTTTACAGAGAGGAAGGGAGAGGGATAGAGAGCTAGAAACAACGATGAGAGAGAAACATAGATCAGCTGCCTCCTGCACACCCCCTACCGGGGATGTGCCCACAACCAAGGTACATGCCCTTGACCAGAATTGAACCCCGGACCTTTCAGTCTGCAGACCGACGCTCTATCCACTGAGCCAAACCGGTTTTGGCTGGCATATACTTTTTTATTTCCGCAGGTGAAATAGCCTGATCTAGTCCAGCTGCCTGGTGTGCAGAAGGGAGAGTGAGGCCTGGGGAGGCTGAGCCCTCGCGGAGGCCCCGCCGTGAAGGGGTGGGTCAGGGTGGGGTCGCACCCCACGCCCTCGGAGCCGCCACCCGCGCAGGATGCACAGATCTGAGCGGGGCCAGTGTCTCCCTCTCGGCACACGGCAGGCAATGGAGGCCCTGGCTGTGCCCTAATGGCTCTCATTTCAGCATCATGTTAGCTCCCATGGGAACGGAGCCAGGGAGGCCGGTGGGGGGAACACTCCGGATGGACGCAGGTTTCTGATCTGATTGTGCCGCGGGGCTGGCAGTCACTTAGAGAAAGTGGAGAAGAGAGGAAAGAGGAGCCTGGAGCGAGGGGCCTGCTTCTTGTCCGGCCGCCTCCCCCTCCCGGAACCAACCCTCCTGGCTGAGCAGGTGGGCGGGCAGCTGGGCTGCCTCTGAATTCCCCCTGCGGCCTGTCCAGCGTAGAGCTGCCTGTCCCTCCGTCCCTCCTGTGCCCGCAGGGGTCACACGCGAAATGTCGGAGAGAGATGGCTGACAGACCTCCGGGCCCACAGCTCCCCCCTCTCTCTCTGCTGCAGAACGAGGCTGGGGGACCCAGCGAGCCTGGGGGGCACCGGCTTTTCCGGCCGTAGGTCCTGCGCAGCCGAGCGTGTGTGGCTCCCGATGTTATCTCCGCGGCTCTGTTCTGAGTAACAGGGCGGGTGTCCCGAGTTGCAGCTGGCTTGGTCCGGGATGAATCTCGGGGCCTGATGTCAGTCCTCGGACACAAACCCGGCCCTGGGATGTGCTCGTTGGCACCCTCCTCCTACCCTCCTCCTGAGCCGAGGGGCCCGGAGCCCACACAGGCCCGTCCTCTCTGCGTGCTGAGCCGGCGGTGGCGTCACGGCGACACCAGGCCACAGCGCCCCCCGCAGGCGCCGTGGGAAGGCGGGGGCTCACCCGGATGTTGTTGAGGTTCACCTCCTCCAGCTTCGGGTCATTGCTCCTGATCCGCTCCAGCGTCTCCTCCACGTCGGTTGAGTTTGGCTCCTCGTCGGGCACAGGTTTGTACTGTGTCGGCTTGATCACACCTAGAGGGACCCAGGAAAGGGGGTGTCTCCCAGGGACACAGGGGTTGCCTCCCCTCCACACAAGCACACCCGGGAGGAAGCAGGGTTCAGGGACCTGTGGAGGGGGTGGGCCCTGCTTGGATTGTCTGTAATGTCTTTAATGCAAGAACGGGGTGGCTTCCTTCAACTCTCTGCCCCTCAGGGGCCTCACTTTGTAGCTGTGAGCAGGGGCTCCTGTGGGGAGGAAAGGAAGCCTGGGTGGGAGAGACATATATATATATATATATATATAAGCCTTTCGGGGGAGGGGTGTTCATGATGCTCTGGGCACCCCCATTTCTCTCTGGGTCCAAAGGCCAGCTTGGAACAAGGTGCCGGGCCAATGAAGACAAGGCAGTATCAGCACAGGAAGAGACAAACAGAAGAGGCGCCCGAGACAGACAGATGCACGTGGCTGCACGAAGGAGTAGGATCAAGGTGAAGCCCCACACCAGCGGTGGGCAGACGCCGTGCAAATACATCATGGTGTTGGGACGATGAGCTGCCCACGGAAAAGTGAGAATCTGATCTCACCTCGCACCGCGCACACACGTGAACTCCCGGTGGATTAAGAAGTTGCACAGAAGAAGTGAACAACTTTTAGAAGAAAGTGCAGGAGGATACTTCCCCATACACCGGGGTGGAGAAGGCCTTTGTAAACAAGACGTAAGCCCCGGAGGAGTAAAAGGAAAAGGTGGATGTGAAAGTTCTGCCAGGAGCCAAAGAGCAGGAGCGGGCGGGAGCAAACAGCATGAGGACCACGTCCCTTCCCGGTGTCCTCGCTGGGGGGCCGAGGGGGTGAGGGGGGTGCGTACTCACTGTTGAGGCCCTCCTTGTTCACGATGGAGCTGCTGCCCAGCGCCTGGTAGTACTGCTGGTTGCTCATGAGCGTGTGCATGCCCAGGATCGCTGCGGGGACACGGAAGGCCCATGACTCGCCCACTCAGACAGGAGAGCCTCCCGGGCACAGACCTTCCACGCCCTCCAAATTCTGGCTCCCAGAAATGGCAAGAAACGCTTGCACGAAAACGTTTAGATGTGATTTGCCTCTATTTACATCACATGTGTCAAACACAAGGCCTGCGGGCCAAATCCGTCCCGCCAGGCCTTGCAATGTGGCCCGCACCGCGCTGTCATCACTGCACTCCGCTGCGTTTCCATCACAATGACAGTTTATGACTGTTCAGTAAACCATTCGGCCCGCGATTTAGGCTGGATTTTAGATTTTGGCCCCTTCTCTGATTGAGTTCGACACCCCTAATTTACACGGACGTCAAATCTCTGCCACCAGCCTACACTTCTCTAGTCCCCGGCCTCAGAGTCCTAGATGTCCCCCTGACACGTCTATCCCAACGTGGCCAACACAGAACTCACGTTCCCCAGCAACAGCCTCTTCCTCTGGATCTCCTTCCACCTGGTCACCCTGCCGGTCCCTCGGGGTAGAACCTCAGTCCACGCACCTCACCCCGTCCCCTCTCGTCGGTCCCACCGCCCGCTCCATCACTTCGTCTTGGGTGAGGCTGTCCCATTTCTTGGCCGTCCTGTCACAGCTGAGCAGCCGCCGGTGTCCTGCCCCCCCCCCCCCCCCCCCCCCCCCCCCCCGGCTTCAGCGCAGAGCAGCCAGAAACACCTTTCTGGAAATGCAGCTCTGACCACATCACACCGGTGCTCAAGTCATTCTTTCATCCACTCACTCACTAACGTTTACTGAGTGCCGACCTCCTGTGTCCAGCTCCAGGGCGAGGGGGGCAGTGGGGAACAGGAAAGACAGGGTCCCCACCCATGTAGCTTACTGTCGGGGGTGGGGGGTGGGGACAGAGCCGCTAAGCAGGGACCCACGCAACTAAAAACACGGGCACAGTGTAAGGCAGGTGTGGTGAGGGAGAAGCTCGGTGTGTTCTGGGACAGTGGTCGGCAAACTCATTAGTCAACAGAGCCAGCTATCAACGGCACAACGACTGAAATTTCTTTTGAGAGCCAAATATTTAAAACTTAAACTTTTCTAATGCCACTTCTTCAAAATAGACTCGCCCAGGCTGTGGTATTTTGTGGAAGAGCCACACTCAAGAGGCCAAAGAGCCGCATGTGGCTCGAGAGCCACAGTTTGCCGACCATGATTCTGGGAGAACAGGACAGGAATGATGAGTTCGTGTTGGCTCGGCGGTGGCCGAGAGAAGGGAGGCAGAACATTGTGGGCAGAGGGAGCGGCGGGTGGGAAAGCCCTAAGCTCAGGGAGGGCAGGGCCAGGAGTGGGCTAAGATGAAGTTGGACACGTGGGGGACAGCCTAGCACCCCTTCACCAAGCCACTTGCTCTGGCCAGAGAACTGCACATCAACGATTCTCGTTTGTGTATTGAAATCACTAGGGAACCTTTAGAAATTCCTGACACTCAGACCTTCCCTGGACCAATTAAACCACCATCTCTGGGGCTGAGGGCCGAGATATCTGCCTTTGTAAAAAGCCTCCCAGGTGGTTTTGGGGGGCCGTCAAAGTGGGGGACACCATCCCCCCTGGATCCTCCCAACAACACTTGGAAGCCGACTGTATTCCTAGTCCTGCAGGTGGGATCCTGCAGGTGGGCTGGGTTTGGGTAAGGGGTTTGGGGTCTTTTTCTAGGTGCAGCCTGGGAAGCCACCGGAGGCCGGAGAGGGCCTGAGCTGGCCTGACAGGAGTTCAGTCACTCTGGCTGCCGGGAGCACGAACTACCGGAGGGAAGGACCTGGGGGGACCAGGAGGCTGCTGCAGTCATTGGGGTGGGTGGGTGGGTGGTGGCTGGTGGCCCCCAGAGCTTGGCTTCACCAGCACTCCCTGGGCCGGCCCTGCTTTCGCAGCCTGTCCCTCCCGCACACCCTCTGCCCCAGGGACACTCACTGCTCAGTAGTTTCTCCTGCTTCCTGCCCTCCCCGCCCACCCACCCCCACCCCCGCCCCTGTCAAGTCTCTCATTTGCGGCGCCCAATGCTGAAATGCCCCCAGTGGTGTTGCTAGATGTAGCCCATAAAACTAAAAGACTCCCAGTTACGTTGACATTTCAGAGGAAAGATGAAAAATGTTTCAGTATACGTAGGTCTCATTTAGCCCTTGGGATACTTACGTTAAAAACGTACCTGTTGTTTACCTGAAATTCAAATCTATCTGAGCAGCCTGCATTTGACCTAACAACTCTACCCCTCCATCCTCCCCCAGGAAGTCCTCCTGGATTCCTCCCTCTCCCCTGCTAGTTCTCCCACAGCACCTGGTGTCCTTATCCCAGCCCACAGTATACCAGGAGGTAGAGATGTCTGGGTATCTGTGTCCTCCCCCTACTGGGCTATAGGCTTCCAGAGGCCAGGAAAGAATATGATCTCTCTCTTCTACCTCTTCCAGAATGCAGGAAGCACTTGGTAAGTAGTGTTTGCTGATGCTTTTAAAAAATCCCCCCAGCCATTTCATGAGACGTGGTTTCCAGCTAGAAAAACAAAAATACCAGAGCCCTTAGGGAAGAGGCAGGACTGGTCCCGGTTATGCCCCCGATGCTGTGTGACCTCGGGCAGGTCCCCTCCCTCTCCAGGCTCCAGCCTTCTCTGTCCCATGAAGGGGTGAGACAAGATCACGGCTGGACATACAATTCACCCGGGAACTTTGCGGCAATATCCCTGCTCCCCCCTGGACCAACTAAGCCGGATCTCTGGAGGCATGTTTTTAAATCTCGCCTTGGATGGTTCTGGTGTGCATTGGGAGCTGAGAGCCACAAGATGAGATGATCTCCAAGTCCCTTCTGCTTCTCACGTTCTAAGAGTTTTCTCCGCTAAAATTAGACCTGTCTGCTCATCACTAAGGAGAACGGGTAGGGAGAGAGGCATCTGCATTTCACAGGCCCTCTGGGCTTTTGTTCAGGCGCCGGCTGCGTGGGCAGTGGGAGCTGAGGCCTGAGTCAGCGGCAGGTGGATGGGAGCGCGGTGCATCGCCTTCTGGAGCCCCCCCACCCCCAGCTCCCACACAGGGAGCGGCTCCGGAGCTTCCGGACTGCTGCTGCTGTGACTGCAGGTTTGGAAGAACACCTTGGAAAGGTTCCTGGGAATCCCAGCACAGACATGGCTGCACGCGGCTGGCTGGCCTCCCTGAGCATGTACAGAGAGATGGAAAATGTAAAATACATCTTGTGCTCGGATGACAGCTTCCTGTAACCTCCCAGAAAGGAGGGCAGAGGCAGGAAGGTTACAGAAAGTGCCGGAACCCTAACTGGTTTGGCTCAGTGGATAGAGCGTTGGCCTGTGGACTCAAGGGTCCCAGGTTCAATTCTGGTCAAGGGCATGTACCTTGGTTGTGGGCACATCCCGGTGGGATGTGCAGGAGGCAGGAGGCATGTTGATCGATGTCTCTCCCATCAATGTTTCTAACGCTCTCCCCATCTCCCTTCCTCTATGTAAAAAATCAATACAATATATTAAAAAAAAGAAAGAAAGAAAGAAAGTGCCGGGGACCCGAGGAAGGAGACCTGGGCTCCAGTCTGGCCTTCGTACTCATTTTCTGGGTGACCCTGTCATGTCTGCTTTTTGGGCCTCAGTTTTCTCACCTGTAAAATGGGGTGTGTTTGAAAGCTGCTCTCTTGCCTTCACATAGCACTTAAGAGCCACATCACAGCTCATCATTTCACCCTGTTTGATTCTTCACAACCTCCAGGCCAGGTGCTGTGGACCCTCCGCTGTCCAGCAGGCTCAGTAGGAAGTGGTTGTCGGAGACCATCTAGTGAGGACTCTCCGGCTTCTAAGTTAGCTTTCATTCCCACACACGCCTCCATGCACCAGGTCACCAGCCCTTCTAAACGTCTAAACTTCCCCTCTACTTCAAAATCCTAAAAACAGATAACATGTATTCTAGGAAGTAACGAATGCCAATAGCAGGCCTACGAGGAACTAAAACCATTCCACAGCTCTGAGGAAAGTAGGGATCCAAGAGAGAAAAAAAACAAAAAAAAAAAAACACAAAGAAAGGAAGGAAAGAAAGGAGGGAGGAAGGAAAGAGGCAGGGAGGGGAGGAGGGAGGAAGAAGAAGGGAGGGAGGGAAGGGGGAAGGAGAAGGAGAGAAGGGGGAGGGAGGAAGGCGTGAGTGACAAAGGAGAACAGCACGTCAGCTTTGCCTGCTGCTTCGTTCCCGGTAGATATCGGCAGGGCTGGATTTAGCACTGGGGAATGTGAGGGTTTTTTTTTTTTTTTTTAAATAAGTCAAATCTTCCTCAAAACTCAAAAAGGACTATTTTTGAACTCTGAAAAAGAACATCAAGTTCTCCTTCCCCTCTCCGCCTTGGCAGGGCTCGCTCGGCTGTGATCCCGCTGCGGGTGCAGAGATAACGGCACACCCGGCCTGTCCAGGCTGGCGCGGGGCACAGCGGCGTCCAGGAGCAGGTGGGAGAGGCTGGCTCTGGCCCAGGCCCGGGCGCAGCCGAATGCCCGCACCGCCTCTCGCAGCTGGGGAGGCGGCTCTGCCTAAGACTTCCTCCGAGAGCCACAGGAGCCAGGGGTGCCCACCTGCCCTTGGGGTTGCCTGGGGTTGGCCCTCCTACCCACAGTTCCTTCTGGGTCCGTCCCAGCTGGAGGGTCCCCAAAGACAAGCCAGGATGGCGTCCCTACCTGAGGAGGGCGGACCATAATGCCAAGTGCGTGCAGGTGACTCCCGGGGGGGCCCCAAGCCACTGTCAGAGGCTTTGTACTGTCAGAGGCAAGTGCTCCCTACCCTGTGGCGACGCTCTTCACGTTAAAAGGGACATGCTTCTGCGTGTCCTCATCACATCCCGGGCCCGCCGAGGGCAAGGACTGGGCCTGACTCATTCGTACGGAGGGAGTTCAATAACGCACGTGACTCCACGAGTGAATGAATGGCGCACACACATGAAGACAAATGAACAAATGAGAGTTCACAGGCCCTGCCTTACCCGTGTCACTCCTGAGTCAGTGTGACGCCGGCAGGGGGTCCTGCCTGCTCCTGTCAGCACCAAACACCGAGCCCATGTGTGTGTGTGTGCAGCTGCAAAGCAAGCGGCTCAGCGGGGCCGCCTCCGCTCTCCGTTCCCCCTGCTCCCCGTTCCCCCTGCTCCCCGTTCCCCCTGCTCCCCGTTCCCCCTGCTCCCCGTTCCCCCTGCTCCCAGTTCCCCCTGCTCCCCGTTCCCCCTGCTCCCCGTTCCCCCTGCTCCCCGTTCCCCCTGCCCGTTCTCCTTCAGGATCTGCGTGTCTCTGGCCTTAGCTCCCAGCACACAGCCCAGCCCCGCTGCACTCTGTCCTTTTCCCTTTGCCATGCTCACTCTCACCTGTCACTTCCCACTGGCCTCAGCGTTGGCGTAGGCGGCTCTGGGAGGGCAGGCACCGGGCTGCTTTCCTTCACCAGGGCCGGGCCAGAGCCTGGCTCACAGAGGGGAGGCTGGGTAATGGCTGCGGAGTGCGGGAATGTGTGGCTGGCGGAGGTGAGCCTGTGGAGTGCTCTGCCTGGGAGCTGAGGTGTGAAGGCTCCAGGTGATGCCCTCCTCTCCCTGCTTCTCTATCTCTAGTGGCTCAACCACCTCATGGCTCCACGCACCTCCTCCTTGGAAAGGCCCATCCACACACACACACACCTCCCCCCCCGCCCCCATCCTTCCGTCCCTGCCTCTGGTGGATCAGCCACACCCAGCACTCCAGCAAGATGTCCTGCCCCCTGCCTCCATCTCTAGTAGCATCTTTGAAAGTTTGGCCTCTGGTCCAGCACTAGGAATAGCTGGTCTCTGGGTGGAGCCACCTCTTATGCAGTCCCATGGCTCCACCTGGCCATTGGCCTTACCTGGGGCCTGCCTCCTATGACTCCCCACCCCCCCGCCCCCAGTCCTCTAAACCCCTCTGCCTCTCTGCCTACACCCCTGCTTCCACCCGCCTCTGCAGCACTCCCCCAGTCCCAGGTGTCAGCGCCGCGATGTGGCATCCGGAGCCTTTCCTGCCCTGGCCGGTGTGGCTCAGTGGGTAGAGCGTCTGCCTGTGGACCAAAGGGTCCCAGGTTCAATTCCGGTCAAGGGCACGTACCCATGCACCTAGGCTGCCGGCTCCTCGCTGGCCTGGGCCCTGTAGGGCTCGTGCAGGAGGCAACCAGTATTTCTCACATCGATGTTTCTCTGTCTTTCCCTCTCTCTCCCACTCTCTAAAAATCAATAAAAAAAATACCCTCGGGTGAGGATTACACAGACAGACAGAGCCTTTCCTAGTGTGACCCCACCTTCCCCCAGCCACTCAGGGAGACTCGGCACCCCCTCTCACCCACCGTCTGTGTCCACCGTGCCCCCCAACCCTGAGGGCTTTATCCAGGCTGCACCGGTTGATGATGTGAATGGGCCATGGCACCAAGCTGCCTGGGTTCCACGCCCACGGGCAAGGCACTGAACCTCACTTTCTCCATCTGTAAAATGGGGACAATGCATCTTACTTCGCAGGGGGCTGTCATCAATCAACAAACAAACAGCGAGGCGTTGGAAGCAATGCCCAGCGCACCAGGGACCACGGAACTGGAGGTCAGCATCTGTGCAGGCCCTCCTTCCCCTGAGACCCCGTCACCTTCAAATGGCTGATACTCCATGACAGGCGCCCACGCTGGGCCGGTCTACAGCCCCCCTCCTCTCCGGGCACGGGAAGGGCATGGGATCACGAACAGATAATAATAATGAGCCACACCAACAAAAATAAAGAGAAACAGTTTCAAGAAGCCAACACAGAAACTCAGCCCAATATTGCAGTTCTGCTTTGGCACAGAAGCTGGCGGTTCTGACGGTGGAGTCATTGGCTAAGGAGGGGGGTGATGTCACGGAGGGTGATGGGGGAGAAGGACCAGGATAAAAACAGCTCCGGGTGAGTCAGCGTGGAGGTGCTGCACAGGGGTGTCAGCCGCCCACCTCCGGGAGTCAGACCCCCATCAGGGAAACGGTTCGGTCCACGTACATGGGCATGATGTGGGGTCTAATATGACTTGTGTGGTTTTGACAAAACAAAACTTGAACTTCAGAGCTAACTGGTTACGCTTTCTGAGTTAAGTGTCCGTTTCCAGGGCCGGATGGGTGCTCACGGCTTCGGTATTCCATAGTGGAATGGAAACCTTTCTCTCTCGGCCCTGACACCCTTCCAGCCACTGTCCTTCCGTCTTTCCCGAACTCCCTGCCTCCCGAGGGAAGGGTGTTTTGGACTCACAGTCTGCACACTGGCTTTCTGCGTGCGCCACTTGGTCCCTGCAACCAGGCTCTGGCCACCAGCACCCACAGTCACCCCTCCTGAGTGTTGGAGTCCTCCCACTGTCCCTCCCCGCATGGTTCCACTGTAGATGGCAGCCGCCCCCTTTCCCACACCCATCCCCTGCGACAAATGCCACCAGCCACATGCACAGCACCCACGAGAAGCCTGAGGATGCCATGAGGCAGGAGACCAAGCCCCCCAGCACTGGTGGCCTCACCTGACCTCCGACCTCACCTACCTCTGCGTCTCAGGCCAGTCCCGAGCCCTCACTCTGTCTCCCCACTCTTGCGTTAGGTTGTGTCCACTGTGATTTGACCTTCGGCTCCCAGCCCATTTGTGGCTAACCGGCCCTCACCACTCAAAGGCTTCTTTCTACCTGAGCCAGGACACTTGCCTGCACACCCCCAGGCCCCACTCCTGCCATGCCCTCTGCCTGGAGCTCGGCAATGCTAATGGTGCCCACGTCTCTATGCTAACGATGCCATAAGGGCTGGATCCCAAGACTTTTACGGACAACTGGATCCCACCAGGATGGCCCACAGGCACGCTGAACTCAAAGGCCTCGGACTGAACTGAGCAGTTCCCCTGAGCCCGCTCCTCTGCCGCTGGTATGGGCTGAGCTGTGTCCCTCCAAAACCCCAAGGTTCACGCCCTGATCGCCAGGACCTGAGAACGTGTCACTGTGTTTGGAGACGAGGTCTTTTAAAAGGTGACTGAGCTACCACGGGCCCCAGTCTAATCTGACTGGCGTCTTCAGAAGAAAAGAGTAGGACACACATCGCACCAGGGGTCACAGCCTAGAGGGACGCAGTGAGATGTGGCTGCTGACCAGCCAAGGGGAGAGGGCTCCGAAGAAATCAAACCTGCCGCCACCTTGCGCTTCTGACTTCCAGTCCATGAGACAATACACTTCTGCTGTTGAAGCCACCCAGCCTGGGGTACTTTGTTATGGCGGCTCAAGCAGATGGACATACGCTCATTCATGACACCAACAGCCACTTAGTTTCTGGAGCTGGCAACCTGGAACCTTCCTTGACTCCTCAACCTCAGCCGGGCAGAGTCAACCCCCTCTTTCCTCTCCCCTTCCCACTGTCTGAGTCTCTCCCCGTCCTACCCACCCTTCTGCCATCATCTGGGGGGTGGTTAATAGCCCCTAAGTCTGCAGACTCAAAAGGCCACCCGCCCCCCTGGCCAGGGAGCACAGCACCGTGGGGGTGAGGGTGGGGGAAGAGGCAGACTGTTTGGTGTGGCCAGATCTGACTCTTGGTGGCCATGCGGGGCAAAGACTGGACAGCAGTAAGGAGAGATGCTGAGGTGGTGAGGGGCTCTGAAGATCAGGCTGCCTGCTGGAGCTTTAGGGGCCGTTTGGGAAGGTCCTGTGGAAATAAATACCCAGGAAGAGGGAGAATGCTGTATGAATGAGAGGTGGGCGTTTTCTGAGGGCGCAGAGTGGTAAAATCAGGTGGCTGTGCTCCAGCCCGTGTGAACCTGCCAAGCTTGGGATGCCCACAGTCCTCTCTCTTCCCGCTCCTCCCCATTCTCTCTTCCCAGGTGGCCTGGGCAGGATTCGATACAGATGGGAACAGGGCCCATGCAGCCCCAGCCCCCACCCCAGGATGCGTCCACAGCCCTCTGGGATGGGGTCTCATGGCAACCACCGATGGCTCCACAGTGTAATGAGCTTAGGTGATCCTATCTCTATTTTCCTCAGTTTGGTTTCTGATGATGGACTTCCACTCTAATACTCTCGGTCTCCTTTAGTCCTTGTTAGAGAGAGAGCAGTTTGCGTTGAAATAAACCGCCCCCGGCTCCCTGCAGACCCTGGCCACGACCTGCCGGAGGACGGGGGAGCGCGGGGCGCGCCTCTCACCTGCGATGTCACAGAGCTCCGCGTCGGACGCGTTCGCCAGGGCCTCCTCCAGCTCCGGCTCCAGCGTCACGCTCTCCAGCACGGGGTCCATCGGCTTCTGCTTGGGGACCCAGACCTTCCCTGCAAACACACACACACACACACGAGTGTCCGTTACAGGGAGTGCCAGCGCGGCGGCACCGGGCAGCCTCCGGCAACAGCCCTGGGCTCCCCGGGCTCTGTGAGCCCTCCGTGCTGACAGTCCCCGGAGCGTCTCCCCTGGGGACCAGTGCCAGACTCCCCAGGAACAGGAATGGAAGATCTCTCACAAAGTACCTTTCTTTTTGAAAAGTATACCTTTATAGCTTGGTCAAACTAGACCACTTGCTATGGAAAACATGGGTCATTAATTTAAATGGCCTGTAAGAAGAAAAAAGATTTTTAAAAAGTCAAATACCAGTGGCTGGGATATCCTCACTAAGGGTTCTGATAGGAGAGAAAACTTTAGAAACATTTCTAAACAAAATAAATAAAATGCACTCAGATTATTAAAAGAGGACCAGGAAGCAAGAAATGTCTCCTTGCCTCATGGGACTTGGTGTTTTTAAAGTGTCAGACTTAGAACTGAATGAGGAGCAGAGAGGCACACAAGGATGGTCCCTGCAGTGTCCACCCAGAGGGACCGCTGGAGAAATTCTGGGGCACCCACGTGATGGAGTCCCAGCCGTTCTTACAAAGGATGATGGGGCTCCCCACTTTCTAAGAAGGAAAATGCCCAGACAAAAGGTGGCAAAGGCCAGTTTACAAAATAGCATGGATAATTCAATTCCATGCATGAAAAAATCACTCACTCACACACACACACACACACACACACACACACACACTCACACACAGGAGGCCCAGTACACGAAATTTGTACACTCAGGGGATGGGGGTCCTTCAGCCCAGCCTTTGCCCTCTTGCAGTCTGGGAGTCCTTGGGGGATGTCCAATTGAGGGCTTAGGCCTGTCAGTTGACCATCCCTAGGGCTGTTGCAGAGGTGGGAGAAGCTCCCACCACCACTGTGCTTGCCAGCCAGGAACTCAGCTTCTAGGGGAGCCCACTGATCACCAGGGGCCAGCTCCTGTGTTGAGCATCTGCCCCCTGGTGGTCATTGCACATCAATCGACAGGTAGTTCCACAGATGGGATTTGCATATTAGCCTTTGATTATATAGGATATATGCAATAGATACTTATTGAGTGTTTCCTATGTGCTAGGCACCTTTATAGGGGCTAGAGGAATAGCAATGAACAATTTACAACTTAGTGAAAGGAGATAGGTAATAAACAAGCATGTAAAGCTATCAGAGGATATCAGATGGATATAAAGCAGAGCAAATGAGTAGGAAGTTCTAGGCTGAGGGGGCACTGCTCCTTCAGGAAGATGGTCAGGGTGCAGGCCAGGCTGAGGGACACCCCACCCCCAGTGCACAAATTTCATGCACCGAGCCTCTAGTTTCATCTATAATAGCATCCAAAGGAAAAACAGTAGATATAAATTTAACCAAAGAGGTAAAAGACTTGTGCATGAAACACTACAAATCATTGCTGAAAGGAATTAAAAAAGATATAAATGAATAAAAAAGAATCCCAAGTTCATGGACTGGAAGACCATACTAAAATGGCAATAATGTCCAAACAACCTACAGATATAATGCAATTTTATCAAAATTCAATAGCTTTTTTTTTTCTTCTAGAATTGAAAAAGCCAATTCTCAAATTCATTTAAAATTGCTAAAGGCACCACATCAGCAGATGATTGGATAAAAAAAAACTATGGTATATCTACACAATGGAATACTATGCTGCCATAAAAAAGAAGGAATTCTCATCATTTGTAGCAACCTGGATAGAATTGGAGAACATCATGCTGAGTGAAATAAGCCAGTCAATGAAAGAGAAATACCACATGACCTCACTCATTAATGGATAGTAAAGAACATTACAAACTGATGAACCAAAAGACAGATATAAAGACAGTAAAGCAACAAGCAGACTGTCAAATTACAGCGGGGAGGATAAGGAGATATGGGGGAGATAAGAGATCAACCGAAGGACTTGTATACATGCATATAAGTACAACCAATGGACACAAAACTCTGGGGAGGGAGAGTATGTAAGGGAGGGGGGGGCAATGTTAAAATATGTACACAGATAATAATTTAATTAAAAAAAAATTGCTAGAGGCACCAAATAGCCAAAACAATATTGGTAAAGAATGAAGTTGGAGGACTTAAGACATCCTGATTTAAAAACCTACTACAACGTAAAGCAAGGTGGCATTGACATGAGGATAAATATAGAAACAATGGATAGAACTAAGAGTCCAGAAATAGACCCATACAGAGATCTGTGGCAAATTTATTTTAGGGAGCCAAGTCCACTCAATGAAAAAAGGAATAGTTTCTTCAAGAAGTTGTGATGGCCCTTCTGGTGGCTCAGTGATTGAGCGTCGACCTGTGAAGCAGGAGGTCACGGTTCTATTCCTGGTCAGGGCACACGCCCAGGTTATGGGCTCAATCCCCAGTGGGAGGCATGCAGGAGGCAGCCAATCAATGATTCTCTCTCACCATTGATGTTTCTCTCTCTCTCCTCCCCCTTTCTCTCTGAAGTCAATAAAAATATATTTTTTAAAAAAGAAGTTGTGCTGGGACAACTGGAGATCCACATGCAAAAGGGTGAAGTTGGTCCCTATCTCAGCATCTATAGCATCTATACAAATAAATGGAAATAAACCAACGTCTTCAGCATAATAGCTAAAACTATAAAATTCTTAAAGAAAACAGATGTAAATCTTCATGACCTTAGATTTGGCAATGTATTCTTAGATATGACAATTAAAAAAAAATAGATCAATTGGACTTCATAAAAATCTAAAGCTTTGCTCAGTTGGTGAGGCTCAGCAGTTGAGCATCAACAAAGGAACCAAGAGGTCACCGATTTCATTCAGTCAGGACATATGCCTGGGTTGCAAGCTCAATTCCCAGCAGGGGCCGTGCAGGAGGCAGCCCATCAATGATGTTTCTCTCTCACCGATGTTTCTATTTCTCTATTCTTCTTCTCCCTTCCTCTTTCTCTAAAAATCAATAAAAATAAAAAATTTAAAACTTTTGTGCATTAAAGGATACTATCAATAGAGTGAAAAACCATTATACACAGTGGGATAAAATATTCACAGTCACATATTTGATAGGTCTAATATGCAGAAAACATTAAAGAAGTTTTACAACTCCACAAGCACAACAAAACCGAATTGTAAAATGGGCAAAGGATTTTTAGATATTTCTCCAACAACATGTGAAAAGATGCTCAACATCCTTAGTCATTAGGGAAATGCAAGTCGAAATTGCAACGAGATACCACCTCATCATAGAGGATGGCTATAGTAAAAACCAAAAACCAAAATAACAAGGGCTGGCAAGGATGTGGAGAAAGTGAAACCCTGGTATATTGCTGGTGGGAATGTAAAATGGTGAAGTTGCTTTGGAAAAGTTTTTTTAGTTCTTCAAAAAACTTCTTTCCCCATATGATCCAACAGCAACAACAACAAAAAACAAAACAAAGAAACACCTAAAAACAGACAAACACTTTTACATAAATGTTCATAACAGCACTAATCACGGTAGCCAAAAAGTGGAAACAACTAAAAAGTTCATCACTGGATGAACAGTTAAACTACAGAATGTTATTCAGTCATAAAAGGGAATGAATGATTCTCAAAAACAAGACGCTAAGCGAAAGAAGCCAGACATAGGAAGTCACACATTATGTGATTTAATTTGTAGGAAATATCCAGAATAGATAAATCCATAGAAACAGACTTGTTGCCGGGGGCTAGGGAGAAGGGAGAATGAAAGGAACTGCTCATTTGTTACAGGGTTTTAGTTTTAGTTTTCAATCTATACATTATGAATGTACTAAATGCTCCTGAGTTGGTCGCTTTAAAATGGTTAATTTTATGTTATGTGACTATTACCTCAATTTTAAAAAACCTGCTCACTTTCATGACGGATTGAGAATAGCCCGAAGCAGGTGAGGATGGAAGTGGGAGATAGTTAGGAGGCTCCTGCGATAGTCCAGGTGAGAGAGGAGGGTGCCTTGGACCAGGGTGGTAATGGCAGAGGTGGGAAGGGGTAGAAAGTGCAGAAAGAAGTATCCAGAAGAATATTCACTAAAATGGGGTCAGGGTCTATCTCTCAGTGGAGGAAATTATGTTGAGTTACTTCCCTCGTTTAAATTGTTTACAACCATGGCCACTCTCTAAAAATCAATGGAAGAATATCCTCAGGTGAAGATTAAAATAATAATTATTATAATGATAATAATAATAAACAGGAAAGGGTGTTGATTCCTAATACCAGGCAAGATGCCTTGCTAGCTCTGGACTGCCTAACCCTGCAACTCTTTTAAGTGAAAAAAAAAAAAAATTAAACTTCCACCTTGCTTAAGTTCTCTTATTTTACTTTTTTCCCCTAGCACATATAGCCAAACAAATCTAATTCTACTGAAAATATTATGCACGGGTACTTTATTCTGACCCATGCTTGAGTCAGCGTGAATGAAGTTCAAATTCCTGAGGATTGTGCACCAGCGTTTGGCTCCTACCACATTCTGTTGGGTCTTGCGTGCTGGAGTGCTGTCTCCCCTCAGCCTAGTTAGCTCTAGGCCCAGCTCTAGGCCCAGGGCTAGGCCCAGGGCTGGACTGAATGGCGCTGAGTCTGGCTGTTGGAGATGGAAGGTTTTCCCCTCACTCTGTTCAGATCCCCCCCTCACTCAATCTACAAGGACTCCAACAATCACCAGGAAGATGGCACTGATGTTTGGGATGACAGTGATGACGATGAACCTTTTAAGCTTGTCATTATGCGGCAGGAGGATAAATCCTAGCTACCCTCCTCGGGTCGGCCCGGTTTATCACGAAGGCAATCCGGCCCTGGGAGCAGAGAGCACTGTGCCAGGCTCCAGCCAGACTGGCTCCTCTGAGTGGCAGGACTGGTTGTGTGCCGCCCAGATTCCCTTCCCTCACCCATGCCCTCTGCAGCTCCTCCCCTGGGAGAGCGATGGGGGCCTGAGCCAGTGGATGCCAGCAAGGACTCACCGGCCGTCCACCAGGCCTGCTGCCGACTCTCTCACAGCCTCGGTTTCCTCATTGTTCACATGCGTGGGTGGGACGCTGAGTGTTGTAAGGCCATGGAATCCAGAGATTCTATTCTCTTGCTCTGCCGTCCTGAATCCACTCCTCATGGCACAAGTGCCGTGCTCGAGAACATCTCGTGCCACATTCTCAGCAGGGCACACCTAGCCCTTCTGGTCAAGGCCCCAGTCATCCCCACCCTTTGCCCTGCCACCACCTTCTGGATCCCACAGTCCTCCTTCTGGGGTTCGGTAGCCAGGTGCCCCTGGGCTTCCCTGACCCTCCAAGTTTTCAATAAAATTTGAAATTGCCAGGGTTTGGGATGGCTCACCATCTTTCCCACCGTGTCGACTCCTGGTGCCCTTTTCATTCTGTTATTCATCCAGCAGATACTCTGCAGGGTATTGTGCTAATTCAACAGGGATTCAGAGCTAATAGCCACAGACCTGGACCCGTGGCTCATCTCACTTAAATTCTTAAGGGCGGGGAGAATGGAAGAGACTAAACAATTAATTACACAATTAACTAATTAATTTAAGAAATATATATATTGGGTGTCTACTATGTGCTAGGGTTTGTTAGATATAGTTGCAATGCACCAGACAGATGTGGTCCTTGTACTCATGGGGCTTATATTCTTTTTTTAAAATATATGTTTTTTATTAATGAGAGAGAAAAAGAGAGAGAGAGAGAGAGAGAGAGAGAGAGAGAGAGAGAGAGACATATCAATCAATTGCCTCTCATACACACCCTAACTGGGGATTGAACCTGTAACCTTGCAGTGCCCGGATGACACTCCAACCAACTGAGCCACCAGGCATTATGCATTTATTTAATTTGAACTCATTCATTCATTCACCAACTCTCTACTGAGCCCTAGTGTACACCAGGCCCTGCACTGGCTGCTGAAGGTACAGCCAGAGTCCCTACCCTCATGGGGCTTACAGGCCAGTGAGAGAGACAAATGATACCGAGATAATGACATCGTGGGAACTGCTGTGAAGGAAGCCACAGACCCCTGAGGTGGAGAATTACCACAGGGGAGCTGAAGGGACTGCACCTCCTAACCCAGGAGACAGGAGAGGCTTCCCGGAGAGAAGGATCAGGACAGGTGAGACCGAAAGGGCACTCACAGCTAATACTTGCATCACATTCACGATGGGCCGGGCGCTAGCTAGTCTTACCTCAGCCTCACAACTGGTCATACTGTTTTCCCCGGCCCCATGTACAGACCAGGAAACGGAGGCCCAACAGGTTTAACAGTTTACTCAAGCTCACACAGCAAGGAAGGGGTAGTGCCAGGACTGCGATTGAATGCACCCTGCTCCAGGCTGTTTCCAACTGCGATGCCTCTGGCAGGGCAGGAAGGCAGCACAGAGCAGGCAGCAGGGCCAGCATCCCAGCCTGAGGGGAGAGGAATGCCTGCCTGGTGGTGAGGCGGAGCAGGGCTCACAGGCCTGTGGGAAGCGGGGAGTTGGGCAAGGGCGAGCGTGATGGAAGAGGGCAGGAGAACGGTTTGGAGAGCAACAGGAAGCCCTCGGAGGGGTAGGTGGTTAGGACTGCCTCTCTGTCGCCCTAGGCTGGGGCAGAGTCGTGGAAGCACGGATGGAGGAAGGAGAAATGCAACTGCCAGAGAGAGGAACTTTGGGGAAAGAGCAGGGATGGTTTGGGGAGAGAGAGGGTCTCTCTTGTTCTTGGTTTGCAGGGAATGGGCCTTGTTTAGGTCTCATGTGCTGGCATCCCGGTTAATGATCACTTATATCATTTTCAAAAGTGTCTAGGTTTGTATAAAAAAATAAGCAGAGCATCCCAGTTAAAGGGGATTAAGGGAGGAGTTACACTGGTCTGATTTAACCATAAATCTACATCAGCAATGCGTGTAGAGTTGGGTTTTTGCGTTTTGGCCAGGCAGGGATGTAGGCAAGGAGGCCCAGTCACACTGGGCTCGACACAGAGCCTGGCATACAGCGGGCACTCAGCACAGGGCCTGGCATACAGCGGGCACTCAGCGATTCACGGAGAGGGACATATTCGTAAGAGCAACATGATTCGGTACCTCGCTTTTCCCCTGTGTAGGGGACCAGATCTTCTCGGTCCTTAAACTCCTTTGCTTGCTTTTCCAAGTGGTCCAAGAGCTCCTCCCTTTTAAAGGGGCCCGTGGGCGCCTTGGTGGTCTGATCCTTCTGCCTCAGGCCTGCGGGCAGCAGTGCGTTCTACAGTGGAGGTGGCAGCCCGGGCGACAGAGAGAGACACAGAGAGAGAGAGAGGAGAGAGAGAGAGAGAGAGCGGTCAGCTGCTGAAGACGAGCATTTCTCCAGAACAATGAACAATGGGGCTCAAGTCACTCGTTTACACGTAAGGAGTCTGACACCTGGTGGGGACAGGGACACATCTAAGGTCATGCAACAGGCGTGGGCAGAGCGAGGCTAAGTCTTTTGATCTCCTTGCGTTCCTCAGCCTCTGATGTTTTTTGAAGACGAGAGGGTGAGGGGTCAGCCAACACGGGGCTGAGCGCGAAGGGATGCTCCGAGAGCATCTGCTGAGTGACACGTATGATGAAGCTGGTGTTTGGAGGCGGGAGGATATTTATAGCCGCTGTGTATAAGCAATCGGGGAGAGAAGAAGGCCAAGGGGTTTGAGTGAGGGCCCTGGATGCAGAGTCAGGCAGGAAGAGGCAGACCCCCCTCCAAAAAAACACAAACAAAACAACAACAACCGGTGAAGGCTCAGCAGGCGGTGAGGTGGGAGAGGTGCATGGGCAGCCGAGGCGGGCCAGGTGGGGGAGGCAAGCTTTCAGGCTGCAGCCTGGGAAGGCCCGGCCAGTTCCCTCTCCCTTCCTGACAGTCAGTGGTCATGCAATGCTGGCTGTTAAATATTTTGAACGTCGCCCCTGGAGATGGGCCTCTGAGGAAAGATAGCATCAACCAATCACTGTTGTGTCTCCTCCCAACGTGGGCAGGCTTCTAGGGGTGGGCTTCCTATGAAAGCAGATTCCCAAGTAGGGGGGTTTGGCTTCCCTTTAATGCAGCCCCCAATACCTTAGACATTCATAGTTTTAAAAAAAAGAGTTTATACTTGTAAAGTTGCTCAGAGATTGTCTGATGTGTGTACCCATCCTTCAAGGGGACACTGAGGCTCAGAACAAGGACAGATTTGCTCAAGGAGTTTCAGGGACAGGTCTTCTTTAGATTTGGGGGAGGAGGGCCATCATCAGTTCTAATCACTGCTCTCTCCCCCTTTCACTCGAGGAGGTGCTGGAGGACACCTGGAAGGCAGATGTGAGTGGAATCTCACCTCACTTCCTGCCACACCCCCAACGTGGCCTAACCGGACAGCCATTCCATCTCCGATCTTTGTACATCAAAATGCATACCTTCTGTCACTCACCCTCACCAAGGCTCCTTTCCCAAAACCCCTCTGAGAAGGGAATGATACCAGACATGGGGAGACAGCTATGTGCACACAGAGGGATAAAATACTACTGATCCATGGCAGTCTATATGTTTTACAAGATGTTTCACTGCTGTGAAACCCACAGTGCTATTCTGGTAAGAGCAGTGCCTGTGAGATCAGGGGACCGGAGTGGCCCGGACTCTGGGAGACTGAAGGTGAGCAGGTCTCGCTCAGTGCTGGGCATGCATAGGGGCTCGGGGCGTGGTGCTGGTGTACATGCAAGTGGATTTAAGCCACAAGTCAGAAGAGACATTTGGGAGTTGGAGCATGTTGTGAGTAGGCCAGTAGGTAGATTTGAGCCTTGATGGATTAGGGTGACTATTAAGAACCTAAGAGATGTCACAGACATCCACCCCTAAGCAGCAGTCCTCAGATGCTGTCCACTGTGATATGCAGGACGGGTGACGGTCACAGGTGAGCCATGCCTCGGTGAGCATGCCCAAGGTGAGATGGCCCTCGTGTGGCTGGCTAGCCGTGCGGTCCGCTCCTTCTCCCCCATGGCAGGGCACTGACTGTGACTTAACCGAGGGCGAGAACAACCTAACTTTCTCTCTGTGACGACCCGTAATGAGTGACCCAATGCTCTGTGACATGCCTGCACCTCCCAGTGGACCCCCTCAAGCTCACGCCCTGTTAATTTTCTCAACAACATTCACGTATTCCAGCCACAGGCACGGTCGCATCTCATTGTGCCCCCGGGTCTGTGGCTGGAATACGCGAATGTTAGTCACGCAGGGTTGTTGAGAAAATTAAGTTAGATAATGCAGGATCAGTGTTTAGCACAGTGCCAAGCACTCACAACTACTTCTTATAACTATTGTTCTATGTTCAGATAAAAATACATTTTAACAGGAGACTTGGCTACCCACATACACATGCTGAACAGGGGAAGACTTATCCAAATATACCTTAAGATTAAAAAATGAAAACACGCAAGTACAAAATAAACTAAGCAACAAACACAAGCGTTTCCCCCATGATCCTCAAAGACTTTTGTCTGTAAAGGGTTGTGATGGCCGTTAAGATTCCGGGGCACATTCTAACCTCTGGAAGGCTCAGGATTGTGACAGCAGAAAACCAGGAGGTTGTAAATGAGGGGAAAAGGGTTTGCAAACTCACATCTCTTCTCGAATATATTTCATAGCTGAGAGGGGCGACTGATTTAGTTAAAGGAGGGCTTTCCACCGTGCACAGCTGCTATTTGGGGCTGGGTGAGTCCTAGTGTTGGGGGCTGTTCTGTGCCCTGCAGACTGCTCAGCAGCATCTGTGTCCAGTAGATGACACACCACCCTCCTCCCTATGCTGGGACAAACAAAACCGTCTCCAAACACCGCCAGATGGCCTCTGGGGAGCAGAATCACTCCTGATTGAAAACCACTGTGTTAAATTGAAGCCCATGTCATTATAAGAGAAAAATAGACAAGTTTTTTAATGTTTTTAAAAATATTATCTATTATAGCATGTTAAAATATGGCTTTATTTACCTAAATCTCTACTGAAAGCAGTTGATTTTTAAAAAGAAACAAGCATGTCAAAGGCCTTTCTAACAATTCTTGGCTTACGGAATTCTTAAAGTAATTATGGAGAATATCAGCCTTGTTAGGAATTAATTTTTCCCATTAAGTAATATGTTTAATGAACCATAACATGATCTTCAATTAAAATCAGAGACAGCTGCATATTTTAAAAGTCCCGATGATTTCTCATTTTAATTTATCTTAAAAAATGGCATGTGACCTCACATGATACAACAAAAATTAACTCAAAATGGATCAAAGACCTAAATATAAGAGCTAAGACTATAAAAGTTTGAGAAGAAAACATAGGCATAAATCTCTGTGACCCTGGGTTAAGCAATGGTTTCTTAGATATGCTACTAAAACAATAAACAACAGAAGAAAAATAGATAAATTAGACATTCTCAACATTAAAATGCTTGCGCTTTATAGGACACTGTCAAGAGAGTGAAAAGACAACCCACAGATTGGGGGAAAACTGCAAATCATATATCTAACAGAAGTCTGGCATCCAGAATACATAAAGATCTCTCACAACTAAAAATATAAGACACATAACCCAATCTAAAAATGGGCAAAGGATCTGAATAGACATTTCTCCATTGAAGATATAAAAATGGCCAATAAACACATGAAAAGATGCTCAACATCATGAGTTGCCAGGGAAATGAACATCAAACATAGAAAGAGATGCTACTTCATACCCACTAGGAGAGCTATAACAAAAAAATGTTGGCAAGAATGTGGGGAAATCAGAACCTTCATTCACTGCTAATAGGGATGTAAAATGGTGCAGCCTAGTTGGAAAACAGCCTGGCAGCTTCTCAAAAGCTTCCACACGCAGTTATCATCTGATGCAGCCATTCCACTCCTAGGCATATACTCAAGAAAAATGAAAGCATATGCCTACGCAAAAACTTCTCCAGTTCATAACAGCATTATTCATGATAGCCAAAATGTAGAAACAACTCACACGTCCATCAAACGATGAATGGATAAATAGGTGTGGTATCCATGCAACGGAGTACTATTTGGCAATAAACAGAAATGAAGTACTGATACCTGTTACAACATAGAGGAAGCCTTGAAAACATTGTGCTTTCAAGTGAAAGAAGCCAGGCCCAAAGGACGACAGTGTCTGATTCCATGTACATGACATGTCCAGAACGGTCACATCTATAGAGACAGAAAGCAGGTAGCAGATGCCTAGAGCAGGTGGGGGTTGAGGGGAAACGGAGTCACAGCTAATGGGTATGGGTCTTTTTCTTAAGGAGAGGAAAATGTTCTAAAATTCATCGTGATGGTTGCATAATTCTGTGAATACACTAAAAATACTGAGCCGCACAGTTTAAATGAATGAATTTTATGACATATGAATTATATGTTAAAAAAAAAAGTAACATTGGCATATGTTATCTAAAAAAAGGAAAGCGAGTGCAATAACTAAACAAAGTGGCTGAGGACTGCGGAGGACAAAGGCTCTGTGTGTGCCAGTGGCCAACAGTGATGCAGAGACTGGCCGGGTGAGAGCTGGGCACGTTATAACGCGGTGTCCTGTTTTATGACCGGATGCGCCTTAACATGTGAATTTGTTGTCGAGGAGTTACATGGGTAAGAAAATACTGCCCTGGTTCGGTCATGACTATTAGAACCTAAAACGGACTCTCAGACCCAGGCATCCGACAGGTGAGGGTAGGGTTCCCCCAACCATGGGACCAGGAGAGCATTGGGTGGACGTGTTTGCGTGGAAATGTGTATTCCTTCCTTTATTCCTTCTCACTCAACAAACATCCAGGGAGTGAGTATTGTATGTCAGGGCTGTGTGCTAACAGGTGAGGCCAGGCCCCTACGGAGATCTCTCATTTGGACTAACCAGGGCGGTGGGAGGTAAATGGAGGAAGTAAAGTAAAAGAGAGAAAAGCCTCAATGACAGCATGTGTGGAAAACAAGGTATTGCTCTAGATTTTACGGTTAATCAAGATCCTTAAGGAGAGAGGAGTCTGCTTTAGTGAACAGCAAAGAATAACTAGCTTCCATGTTGCCTGTAAAGATTATATACATCTGTGGTGCCTGTGGGTAATCAGAACCATCTAACTTCAAGGAATGTAAGTCTCTGCCTCCTAATCTTACAAAGTGCACAGAGTACATTATTTGGGCACATGCTTCCTTTATAGTTAGATTGAAGCCAAGTATCAGTCCGGCTCCTTCAGGACAGTCATCAGCTGCCATTAGGGGACTGTGCA